GAGGGAGGAACAAGCTGTATCAGCACCTCCCCAATACAGCTTGTTTCTCCCTCTGCGTCGTATGAGGAGCAGACTGCAATGTCAGGTTCACTCAGTGGTATATCGCAGGTGAAACCACCGCCGCTCCTGAGTCACACCCGCTGGAGCAAGGAACTCTTGACACACCCTCCAACAGACGCTGCTAGCAGAACGACTCTGGAGCAGTGGTGGTTTCACCAGCGATATACCGCTGAGTGAGCCCGGCATCACGGTCTACTCCTCATTGATATATCCTATTGATATATCACCCAGGCCTAGTCTGGAATACAACTGTCAGTAAACCATGGCTTAGCATGGCGGCAGCCAGCAGGACGTGTAAAATGGCCAATCTTCTCTCCAGGAATTGCCTGTTTGCACTAAGTCATGATCATGCCCTGTAGAAAAGGTGAATGAACTTTGGAATGGTTCATGCATCAATGCAAGCCAATGTACAGTCCTTTCACAATACACAAGGTTTTGTTTTTTGTGTAATACACACTTTCCCGATAAAATTAAAAACAAAAAAGTTCACAAGGTCGCCTGAGATAACCTTAAGAATTTCCATTTAATAATTTCAAAGAACATAAGAAAATGGTGATACATTTCAATGTTACTTTAATTGCAATATTTAATTATGTTACTAAGTATGTTACTATTTCCCACACTGCCATTTACATAAGGTATATTAAAGCTTCAAGTGATTGTAACATTCTTCTTTCTTTTGCTTCCGCAGGTTTTTATTGTTTTGCTGATCATTCTCCTGGCTGAGCTGATACTACTCATTTTGTTCTTCGTTATAATGGACAAGGTAGGTATTCACAGAGCGCCGTTATCTCAGAAGACGAGCTACTTTCTTATGAGTATTCCTCCCCAAGCTCCCTCCCCAGATAACTGGCATTAAAATAGACATATCAAAGAAGGTCCTGCAGAAAGGTGCCAATCAGCACATAAGAGAACTGCTGCAAGAACCAGGCAGAAGGGAAATTTAGAAGTCTGGCTGGCACCTTGAGCACGCCCCTGACTGTTTGGCTCCTGTGGAAGCCACAATGCTTTGAAGAGCACAAAAGAGACGGAAACTACACCAGGCAACAACCTCCTCCTCCTCCTCCTCCTCCTCTTCTTCTTCTTCTTCTCCTTCTTCTTCAGTTTATCTTGTCCAGCGCAACCCAAAGTGACTTACAGCCAAAACAACCAACCAAGAAAGAACAACAACCACCCAGAGGATAAAGCAATACATTAAAAACATCCTGCCCACTTCTAAAAGGCCACAGAAGGAAGGTTTTCACATGATGCCTAAAGATATTTAGTGAAGGTGCCAGGCAAATCTCCCTGGGGAGAGCATTCCACAAATGGGGAGCCACAGCAGAAAAGGCCCGTTCTTGTGTTGCCACCTTCTGGACTTCTCATGGAGGAGGCACATGAAAAAGGGCCTCAGATGATGATCTCAGGGTCTGGGCCAGTTCATATGGGGGAGAGGCGGACCTTGTGGTATTGTGGTCCTGAGCTATTTAAGTCTTTATAGGTCAACACCAGCACTTTGAATTGTGTCCAGAATCCTGTTTGGCAAGCATTCCAACACTATAACCATTGCACTGGTCCCAGACGCATGTCTATTGCAAAAAGACAAAACTTCCTTTTACTGAAATATATACTCACATATTTGTTATCTTGAGTAGGACATCTGTGCATACAGTGTTAAAATTATGCGGCAACCCCTCCCCCCCAAAAATGTTCCCCTTGAAGCTATTAGGAGAAGGCACCAGATGTGCTTTCCATTCAGCCTACTCTTCACATACCTTGGAGGATATTTTAACGTGTCTTTTAATCTGGAATTGTCACCATGTGGTAGGTATTTTATTTCTGCAAATGGCTTTCAGTCTCAGCTTGAAGACTCTGATATGATAGGAAGAGAGTCTGTTGCTTTCCCACACATATACATTCCTAATCAGATCATACCAAAAGGTTGCACTATTTATGTAATGACTGTGACCTTGCTGGTGTTTGTTTATACAAAATAGGTTTAATGAAAATGCGAAGCAGGATTTGAAAGAAGGGCTCAAGCTGTACAACACGGAAAATAATGTTGGGCTGAAGAATGCTTGGAATATCATTCAGGCAGAGGTAATGACATGAACATTTTATTTTATTTTTTTGCAAATGACCCCCACACGCTGCCCTGTTAATAATGGGTTAATCTACATCTCATGGGACAGTCCTATTGTCTGAGGGGACATGATGCGATTGCCTTGCTGAAGTTAAGCAGTTTTGGGTCTGGTGAATTTAAGCTGGGAGACCTGGGAACTCCATGTTTGCTGCTTTGAGTTCCATGCTGCAGAAAAAGGTAAGATGTAAATGTACTCTGAGGTCTCAGTCTTTCTAAGATGCAGATAAGTCACGATTTATAATGAATTGCTATATGGTAGTTGTGCATTGGCTCGTGTCGTTTATAACATTATCAAACACCCCGAAAGCAGAAAACTACATTTATTTATGTATTATCAGTTCAGGTATCCTCCCCACAGAGATTCTTGTGTTGAGGGTGGAATAAAAGTGTATTCTGCCCATTTATAAAGGAAAAGAAAGGAAGATAAGTCTGACCCAAAGTGTCTATCTTTGAAGTGGCGAATAAGGCATTCCAAATAGTATTTAAGCAGATTTCAAACGGGATTTCTATGGATTGTTTCCAATATTGGACTATTGTTAATCAGGCTGTTGATAACAGAAAAAAATACGAAATCTCTGCATATAATTTTACTGTTTAAATTTGAGTTTAACCATAACAAGAAGGGAGCCAAATAGGGTGGGAGGGCTCGCTGCGTAATTTTGGAATTAATGTGAAACACCTTTTCCCAAAAGAAGTAAAACCAACATGCAAGTCCATCATGGATGAAAATATGAGCCAATCTCTCCACAGCCTTTCCAGCACAGGGGAGAGATTCTAGTGTTTATTTTGGCTAGATGTGATGGAGTCCAGTGCCAGGAAAATATAATTTTGAGAGAAGCCTCCTGCAAATGAGCAGAGATTGTTCGTAGGGATGGGCTGTGCCAAACTGATTGTCATTTATGATATCCAGTTATGCTCCCTAAGTCTTTTTCCGATACTGATCGGAGACCTCCTATATTGCCTGCGTATTGTTCTAAAAGAATGCTATAGACTGAAGATGTAGCTCCTTTTATGTCATATTTTGATTTGTTACAGAGACTCAAATAACGTAAGAGAACCAAGGCCCTTGTGTTCCAAATATCTTGCAAATGTGCATAATTGAAGAGATTGAAGCCGAGGTTAACTGGGCATCATCCAACTTTTCTATTAGCTCATGCTCAGATTTGCTTTACGTCTAGAAGAAAGTCACTTATGTGATAGATTCCTCTCTTTTCAAATTTTTAAAAATTGTCCCTATTTATCTTCCGGTCGGAAATGATGGATGGTCTAATAGTGGAGTCAATGGCGAGGGTCTGGGGGCCAAAACCAAGTCTTAATCCTCCACACCGTCAGCACTGCCTTTAAAAATGGGTTTTGTATCTTCTCCACACAGTCCAGGACAGTTTCAGGAAAAGAAGTGTCCTTTCTGACTGTGAGGAGACGGGGCCCTCGCTCTACCACTCATGGAATGACATTTTGTCCCTAATCAAGGGGATCAGAGATTGACATGTTCAGTAGGTGAACAGATGACAATAAACAGGTGGGATGAGCTGAAAGTGGTGACAAATAAGGTTTGGGGTTTAAAATATACAGTAGGATTTTTCAAGAAGCTAATTCTTTGCAGTTATCACTCAGACTTGCGCTTGCTAGTGTCCAAGGTAACACAGCCTTTTCAAAAATCCTAAAATGTTCTTTCCGTTCCAGGCTGCATTATGTCTCATCTTGTCCTTGATCTCCTAGATGCACTGCTGTGGGGTTACTGATTACAAAGACTGGTACCTTGTACTGGGTGAAAACACTGTCCCTGACAGATGTTGCATAGAAAATTCTGAAGACTGTGGCCGGAATTCCACTAATACGAATTTAGTGTGGAAAACGGTAATTTTAGCTTACATAATAATCTGGATTTTTTTCTTTAGTTTAACTTAATTTCTTTCCTTGTGGAAAAGGTATCCTTGCATGAACACCATTCGAGCGCAGGTATTAGGTACAGAGATATTTCAATTTAAGAGACTATTTTACAACCATTGTTTGGTCACCACTGTGACATAGGACATGTGCTGAAGGTAAGCAATGCAAAAATCTTGCTGAAAGTAAGCAGGGTCTGTGACTTCTAAGGGCTCCATCCTTTGAGGCCCCTCTGGGATATAATACAAAAATAGTAAAAACAAAATCCCTAAAGTAAAAATGCAAGTCAAGTAGTTTCCCATCTGGTATGGTTAAACAAATCAGATAAACTGAAATTGATTTTTCTGCATATTTTGTTGTCAGTTAACCCTTCTGCTTTTGTATTATTGGTGCAAATTTCTTGGTCTGTTTTATTTATTTGAGTGCTTGAAACATTTTTCCCAGAGTGGCTTCCAAATGTGAGATTGTAAGCCTTGCCCTCAGGCTTGCAAACCTAAAAGACATGACTCACAAGGAGAAGGGAGGGAGGCAGAATTGAGCACTGATGGAATTTGGGGGAAGGCTCCATATAAATTAAGAGGAAGGGCCAAAAGTTGCTCATCATTGAGCAGTGGTGTATTGTAGACTCTCTTATAGCAGGGTGGAATGGCTGGTGATGATGGCAGCTGAGGGAGAACGCTTCGCAATCCCACCTTCTCCCTCACACCTCCGGGAGCCCCGTCAGTGGCAGAGAATAGTGCCGCCTCTAGTTTCTTTATACTGCCAAGTAATAACCAATACTTGTGTTTAAAATTCTTCAGAAACATAGGGGGGAAAGAATTGCAGGATGTACAGTGGGAATAAAAAATGAGTTGTGCACTGATGGTACAATCACTGAAAAAATACCCTTTATACAGAGCTGCAAATTCAGGCATACTCTGCAAGCCCACCTCTGCCTTCTTGTCCTCTTGCCTAATTTCTAATGAGACTCTTCTATTCAGCCAACAGATCAAACGTTTGTCACTGACTGAGCTTATAGTTTCTCAGTGAGAGGAAAATGTCCAGTAAGCCCTCCTGTTTTATCCCTGAGTGAGATATGTCATTTGAAGCATTTGGCTCTTGAGCCAGAACAGGTTGTCACGGTGTTTTCCTACCTTTTTTTACCTGGTGTAAGATTGGGGGCCAGGTGTGTCCCTTGGGGTAAGAGAAACAGGACATGGTAGTGGTGGAGATAGCGGAGGCTGCTCAAAGTGCAAGTGAAACAGGCTGCTGCTCGACTTGTACCTCCTTACGAGTAACAGAAAAGCTCGAGCTCCCCTGGGGCAGCTGTTTTGCCGCTCTCCCAACCTTTTGGTGCGCCTGTTGCCACAGCCGAGGTCTGAAGAGCTATCAGGGACAGCTAGGTCGAGTCAAAGGAAATTATTCATTCTGCCTTTGACTTTCCCCCTCCCTGCAAGATTCATAGATGCTAGGAAGAGTCTGTTTGAAAAGCACTGGTGTGCAATGGCTGTGTTTGCAAATGTGCCTGTTTGCTGTGCCTGTTCATATGTGCAGCTGCGATTTCCAAACGCTGTGTATGTGGTTCATGTCAACATAAGCTTACAGAGCATATGTGGCAGAAGCGTGAGTGCATGTGCCTCCCGACAAGTGTGTGGATGTGTGGACATGTACCTCCTGATGCTCTGTGGTTGAGGTGGATGAAGAGAGAGAGGAGTGAAAAGAAAGCTGAAAGAGAGGGATGACAAGTCTCCGCCTCTGTCCATCCATTAGATCACAGGGCCCCATTTATACCAATTATTCTTGCCATTATGCCTTGTCAGACTGATATAATGGTCAGCATATCAGACATGGAACTGGGAGACCAAAGCTCAGTGGGTGACCTCTCAACATCTCACAGAGTTATTCTGAGAATAACATGGTCAGGGGGACAGTCCCACTAAAAATAATATTATCATATTCTTTTCTAACGTTCCAAACTGACAGCAAGCAGCAATGTAGAAAGGAGGCGCCCAGGTTTTGGCACAAGCCAGCCAAAGTTGCCTTCTAAATAAAACACCCTGAGGCATTCTGCCATGGCTTTACAATCTGCTTTTTCAACATATAAAACAAACATTGGTGGTATCTTTAACTCGCTCATTTTTTAAATGAACAAAACCCATTTGGTCAACATGAATGTGTTTAAATATATTCATATTTAATATGAGAAGCCAAAACAGGCTTCATCACGATTGAGCAGGACAAAGAGTATGTATGAAGCTTTCAGGATTTGTTGTTGATACAACTTGAACTTCCCATCATTTTGGGATACTTCTATCAAAATGATTGTTTTTCTTTATATATTTTCAAATCCTTTTTCTCTTCCCCTTTCAGGGCTGCTATGAAAAAGTCAAGATGTGGTTTGATGAAAATAAGCATATACTGGGGACGGTTGGGATGTGTATCCTCATAATGCAGGTAAGTGGCTCATAGGATCCTTGTTTGGGCCTCATTTTTGCTGTGCTCCATGGAATAATGCAATAAATGTGACAGCAGAATGTCTAGCGTATCCCCAGTTGGTGTTTATGTTCTGAGCCTGTGACAGAGGTGGTTGAAGAAAGCAAAACAAAATCATCAAAGATAACTTGGACTTTTGAGTAGGTGTTTCTGCCCCCCCCCCCAAGTAACAGTGGGGAAGGGGGGCTGCTGGGCTTATCAGCACCAGCCACAAGCCTTCAACATCCTTCCCCAGCCTAGCACACTGGACCAGTGCCCCCCACCTTTACACAGCCCTTAAACTCAAGAGAGATGGCTGTGTCCTAGCAGACCAGGCAGCCACCAGCCATGGGACTGGTGCAGAGAGGAGAGCCAAGAAGTTGCAGACAAGGCCCAAGAGGGCAGGCAGCACTCATTTCCTCTCCTTTTTCTTCTCTCACTGTTGGGGGAAGAAAGCTTGACAAGCCTTCTCAAGGCAGCCATTAAAATGTGCTTCAGGTGGCTTAGGAGAGAATCCAGGGATATGAGGTGTAATTATGTTTCTTCTGCAACCATGTCATCTGTCTCATTCCTACTCCTGGACCAGATGCTGCAGCAAGAGGTCCTGAGCCAGGTCCCTTTCTGCTCCCTATTCCAGCAAGTACTGATTGATTGATTGATTGATTGATTGATTGATTTAAAATATATGGCAGCGGTGAAAAAGGCAAATTCCATTAGGAAAAGGGTCATAAATATAGGTGCCAATAAAAGAAATATATACAGGGCAACCACATTTGGATTACTTTGCTCACCACTTCTCAAGAATGATATTATAGAGCTGAAAGAGGTGCAGAAAAGAACAACCAGAATGAGCAGGATATTTTAAAAGTTTTTCACCTCACTGCAAACATACTAGAGGACCATCCCTACTGGCCAACCCCAACCCCCAGCTTCTAACTCATCTACCAGTTGTTAAACATTACTTTGGAAACATCCTATGTGTTTTTCTTGTGGCTGGAAATCTTCCTTGAGCAAGAGGTCCCGATTATGCAGAAGAACCCGTGTGCTTACAAGTCCTCTCTTTCTAAAGCTGCACAGGAGGCACGTGAGGAACGGAGCTCTCTTCAGATGTGTGAAGTGGGGAAATATTCTGGGGAATTTTATCAAAAAACACTTTGAGCTTTCTTTGAAGTGTTTCAATTTGAGAAAATGGTCTAAAACTGCTTTGAGTTTGCTTTGAATTTCACTTGCCTCAGACAAGTCACAATTCTCCTCTGTACAGCCAACCCGTCATGATAGTCTTACAATAGCCTTATGGGATTATTGCAAAGATTGCTGAGATTCGTGTGGTGTGCTAGTCCAAACCATTAAAGAGTGCCATTCAAATTCTAATTCCTGAATTATTCCCTCTCTTCTCTTTCAGATACTTGGCATGGCTTTTTCCATGACTCTCTTTCAGCAGATTCACAGGACTGGTAAAAAATACGATGCCTAAGAAACACTACATTGTTAACTGCGTCAGGACTTCTCTCTTGGCACCACGGGTGCAGGAGGAAGAAAAACAACGCTGAAAAAGAAAATCAAGCTATACCTGCTTGGGACCTCCATCCTACCATCCATCACGTGACTAAGCACAATGTATTACTGGACTTCCTTTTTGTTTCTGTTCATTTACCATTTTTGCCAAAGAAGAAAGGAAATTTACTGAGAGCAAATCAGCTTTCTGCACTACTTTGTAGACCCACTGTTTATACTGCTCTCTAACATTATTTAAGGAACAACCTTTACACTGCTATCTGTATTAGACCATTGAGGATAACCCGACTGGTGTGTGTTTAACTTCTAGGAAAAAATCGTTTCCATCTCATGGGTCACAAGCAGCTTTTGCCGAACATAATACTGGGAGACTTGAAAAAGCCACGCAAATGGAGATCCTGTGAATTTGAGCTGCTTGGGGTATAGGGTTTTTGTTTTTGAAGGGGAATATCTTATTATTATCTTACTGTGTATACTAGAATTTAGTACCCAGGTTTATACATTTTTACCGTTTCTCTCCTTTTTCTTATGCTTTTTTTTTCCAGAGTTCTACTGTGCAGTCTTTGATGGATGCCATTTTTAGTGTTTGCAATTTATATCCAGAAAGAAAGGTGCAGCTGGAACTAAATGACTCACAGCCATTGTGTTACTCTCAGCTCAGCGCTGATGTCATGATGGGGCCTGGGTCACATATCACTTTTTAAGATACATGCCTAAGATTTTTTAAACGTACATCTAATGTGAGAATGAAGCAAAGCACGTTCGTGAGAGAGTCAGAACTGGCTGTGATCCCTTCAGGCCAATACTTTTGATAATTCTGTTAGTATGCATTTAAAAATACCACACCAGGGTTTTCATCTGTGAGACAGAAAGGGAATGAGCAGCTCCCAAACTTTGTGTGAAGGTAACTGCTACTATAGCACAATATGTAAAGGTTCCTATGAGCTCCCGTTACCTAACCAGAGGCAGCCCACTATACTTCTGAATGATTCCCTGGTTTTGCTTTTCCTCCTTTCATTCAGACACCATATGGGGCACAGTTGCTGCAAGGCATGTGGCTGGATTATTTGCTCACTCCCAGTCACAGAGAAAACAGCAGAATTACCTGCTGGTTAAGAGAGATGTGGAAGGGGCTCCTCTGAAGGGGGTGAATTTTAACACATTCAGGCTTTTTGTGGTTTAAGAATGAACTTTTTCCAGAAAAATTGTGCTTCCACTATCAGAGTTTGGGGAATTGTGTATTATTAAACCAGTACATGTTTAATGCAGATTGTCAGCCCTCTCCATCCTTCTAAGCCCTGGAGTCCTGTGAGTTGACAGGTAAGCGCTGAGGTCCAGCCTAGGTTATTTTTTTACAAAACCTTCAGCAAGGCCTGAAAAATCTCAAGCATAAAAACCGAACCTATGCATTGTTCTGAATCCTAATGCACCTTGTGAGTGTAGTAGTAAATTTTGACAGGCTCATCATTACAGTCCCCAGGCATGCTCCCAGGGAGAATTCAAAAATGCAAACAGTGTTTTGGTCCATTTTACCCAAGTTATATGTTTCCAGACAGTGAACTGCATTGCATCGGTTCAACTGGTAAAATATATTGAGCTTTAACAGTCAGCTGATATGCAACCTTTTAATTAGAAATGTAGACAATCTTGCAAATCAGTGTTAACGGTTTGAACTGCTGTTGTGAAGTAGAAACTGATCGAAAGAAATATCTAAGCGCTACCATTTTTCTCATTCTCCAATTCTTTCAATGCAGAACTGTCATAAACTTACTTGAAATCCACGTGCTCACCACGCAGATGACATCCTTGGCAAGTCGTGGAGATTTTAAAAGAGTGATGAATTTTGGAAAATGAAAATTTACATTGCCCCTGCTATTTAAAAGCCCTCTTACGTTGGGTAGCATAATATATTTTTTATTTCTATTAATGACAGTTCCTCCCATAGTTCTGAAACATTCACACAGGAGTTTTTGCTTCACATCTTGCAACTTAGAAATGGACCTCCATGTTAAAAATAAACTGTGGGGTGACCCTTTACAAAGTGCCTGCCTTATCAAGCTAATCAAGTAATAAAGATCTTCCAGGACTGTGCCATTTAGGCTGCGGATGGGGAGGAGATGGCATGCTCAAATAATCCCTCTTCTAAAATAACCAAAACTAATCATTCATACACATAAAATAGAATATCAGAAATGAAGCCTTTGTCTTGATATATAGACTGTCCAGGCAAACACGCAACCCCCTGTCTGCTGCCCTAAGTCATGGAAATTATTTGCCGCTTAACTGTATATATGGGTCCTAAAGTGATCTGCATGAGAACACAAATTTAAATGGTGCACAAATGGTGCACAAATTTAAAGTCCCAAGCTGGGCTGTTCATTCTAATTCCATGTGTTTTGTGAAGCTTGAAATAAGGATAGCACCATCTTGCCCTGCAAGGATCGTAATTGTTAGTTTTTCTGAGAAACAGTTTCATAATATTTGCAATTATTCCAAACTTTGCATTTCAACAAAGGAGATGAAGGGGATGAGAAGCAAGTAAAGTGTGTGGCAGATCCAAATAGAAATGACTGCAAGGGGATGAATTTGGTGTTTTGCTCAATATTTTTACTAGGGATAGCTTTTGTTCATTTCAAATGCGTATGTGTGTCTTTGCACACAAGATGGCTGCTCTGCCTTCCATTTTCAAAGGTTGTTCAGAATTGCATCGCACATTGCACACTGTTTTGTCAACATTCCTGCATGTCCTTGAACATACACCTCTGTCTGTTACTGTTTCTTGCAGTAGTGCCCTCTCTTTGATCTTAGTTTCACAAGGGGATTTCTGTTTATTTTGCTGCTCCATAAAAAGAAGATGTGAATGGAAAAGAAAGCTGAACCACTTTGGTTGACTTGCTTGTAGTGTCGCTTCAGTTAGGTGTTGTCCTTTCAACTGTGCTTATTGGCCCCAAAGTAGCTGTGTAGCTCCCTTATTTCTGACATTCGCCAGAACTGACAACATTCTCTTATACTCACCCAGTCCAGAAGTGGATTGGACTAACCATCAGAGGGTACAGCTACAGGGTACAAGAACACTCACCATGAAAGCAATCACCACTCATATCAGGGGGTATGTATGGAGTATGCAGGGTATGTATGTACTCATATCAGGGGGTATTTATGAAGCATATGCAGAGTCACATGCTTCCTTTCTGGCTTGGTTACTGCAATCCAGGTTGGGGAACCTCCAGGCCAGTCTTGGCCCAACAATGCTATTTCCTCCAAAGCACACACTCCTGTCAATCACCTGGCATCACTTGTGATGTCAACTGATGAGCAGGAGGGCACAGTTCAAGTCTGGCAGGACATAATGTAGGAGGATGTAACCTTCACTCATCAGCTGATGAATGGGGGTTAAATTATGCTCCGTTTAGTTACAGGTACCTTCCAGGAGAAGGAAGAAATAAAGGCCTTCCCAAACTCTATGGCTGGATTGGTACTTCTCTGGTGAGCAGCAGCCACAGGGCTGGCAAAGTGCTAATTTCTGCTCTCCATGTGGGGGGAGATAACAGACGGAAGCCTGCTGGGAATAGGTGTGCACAGCGAAACTGAGCAACATTAAAACCATCCAATGCTCCTTGCGCACAGCCAGGGAGAAGCTCTTAAGTGCTTTGAGAAGTTTGTATGATCCACACATTTCAAAGCACTGTCAGGTGCTTGGGAACACCATGCAAGGGATTTTGAAAAGTGAGTGAGACAACCTGCCTGTCAATCATGAAATGTCATGTTAACATCATGTGATTGAAAGGTAGGCTGCCCAATCTGTCGAATTTTCCTTGAGCAGCCAAGCCTGATAATGAGCTGACCCACGGAATCAAAAAGGTCCCCACTCTTCAAATTCTAAAAGTTTGGCACAGACTTACAGGTTGCTTACCAAGGAAGTAAAGGGAGTGTCCTGCTGTCTCCTCCTGCAGTGAGTGCTTTTGGCTTCTGTTCTGTCCACACTTGCTGCTCCCCGCTCCTTTTTTGCTTTCTCATTTCTGCTGTCTCTGCCCCTGTATCGAGGCTCTTCATGTGTACAGTTGTTCTGTGTGTACAGCAGCCTCAGAATGGTAAGCATTTATAGTGCATTTACATACTGTCAGGACTTACTGGTTCTCAGATAAAGGTGTAAGTCCTTGCAGTGATGTCTTGCTGATGCTCTACTAGCCATATTGGGAAACATTTTTTTCATTCATATTTTAAGACCTGAGATACTCAGATGAGGTTGCAAGAAGATGACTTACTTTTAAATTGGGGAAAATGGGACCACATGTATTAATAGTTATGTCTGATTTGTTCTGAGTTGGGATTTATGAATGGACAGGTGCCCAAAGTTGTGAGTGTATGTGTGAATGAGTGCTTTTAAAAGTCGTTTCCGTTATTAAATATTACGCCACATCTCTACCTCTTTCTCATTTTTACCATAGATTTTCCCTCCTCCAGTTAAGTTAAACTATTCCCATTCTCTCCCAAATCTCACATTCTTATGTCAATTAAGCAGGCATTAGAATAAAAAGAAAGAAAACAACACAAGAGGTGAATAATCCAGCTTTGTATCTCTGCAGTCCCAAGGAATACATCATTCCTCCATTTCATTTGCTGAGGCTTGACTTCAGAGATGTAGATCAGTATGTCACTTACCAGTGGCTCAATTACATGTTGCCATCGGCTGGGGGGGGGGGGACAAAATTGGCACTTGTCTGCAGGATGAATGCTTCAAGTCTAAGACAAATGCTTCGTAGTGTAAGATTAAACCGATGTCATCTTACAACTCTCTTCCTGTATCCAAGATAGAACTAGATCTGCCAAGGAACATGAAGCTTCTGCTAAAAAGGGCAAGTCCCCCTTCTTTCTCATTCACAACGTAGTCATGGAACTGTAGAACACAACTCTGCTTGCTGTTCCATCGCGCTCCATGTATGATACAAAGGTCAGAAGTGGGGAGTCTGCTGTCCACACCTCTGCCCTCTACGTGATTTAGATAGCTGCACAATGAGGGTCCCTGGAGGGAGGTCCCACTCTTCCCTCACGACATGATTCTGATCACCTGAGAGATTTAGCTCTGTTATAATGTTATAATGCTCTGCTATAACGCATTTTCCTTCTCCCATTCCAAATCACTGCCATTGTCTGTATGGGATGGAATGTGCAATGTGATCACAGTGTGATATGTTTCATTACTAAACTGTACAGGTGTCACTTGAGTTCTGTGATGGAAGTAAGGGGATATAAATGTAAGAAAATAAATAAAGAGATGTTGCTGGGCAGAAGGGAGAACTTAGTTTTACTGGGTTGGGCAGAAAGTTCCGTGTTCTTCATTCTAGCTAATTCTGTCTTCATGTGCTTTAAGTTCGTCTTCATTTATCCCCTAATATGGCATTCGTACTCATGAGTTTGTGAATACCTTTCTCTAGAATGTTAGAGGAATTAATTAACACAACTGTTATCCTTGAACCAGCTCTTGCTACCTCACAGAAAAGCAAGCAGCAATATGAATTGAAAATTCTTTCAAAGTTGCACAGTGGTATCTGTTGAATGTTAATCTCTGGTGATTTTTTTTTTCAGGGTTTCCATTAAAAAAATGATAAAAATGTTAACTATAAGGCAGAAAAAGCCTAATTCACTGATAACCAACAGCAGCTCCACATGTTGTGCATTGGTACACTTAGGTTTCTTCAGCAAATATGTAAACGTGTTAACAACAGATATCTATACTTAAACACCTGTCTCTGTATATCTGAATTGTGAAGCACCTCTGTACCCTGTTCCTAATGGATAATCTGATTATCTGATTGCAATCCCTGGATTATGTCTTGGTCTCGGACGGTGCAGTAGGACACCCTGCTAATTTTCACTGAGGTGGCTAAAGCTGAATCAGAGCTGTTCCATTTTAGGCAGCATATGGCTCACACAGTCCCACCATATATAGAAATTAGGTGCCAGGGAAAAGGGTTCTAGACTAGCCTTCTCCATGACATGCTAATGTTTCCCATGTAGGAAAAAACTGCAGAGGAGCATTTGCCCATGAATGCACAGTGGTATAGCCCAGATACTACTTTACCTCCTCACTAACAACAAGGCCTAGGATCAGGTAGCTGGCCATTTTGCCTTCTTTTAAACCTTATTTTTTGTAGAGTGCTCACTTACATTTTATGAATGCATAGCACATAGATATTTCCTGTAGTCTTTTAAGCATTATCCAGACCATGCTGGCTGCCGAGAATGAAACAAACCATGGATAGCACCATGCTTCAAAGCTGGTGTTGGGCACTCTGGAGCCTTGGGCTCACCGGAGTCCCCTGTGCTCATGCCCTGGGGGAGGAACAAGATGACTCAATTGGCATGTGGGAGGTGTATGTGAGTCCCCCATGGCAGGTAGTGATGCCAATGGGGGGCCGGGACAAAAGGAAAACAGCTCCACTTAGCATGGGAGTGGATGGAATTATACCCCACATAGGGCAGGGCAGATTGCTGCATAGACAGCACAAAAGCAATACTGTTCTTAAGTTAAGAAAACCAGTTATTTCGAGGGAAATCATTGGATTATACTCTTAATGAATACTAATTGTCCTGTAACTGTTGGGCAAAAGGGATGCTGACTGACTTTATTTTAAAACTACGTTTTTGGTGGGTGGGTATGCATCTGGGGGATGGGTATGCATTTCCTCAAAAAGAAAACAACTGTTGCTTTGATTATTTAACTACACACTTTTAGCATGTTTTTAAATAAAATTTCATATTGAGCAAAAAACATTTTAAGCATATACAACTGTTGATTTGCATTTATATTAAAGGTTGAAGCAAAGCTTCTCGTTTTGTTCATTTTTAATAACCATATTCAGAGTTTTATATGTGTTTTCCTTTGCCTTTTATACATATATAAATTCGTGACACTCCTCAGCTACTGCAAAAAGTTTGTGGTTCTGGCTGTGGCTTATGTGTGGCTAACAGGAAGCGGTTATGTATCTGGCATAAGGACTTGACCTGTGGTTGGTCTAACTTGGGCCACACATACCCAAAAGGGCTGGGCACCACTATTTGGGCAATTTTGCCTTTCTGATACATGTATCATATCGTTATGGTGAAGGAACAGAGCTACTAAAAGCTACTGCTTTTAGAGGTCTATGCATATGAATGTGTCTAATTCTACTGAGAATTCTTTTGAGTACACTTGAAGGACACAATGACAAATATGGACAGCCTGAGAGATTGGCATTTACAGTATTTATCTATTTCATAAAATGTATATGCCACTTGACTTCAGGGGAGAAAACCCAAATGGTATACAAAAAGATTTTTTTTTTTATGAAGAAAGTTACAACCATAGTTTAAACCATACAGAAAGTTTAGGCAATAGAAAAGACTAAAACAAATCAGAACTCATACAAACTTCCTAAACACCTGAATAGGCTTGTCTAAATAGCAGTGTATTTAGCAGGCACTGAAAAGAATACAGTACAGGGAAGCTGCCTGCCTGGCGTCAATAGGCAGGGAGTTCCAAAGTGTTGGTGCTGCCACATAAAAAGATCTAGTCATTACAGATAGTGTGGGTATTATGTAGCACCTGTAAAAATGCCAGTTCTGATGATTGAAGCAGTCGAATGGGCATCAGGAAACCTATGAGAAGGTGGGACTTTGGGGGGCCTCAAAAAGCTATTGGAATCCCAGTATTCCAACAGGGACCCACATGAGAAGCAAACAAAGACAATTTTCAAAATAGATTGTGTGAAAAACAAATGTTTTCAAACTTTTAAATGCAAGACCATAAGGGCCCTTGCAACCTTTCGGGATATCTAAGTATTCAGTGTAAGCAGAAATAAAATGAAATAAAATAAAACAAATAATTTTATTTTTAATACCCTGCCCAGCATGGCTGGACTTCCCCAGCACATATAAAAACATAATAAAACATCAAACATTAAAAAACTTCCTGATGCAAGGCTGCCTTCAGATGTCTTCTAAAAGTTGTGCTGTTCTTTATCTCCTTGACATCTGATGGGAGGGTGTTCCACAGGAAGGGTGCCACTACCTAGAAGGCCCTCTGCCTGGTTCTTAATTCAATTAAAAACTGAATATGAAATGATGGGGAATTTGGCTCTTTCTGTGTGTCCTTGTGCTTTTTGAAGTTGATATGTTACTCTTTCAGCTACAGCAATGGTCCAAAGCCTACCATACCGTGAGTCCAAGGAAAGTATCTTCTAATGCGAGCCTTTAGTGCACTATTTCTAGGTAGGCTGTTACTAAAACAAGAAATCCTGAGTCTTTGAATGTGACATCTTCGTTAACACCTTCAAATAAGTTCAATATGGCTAAGACTAGCAACATAAAAGGCTGGTCTGTGATATGAAGCCAATGCTATTCTAGGCTGCATCAACAGAAGTCTAGTGTCCAGATCAAGGGAAGTAATAGTTGCACTCTATTCTGCCTTGGTCAGACCACACCTGGAATACTGCATCCAGTTTTGGGTGCCACAATTTAAAAAGGATGTTGACAACCTGGAATGTGTGCAGAGGAGAGTCTAGAAGCAAAGCCTGATGAGGAATGGTTGAAGGAGTCGGGTATGTATGAAATTTCATGTAACAGAAGGTGTTGAAGTGCTGCACATTGTTAATGAATTTTTGTAAAGTACATCCAGAGTTGTTTAGTTTGTGATTTATCTCTCTGCGTTCCCAGGGTGTGGTAATAAACTTGGCTGAGATTCCTTCATTGCAAAGGGTTGGACTATATGCCCCTCAGCAATTACTACTTAGTTGCCACCCTTCTGATTTGAGAGACAATGGGAAAGTGTGCCACTGGGAGTAAAGTAAAACTGTTGGAGTTACAGTGATTTGCTATGGGAATACCACTAAAGGTGTGGGGTCCTCAGTATGCTTTCAATGGGTTCCTTCAACATCTGCATGGAAGCCACCTGTGCAATCTTGCCTTGCAAGGAAGCCCAACTCCCCAGTTCTGACTGCAGAGGCTGCAGTTGCCCAGTGATAACGGAAAGATACTCTGCACGTGCTTAGATGTATTGCTAAATGGGTATAGTTGGAGGAGGTGGGGTAATGTACCTTCAGTACCCTTCCCCTTTCTGCTTACACTCCTGGAGAGCTGAGGCTCAATACGTATATGCTTGAGGCAGAAAAGCCAAACCGATCTAGCCATATAGATAAGCTGAACAGTGATCGATTGCTTGCCCTTTCAATTATATCTTCAAATCTGTTTGCGCTGCCTAATGGTCGGCTCTGCTCGGGAATGGAGGAAGGGAGCTTTTGACACTGCTCCCTAAGCTGCCCTTCAATGGAGCTGGCGGTCTCCTCGCCCAACGCCAGCCTGCGCTTCTGCTGCACTGCCTGCCAAAGAGGTCTTCTGAGGACAGAGCAGAACTGGAGTGTCAGGTGCTTTCACTTCCAACTGGAGGGGGGGCACCTCTATTGTTTTCTATTTTTATCTTCCCCAAATGCTGCAACAAGTGCAGCGCAAGGTAATGCAGCCCCGCACCATTTCCAAGGCAGGAAGGCGCGCTTGCTTCTATGGGGCTCAGGACCCGTCCTTGGGAAGCTGGGAGGAAGCGGGAAACAGGGAAGCGGAGGGGCGCCGTCCCTCGGCTGCCGGCGGGCCCGGCCTGCTGCTCGGCCCGGAGCGGGGACTCTGCAGCGCAGCCCCGGCACAAGAGCCCAGCGGGGAAGCCCGGGAGTTGCCATAGAGACTCGCGGCGCAAGCACGACGTGAGCTCCCTTCTGCCGAGCCGGAGGGAGAGGAGTTAATGGGCTGACCCACAAAATCTTCTCCGGAGAGGCGAGCGGACCCAGAGCGGAGCCGCATCGAGGGCGCCTTCGAGCGGGCGAGCAGTCCCGGGCCATGCCGCCCGCCGGCCCCGCTGGCGCGCCCCGTCGCCTCCGGATCCCCAGACGGGGCAGCTGATCCATGTCCGCCCAAGTTCCGCGGCGTCGGGTCCTCGCTCTTCCGCGGCCGAGGGGCCTCCGGAGACGCCTGAAGCGCCTGTTGCTCGCCCCGGGCGGCGGCGGCGGCCGGGCTGGAGAGGGAGCCCGGGGAGCCTGGATGCGGAGCCGACGGGCGCCCGAGCCTTGGCGGGGCAGCCGAAGGGCACGCGCGGACGCAGCGCCGGCGGAGGGCTGAGGAAGCGAGCCAGCTGCCTCCCCCGGACCCCTCGGCCGGCTCCGATGGGCACCAAACACTCTTCGCGCTGCCTGCTCCTCAGGAGGAAAATGGCGGAGAGCGCGGCGGCGGAGAACACCGAGGTGAGAAAGCGGGCGGCGCGCACCCCCCCTAGCCCCCTTGGCAGGCGCCCACCTGAGCGCGCCCCGGAGCCGGGCGTCGCCGGCGCCCAGCCTCGGCTCCCCGGCCGGCGAAGAAAGGGCAGCCTCGCCGCGGAGACGGGCCCCTCCGGTCTTCCCTCCGGCCCCTCGCCGAGGGGTCCGCCGGGGCTTCTCCCTGCCCGGGGGCGCGCGGGGCTGACTCCTTTCCGCGGAGTGGTAGCGGAGGGTCTCCCGGCCTGCCGGCAGGACCACCTTCTCCCAGCCCGGCCGGGGCTCCCTCCGCTCCGGCTGCCGCAGATCGGCTCCTTCCCGGGCCGGACACCTCGGGCTGCTCTCCAGCGCCTCCGGCAGCGCGGCTGCCTGGAGCGGAGCGGCGAGGGCAGGATGCAGCCCGCAGTGCCCGGCGGAGCTGGCCCGGGCGCCGCGGAGGGAGCGAGCGGCGGGGCGCGCGATCGGGTCGGGTCGGTCGGCTCCACGTGGCGAAGCAGCCTCGCCGCGGAGTCGGAAACTCCTTGGGGCGGGAAGGGCTTCCTTCTCGGGACTCGGGGCTGCGCGCAGGCGGGCGCCCGAGGAGCCCGCGTCCCTTTCCGTCTGCAGCTTGTCCGCCGGGCTCCCCTCCCCGAAGACTTTCGACCGGCCGGCCGTTTGTCCAGGCTCGCGCAGGGCGCTGACCTACTTTGCCCGGGTCTTGGCTCTTGCGGGGGAGGAGGAGGGTGTCCTGGAAATGTTTAATTCCCCCGCATCGCAATCTGCCTCCAATCTGAGCTCCACAACTCTTCGCCTACGTGCAAGAAAGGTTTCTAAATGCGCCTGAACGCGAGGCGGCTGGAATGATCTCAAAGGAGAATGATTAAAGCAAAAAAAAACCGAGGCGGGAGCCACATGGCAGGTGCTGCATGGAAGCTCCTGCAAACACTTTGTGAGGGAGACGATGCTAAAAACAGCAGCAGGCGGGCGGAGCATCTGCAAAGTGCCGGAGGAGCCGCGCGCCGCCTGCAACTGGGGTTCGCCTGAAGGTCACAGCCTGGCTGGTTAGAGTTGTTTTACCTGAGATGAGATGCTTGAAGGTGGGGGAGCGTATTAGCTGAGACCTTAAACTTTAATTATTTGAACCACGTTATGTTCTCCCATCCTCCTCCTCCTCACTCTGTGAAGGCAGGTAGAAAATGTTCAGCTTGGAAACGGAAAGCAATGAGTTTGCCCTCCTTAGGCTGCATCCAAATGACCTGTGGTAGCCAGGTAAAACCTCCATGTTCAAAACAACATGCCCCAGAATACCAGGTGATGATTGTGATCTGTTTGGCTGCAAAGATTTTTGCTTAGATTCAGCAGGCTCTTCTCATATTGAAGTTAAATGTTTGCTAAAGGGAGAGTAACATTATAAACTAATTAAAAATGGGTAGCTATTCTCTACTGAAGATAGAGTTAACAAGATAACGGTAAGTTTATCTCTTACAACATATCCATAGTTCTTACCTTACTAACTCTATGTTATAACCCACCCTCTTCTGTTGTGAAGTTAAGGCGTTCAAGGGTGCAACTGCAAGTATCAAATCCCACCTTAACCATAAACTCGCTTTTGTTACTTCAGTCCAGTGCCGTGCGGTCATTGGACTAAGGGACTAGGCTAGTCTCCTAAATGTTCCCCTGGTCCCTCCTTCCCTGTCCCGGGAAGCTTCCGCCCTGCTTAGGGAGGGAGGTGCGATGCTCATTAGGACGTCACAACGTCACATGCATGACACTGACTCCCCATGCCTCTCACAAGCTAGCACCTCTGGTCCTAACTGTTCCCTATGAAAAAATTCACCACACACCACTGCTTCAGTCATTGTTTGAAGAAACTTCAAATATCTCTGTTTGAATAAATATTGTTTAAGAATGAGTAAGAAATTATGGCGGGACTGTCAAGCCTATATTTGTTAACTTGGACCTAACACCTACATTTAATATTATCTTCAAATAATTATCTACTAATGTAGTCTACTATTGACCTCTGTCAGATGATCTATCAGATGCTTTATGATACTGCTTCTTTCAAATTAAGACTACAGAATCTGTTTTCTCACTGGTTAAACTTTAACTGCATGCTGAGTCAACTTATTGTCTTTTATAACTGATATTTTCAGTGACCAACAACGTACCTGCCATTAATTAGTCATAAAGATATAAGAGGCATATTGTACCAAGGAATTCCATTAATTAACAAACTTGATAATACTCTGGTTCAGCTTCATAGATTTGATTTCTTCTGGTGACTAGCAAGTTGACAACTGGCGCTGTGGGTTAAACCACTGTTCCGCTTGGGCTTGCTGATTGAAAGGTCGGCGGTTCGAATCCCTGTGACGGGGTGAGCTCCCGTTGTTTGGTCCCAGCTCCTGCCAACCTACCAGTTTGAAAGCACACAGTGCAAGTAGATAAATAGGTACCACTCCAGCGGGAAGGTAAACAGCATTTCTGTGCACTGCTCTGGTTCGCCAGAAGTGGCTTAGTCATGCTGGCCACATGACCTGGAAAAACTGTCTGTGGAAGCAGACAAATGCCGGCTCCCTCGGCCTTTAAACCGAGATGAGCGCCGCAACCCCAGAGTCGTTCATGACTGAACTTAACGGTCAGGGGTCCTTTACCTTTTTACCTTTACTGTCTATTATCTAAAAACTACCCTGTAAACAAGAACTAATGAACTGATGACTTATTGAACTGATAAGCATTAGCAATTGATTTCCTGAATAACTGATAACCAATGACTGATGACTATTTTGAAAGTGATTACTAACTATTAACAAGAGCAGGTGGGTACCACTGATGTTTGATCTTGTTAGACTGACCTGCTTCTTCAAGGGAAGTGCAGCCTTAATCCAGGGAAGGTGTCCTTTGCAACTCATGGACCCCCCATGAAGCCACCCTCCTGCTTGGATTCACATCCAGGCACTGGTCTTCTTTTCCTGATTCTGATGGTGTGGAGGGGTAAAGCTGGTGTCTTCATCATTGTGCGCCACCTCAGCCCAAATTCCCTGATTTGGCATCATTTCAAAATGGCCTCATATAAGTAGCATGGGGAACAATAACACTGCTCTGCTGGCCATATGACAGAAAGCCATTGACTACATGAAATAATTGCTGGAGGATGCAGGTGGTGGAGAAATAAGTTTCCCTTATCATTGCTTCCACAATAATACACTGTTAACCCATATTCAGTCAGACTCAGCTTTGTACCACTGCATTCTCATAGTCACCCTTCCTCCTTCATCACATACACGTCTCCGAGTACTTCATGGTGTTGGCAAGGATACCCAGGAACAATTGCATTGAAGGCCTACACATCTCACGATTCCCACAGTAAGAGAACGGCCTCAACAGCAGTGCCAGCCGTATCAGCTAGAAAATTCTTCAGAGCATTCAGGAAACAACCTGATTCTATAATTCTCCAGGGCAGACTATCTCAATGGTTCTCCTCCTCTGCAGAGGCAGAGAGGCGCATCCAGCTCAGACCTCACCAGGGAATCATTTGTCCATGACCGTGTGCTCAAATCAGCTTTGTTGCAAAAATCAGGTCATGTTCTGCCATATTGGGACAGCCCTGTGGTTCTCATGGAGGCCATTAAATCCTGAGCCAGAGCACTGGGGCCACCTGGAGATGAATGTAGAATTCTCCCAACAGATTAAAAATGCTCTATACAGGCCATGGCTCTCATCCATTGAAATTCTAAGGAATATACTAAATCTAAATTAGATCTATTCTAGATATGAGTTTTCTCTTCTGATGTGTGTGCAGAAGAGTGGCTAGGACTTATGAGTGTTTTACAGCCTATATTTCCATACTTTGCTGCATATTTTGTGATTTTAAATCTCTGCTGTTCTCTAACGACAGAGTGAGAATTTCCATAATTCTTCTTCTTTTCTAGGTTGGCAGTGGTCCTTCCCCACCCATTCAGCCTCCAGCTGTTCCAAAGCCTGTCCAATCCACCATTCCTGCTCCAGGCAGAGGAAAAATAGCAAAATTCCTCAATCCAGAAGAGATGACATCAAGGGATTATTACTTTGATTCATATGCCCACTTTGGAATTCATGAGGTAATCCCTTAAAAAAACACTACCGTATTGGCTTGAATATAAGCCGCACCCACAAATAAGCCGCACCTTTAAAATTCAAGCGGGCTAGGCTTGGGAGCAGCGGGCTGGCTGTGCACTGCTGTCCCGCACTCCCAGGCTGCTCTTGGGGGGGGGGACCATGCCACTTTTATGTAGTTATATGTAATAAATATTACAGTGATCAAAATCAAGAAGGGTCAAGGACTTATATAAAAAAAATGGAATTCCCAAGGTCTAGTTGTACCTCAGTCCCTCATACATTAATTTGTATGTGTGTATAATGCTTTGATTAATAATAATAATAATAATAATAATAATAATAATAATAATAATAATAATAATAAATTTATACCCCGCCCATCTGGGCGGCTTCCAACAAAATATTAAAATACAGTAATCCATCAAACATTAAAAGCTTCTCTGAACAGGGCTGCCTTCAGATGTCTTCTAAAAGTCTGGTAGTTGTTGTTCTCTTTGACATCTGGTGGGAGGGTGTTACACAGGGTGGGCGCCACTACCGAGAAGGCCCTCTGCCTGGTTCCCTGTAACTTGTAAAATTTGGTGGAGATTTCAGGCAGCATCACCTTTGATGTAGTGGCTGAGAGATGGAGCCTGCAGGCCACCAGCTCACCATCACCAATAGCCAGTTTAAAATGTGACACACATTTGAAGCAGGTCCTCAGGCGCAGGGAAGTAGTTGAGCAGGTGGAACTCACCCTGCCTTATCTTGAAAATGTATTAGCCATCAGCTCCACCCTCTAACCAACTGAACTATCTACAGCGGCACTGTTAGCTTCTTTAACTATATAGGTAAAATGGCTGCAAAACTTTGCTCAGAAACTTCCACTTGCCTAATTCCATGTTAGATCAAACAAAAGATAGTACGGATAATTGAACAGCAACTTTACTGATGTTGTTCATGTTACTGTGGAACATAAGCAAGGGATGAACTAAACAACCTTCAAGATATAGCTGCGAAATCCATGAATCTGTGCAAAGTTCCAAGTGTTTTCTCCCCAAATTTGAGAACATTTTTGCTAGCTAAAACATATAATGATTTTTTAAAAATGGAACACAAGTAAATCATGTATTTTCAAGTAAAGTAAACATATGGTGCCTTTTTCTAACACAGGAAATGTTGAAGGATGAGGTGCGCACATTAACGTACAGGAACTCCATGTATCATAATAAACATGTTTTTAAGGATAAGATTGTATTGGATGTTGGAAGTGGCACAGGGATCCTTTCAATGTTTGCAGCAAAGGCAGGAGCCAAGAAAGTTTATGGGGTAAGAAGAGCATTTTCTGAAAAATCCTGTCACATTTGCATGTATATTTTTGCAGCTTTGTAGCAGCGTTGCCAACTTTTGATTTTAAAAATTTAGATGCCCACAGTGAAGTTCAATGGACTCTGACTCGTCCGGATATGGAGCCAGGCAAAATGTTCTGGCAATCAATCAAAATGTCTGGCTTTTATATTAAAAATTCTAGCAATTGGCCAAAAAATCAGCCAGGTCAGTTCCCCTCCCCCAACCATGTTGGCAACCCTACTTAGAAAGGATCTGCACTAGATATTCTTTCCATCTTGGTGTCATTCTCATCCATTTCTTTTCTTGCTACATGTCACATAGTACAATCTTTTGTGTGTTTTTTCCCAAGTCCCACAATTTGCAACGGGGCCTACGGACAAGGAAATGTGCATAGGATCGTACCTACAGATAATTCCTTTGGCTCTTTTCAGCCACATGGTGTGTCCTAATATCTGTGAGGTTGGAGTCAGACATTTGTTTAGTGGTAAACAAGGTGACTCAAGTTGAATAAGTTCCCTCCACAATGTGACTGAGCAATTTCTAACATGGCAGCTGCATATTGAGATTGTGACTCTGCACTTCCTGGTTCAGATTCCTTTGAAATATTTTCTGGAAATTGATGAGAATTAGATCTGCCAGTGTTAAGTTGTGGGTGAACATATCAGACGACACAGCGATTCTTCAAACAGCTCTTCTTTATTCAGAGGCCAGAACAGAAACTGAACTGAAGGGCTCAGTCAGCCTGCTTATATAGAGCTCCAGTACCACGTGATTGTAACAATTTTCTAAAACTATCCAATCATTGAACGTCACTTTCGATCCTTCATTTGCATAACTATCTACAGTATCCCCCTGCTGGCCCAGGGTGAGAACTTCAGTACATAACAGCCAGTTAGGCTGGAAGGGGGTGGGTTAGAAAAATATTTCACTGTGGAAAAGGGTGTCAGTAACTCCAGAGTGATTTCTTGGGGAAGGTTCTAACCCCTCACCAGAACTTTCTGACAGCCAGTCACTCTTCCCCCACACTTTGTGCTTTATTTCTTTGGCTCTCTTCCAGACTAAGCTGAGCCAGAAGCAGCTTACGACAACATCCAGGTAATATCAAAATACAAAGCATTTTGTATTTCCTCCTGTCACTAACATACACTGCCAAAGCACTAATTTAAAAGAAGTTCACATAATAAAAAACAAACAAAAAGGGATAAATATACAATTATCTACATTATGAAAATACAGTAATAGTATATAAGCGTGTTGGAAGCCGCCCAGAGTGGTGGCGCAACCCAGCCAGATGGGTGAGGTATACATAATAAAATTATTAATGATAGAATAGTGGTATATAGTAATAGTATCAATAATAGTAATAATCAATCAATAATATGACAGTAAGTAAGTAAGTAGTAAGTAAATTTTTATTAATACCCCGCCCTCCCCAGCCAAGACCGGGCTCAGGGCGGCTAACATCAAATGTCAAATACATTAAAACACAATCAAACAATTGATTAAAATAGTTTAAAAATTAGAATCAGGGTAAAATTAAATGACTGCCCGCGAATTACTGCCACAGGGGTCGGGAACCTCAAGTATTCATCAGGGCCAGCTATCCATGTTGGTCCCACATGACCCGATAAAAGAGGTAACTTACAGGGTTCCATAGAGGGGGGTCAAACTGCACCCGAACCAACGGCCAGGCAGAATAGCTCGTCTGTGGAAGGATGTAAAGTCCTGCAGGGCCCTGGTCTCCTATGATAAAGCATTCCACCAGGCTGGGGCCAAAGCTGAAAAGGCCTTGGTCCTGGTTGAGTTTAACCTCCTTGAGGCCCGGGACCTCCAAGATATTATTATTTGTGGACTGTAAGGTCCTCCATGGGGAATACCAGGAGAGGCAGTCCCGTATTATGAGGGTCGTAGGCCGTATAGGGCTTTAAAGGTTAAAACCAGCACCTTAAACCTGACCCTGTACTCCACTGGGAGCCAGTGCAGCTGGTATAGCACCGGGTGAATGTGATCTTGCAGCGAGGACCCCGTAAGGAGCCTTGCCGCGGCTTTCTGCACCAGCTGGAATTTCTGGGTCAGTCTCAAGGGCAGCCCCACATAGAGTGAGTTACAATAATCAAGGTGACCGTCACATGGATAGAATAATAGAATCATAGAGTTGGAAGAGACCACAAGGGCCATCGAGTCCAACCCCCTGCCAAGCAGGAAACACCATCAGAGCACTCCTGACATATGGTTGTCAAGCCTCTGCTTAAAGACCTCCAAAGGAGGAGACTCCACCACACTCCTTGGCAGCAAATTCCACTGTCGAACAGCTCTTACTGTCAGGAAGTTCTTCCTAATGTTTAGGTGGAATCTTCTTTCTTGTAGTTTGGATCCATTGCTCCGTGTCCGCTTCTCTGGAGCAGCAGAAAACAACCTTTCTCCCTCCTCTATGTGATATCCTTTTATATATTTGAACATGGCTATCATATCACCCCTTAACCTCCTCTTCTCCAGGCTAAACATGCCCAGCTCCCTTAGCCGTTCCTCATAAGGCATCGTTTCCAGGCCTTTGACCATTTTGGTTGCCCTCCTCTGGACACGTTCCAGTTTGTCAGTGTCCTTCTTGAACTGTGGTGCCCAGAACTGGACACAGTACTCCAGGTGAGGTCTAACCAGAGCAGAATACAGTGGCACTATTACTTCCCTTGATCTAGATGCTATACTCCTATTGATGCAGCCCAGAATTGCATTGGCTTTTTTAGCTGCCGCGTCATACTGTTGGCTCATGTCAAGTTTGTGGTCAACCAAGACTCCTAGATCCTTTTCACATGTACTGCTCTCAAGCCAAGTGTCCCCCATCTTGTATTTGTGCCTCTCATTTTTTTTGCCCAAGTGTAATACTTTACATTTCTCCCTGTTAAAGTTCATCTTGTTTGTTTTGGCCCAGTTCTCTAATCTGTCAAGGTCGTTTTGAAGTGTGATCCTGTCCTCTGGGGTGTTAGCCACCCCTCCCAGTTTGGTGTCATCTGCAAATTTGATCAGGATGCCCTTGAGTCCATCATCCAAGTCGTTGATAAAGATGTTGAATAAGACCGGGCCCAAGACAGAACCCTGTGGCACCCCACTAGTCACTCTTCTCCAGGATGAAGAGGAACCATTGATGAGCACCCTTTGGGTTCGGTCAGTCAGCCAGTTACAAATCCACTGAGAGGTAGCATAGTCAAGACCGCATTTTACCAGCTTCTTTACAAGAATATCATGGGGCACCTTGTCAAATGCCTTGCTGAAATCAAGGTAGGCTACATCCACTGCGTTCCCTTCATCTACCACTGTGGCTAGATCAGGGCGAGAAAGGTAAGAGACCAGCTGCTTAATACAGCGGAGATGGAAAATGCCACCTTTGCTGTGGCTGCAACCTGCACCTCCATAGGGAGGGAGGCGTCAAAGGTTATACCCAAACTCCTAACAGAAGTTTTATCAAACTAAATACCTGTCACACATTACTCAAATACAGTGTCACACTTGGGTTTTCCATTAAAAATCCACTTGGTACAGAGACAGTGAGCATGCTAACTCCCTCAGACTGATTTAGAAACAATGCTACAGTGTTGTCCAGAGGTATTAGAAAGTGGGCCAGGTTCCAGGAAAAATGGCCTTGGCAAACCCCCCCCCCCACGCCCGCCATTGAGTTCAATGAGTTTGATATATACGAGTTTGGCCTTGGACACGATCTCCGGAAAGTAACCCCCACGCAAGTTGCAGGCTTACTGTAAGGATATTTTAGCTAGTCACCCACTTCCTGCAATGTGGAAACAAGGAGCCCACCTATGTTGAGTCAGACTGACCTATTTCTTTGTTAAATCCAGGCTATAAAATATTTAAAATATTTATGGCTAATAGATTTAAAACATTTATTGGCAGCTATATAAAGGGACGCGGGTGGCACTGTGGGTTAAACGACAGAGCCTAGGGCTTGCCGATTGGAAGGTCGGTGGTTCGAATCCCCGCAATGGGGTGAGCTCCCGTTGTTCGGTCCCATCTCCTGCCAACCTAGCAGTTCGAAAGCACATCAAAGTGCAAGTAGATAAATAGGTACCGCTTCAGCGGGAAGGTAAACAGCGTTTCCTTGCGCTGCTCTGGTTCTCCAGAAGCGGCTTAGTCATGCTGGCCACATGACCCAGAAACTGTACGCCGGCTCCCTCGGCCAATAAAGCGAGATGAGCGCCACAACCCCAGAGTCGTCCACAACTGGACCTAACGGTCAGGGGTCCCTTTACCGTTATATAAAGGCAGCAACTGATTTGTGAGGGGTTATGTTCCAGACTCCCATACTCGTTGGCAGGGCTGTGTAAGCTGGCCCCGTTCTGCCCCCTTTTTGACTTTTTGGGTCACTTCCAGGGTTGGCATGATGCATGCTTGCGGGGTTGCACACATATTGGACAAACCTAAAATGATCACTGGCTGTACACTTCAACCAATCTGGTTTTGTTCCAGGTCCAATAATTACTGATCCAATAAGAAAATGATTAAACATTCTTCATTTTAGTAGAGAAAGGGAATATCATCACCTTTAGCAAGTGTCTCACTTGATATTTTTTTAATGTGTAGATCCAAATTATCTAATGGAAGTAGTTTAAAATTTGGATTTGTAAAAAAAAACTTGTAAAAACTTCTGGAAGGCATATATGATAGAAGACAGGCTGCAATTAGAATAAATAATTCAGATTCTCCAAAATGTGCTCTTAGTTGTGGAATGAAACAGACTGCTCTGTGTTGCCTCTGTTATTTGTCTTAATTTTAGAACCATTAGCAATTAAATTACACAATGGCCTCTCTGGTACGGGAGTGGTTATAAATGGAAGTGGTTATAAATGGAAAAGAACAAAATTTAGGCCTCTATGCACATAATATAATTTTATGCACCTCTGACCCTATTACAACAGGCAACATATTATGTACGGAATTGGAGCAGTTCTCCAGGGTCTCCGGATTGCAAGTTAATTTTCAGAAATGAGAGGTAATGTCTTTTCATACACCACTCCATATACACTTAAAACAATGTTGAAGAGTCCAATAGCTAGGAAAAGTTTTAGATCGCTGGGGGTACAAATGACCTATAATTTGAATGTTAGTATAATTATAGCACTGTTTGAAAAAACATATGTACAGATATAATACATTGGAATAAAATGAGACTCTCCATTACAGACAGACTGGCCACATCCAAAATTATGATTGCACCTTAATTGCTCTTTTTCTTTCAAACGCTGCAAGGTTGAATACCAATAGCTCATCTGAACAATCAGCAGAATTGGACCAACCACATTTTTAAAAATCTTTATTGTATCTTCACCCATCAACCAGTTGGGGCATTCCAAAATTAAGTAACTAAGTAGCTATTATGAAGCAATCCAACTTAATCATATGGAATTGAGGTCATCCAGTAAGAGAACCCAGTTGTCAACACTGAAGGATAAAGAAATTGGATGGTGTTCAAACAGGGGTATTAGCATTAATGAAAAATACGTTTTGATAGTTGAGTTGGCTTGCTAAGCCTTATACTCTTATGTCATTTAGAATATGGGAAAAATGGGCAAAAGTTTTAGCCCCAGTACTGTCACTGTCACTTTAAGTTCAGTACAGCATCTTCCTTTATCTCAAAATAAAAATAGATAATAAAATGTGATTGTATGGAAAGAAGACCAGTTATATTATTTGAAAGGTTTTTATACCAAGGGACAACATCTTACAGCAGCAGAGATTACGTTTAGAAAATAATCAGATTTTATGTTTGTTAGGATATCAGTTTCCTACACATATACAAATTTAAAAGGATTAATTAAAAAGGAAGCTATAAGGAAACTAACAGAATTTGAAAAGATAAGAGGAAGCATAATGACTAAGGGATTAATTTCCCTTCTATACAAAACCTTGATTGAGAACCAGTTTTGAGAACAAAATCTAAAAAACTGGTGAGAACTAAATTGGGATATAAATATTGATAAGGATAAATGCAACTATCTGTGAACAAAAGCACCATATACATCTCTGTCAGCAACTACTAGTAAATGTTCACTAAAAATTGTGCATGGATGGTGTTTCTTATGCAAAGTCCAATAGCTTCTTATGTAAAGTCCAATGGAGAGGATACGAAATTATAGTACATATGAACACATGTGATGGGAATGTCCACAAATAGGGAAAAAAATGGAATTGTCTTTTAAGAGCTATCTCAGATTACAGCTCAGACAATCCCAATAACCCCAGCATTAGCCTTGCTTAATTTATATACTTCAGATATGCACCAATTAAGAAGTAAGGAATTAATTACCGTATTTTTCACCCTATAGGATGCACTTTTCCCCCTCCAAAAATGAAGGGGAAATGTGTGTGCGTCCTTTTGCTGAAGCCTGGAGGGGTCGGTGTGTCGAGAATCCAGCTCGACATCAGTAGGAAGATCAGTAAGAAATCAGTCTCACACCAAGATGACTTGAAGAAAAAGCTTTGGCTTCAGCCGTGCAATGTTTATTGTGTGCAGTAAAAAATAAATCATCCTCCCTCCTCCAGCACTGCGCTTGCTCTGTCTGGTACTCAAAAGTAACAAATCAAAGGAATGTAACCTTGCTTTTGCCCACAGACAAAGAGAGTGTTATGCTACGTGAGCCAATCATTAGTCTAGCATGAGGTGTTCACGTGCTCATCATGCTCTTAGCAATATCTTGTGCTGTAAAATCACTCTGCAATAATAAGAACTCTGCTCATGCTCTTATGTACAAGCAATCATTTTCCCACATCGGTGCGCACCGACCCCTCTCGCTCTCCAGGCTTCAGGAAGCTATCCGCAAGCCTTGGGGGCCCGCGGGAGTTCCCGCCGGGCTCCCTAGGCTTGCGGATAGCAGCCTGTTCTGGGGGCTGGGGTCGGGGGAAGCTCAAGCTTCCCCCGCCCCAGCCCCGCGCCTGGGGGGAAAATATTTTTTTTCTTCCCCCCCCCAAAAAAAACTAGGTGCGCCCTATGGGCCGATGCTCCCTATAGGGCGAAAAATACGGTACACATTTATTAACAGCAACCAGAATGGTAATAGCCAGAACTTGGAAAACATTGCCATTACTGAATATAGATCATTGGTATAATATATTCTGGCAACAGACATAATGGGAAAGTTTTCACAAGAACTGAACATGGCAAGGGCACAGAAAAATAAAATAATGTTTACACTCTATGGTATGATTTTATTAACTATACAAATGAAATATTACATGGATGAGAAATACCTAAAACATATACTGTATTATGGCATGGATAAGCAGGCAATATTCTTTAGTTCCAATTTGATTTATTGAATAATCCATTGATTTTTTTTGTAATCACCTCATTATTATGTTTTGCATTCTCCCTCCTAGTGATTCATTTTTTTTGTTAGTTTTGTCATGGTTTATTATTTATGTTTGTACAAAGAAATTACAATACAGTGGTACCTTGGTTTAAGAACAGTCCTGTTTACGAACAATTCGGTTTACGAACTCCGCGGAACCGGAAGTAGTGTCCCGGTTTGCGAACTTTACCTCGGTCTAAGAACGGAATCTGAGCGGTGGAAGGGCACCAGCAGTGGGAGGCCTCATTAGGGAAAGTGCGCCTCGATTTAAGAACGGTTTTGGTTTAAGAACAGACTTCCGGAACAGATTATGTTTGTAAACTGAGGTACCACTGTAATTGTTTTGTGAATGCTTTGTTACTGATTTACGGTAATTAAAATATTAAAATGAGAAAAAATGAAAGAAGCATATCACATTATTTACTAAAGCACAGTTGGTCTATGTTTGCACTACAGACTAAAAGAAGGTCCTCTAACAGATTCCTCACTTCGCTAACCAGTCAGCAATTGCCAGAAGTCATGAAGGAAGTCATGATACGAAACCAAGCTATCATTTTGGGGGTCTCAAAGGATTGAACTGGGGTTCTTAAAGGGATGGAATGGGGAATCATGACTTCCGTGGCCCCAGATCTGGAAAGAAGGTGGTTCAGTATTTTGTCCTAAATGGGAGAAAAGAAAATGGAGACTATGCCTCAATGAGCATATATACACTAAAAACTTAAATTTGTATTTCCCGCTTCTTCTAGATACATATTTTCATATTCTGTTTTTTCTCTCTCCATACAGTTTCTGGCATGATTCAAATAAAATGCCTTTCATTGGTTCTGCAATACTTAATGCAAAACACTTTCTCTTTCTCTCCTGCATCCTTTAGATTGAATGCTCCAGTATATCTGACTACTCGGAAAAAATTGTCAAGGCAAATCACTTGGACCACAGTAAGACATATTTAAGGAAATTAGTTGTGCCTAGTGTTTCTGATGTATTTACATATCCATGTTTGCATTTTGGTTTATGGATTTATTATGATTAATTTTTTTAACACACACACATACCTTTCTAGGGTAAAGGTAAAGGGACCCCTGACCATTAGGTCCAGTCGTGGCCGACTCTGGGGTTGTGGCGCTCATCTCGCTCTATAGGCCGAGGAAGCGCCGCAGCGTACAGCTTCCGGGTCATGTGGCCAGCATGACTAAGCCGCTTCTGGCAAACCAGAGCAGCGCACGGAAATGCCGTTTACCTTCCCGCCGGAGCGGTACCTATTTATTTACTTACACTTTGATGTGCTTTTGAACTGCTAGGTGGGCAGGAGCAGGGACCGAGCAACGGGAGCTCACTCCGTTTGTGGGGATTCGAACCGCCAACCTTCTGATCGGCAAGGCTCTGTGGTTTAACCCACAGCACCACCCGCGTCCCTTTTTTTCTAGATTACAGTCCTTCTATAAATATTCACTAAAAAGAACCAGAGTATTCACACACATGAAAACATCTAAGAAAAAGGTAGAGTCCTGTTGGATCAGACCAATAAACATCTAGTCCCATGGTTGGGAATCTCTGGCTTATTAGGCCCAGCAGACTCCAAACCATGCCCACCTGTCATCAGGTGTGAGCATCATGCACAGGAGGACAAGTAAAAACATACCACTAAATTTAAAAGGAAGAATTGGGAGTGTGCCCTAAGTATGTGCCTAGTTCTTCCTTTGCAGCCATGGGCTTAAAGTCATCCTCTAAGAGCACCAGGTGTTTCATAGGTGGGTGATGTTGGTGAAATTTGGAAACACGGGTGAAATTGCACTAACAGCTTGGTCTAAGTCTGGAACTTACCATTGCTCTCCCAGGCCTTTGGCTAATTTAACAATATATAGCCTTTTTTAATGGGGGATTGTTTCTGTTTGCTACTATGTTAGGGTTTTTTGTTTGTTTTTTTGTAAATCATTTATTATGTATTTTATTACATTTTATATATTTATATGTTGTTCTAAGATCTGGGTATGATTTTCATGAATACCAGATCATAAATTACCAAAATAAACTGATAAAACTTTGTTCGATAAAAAGTAAACCTCAGGCACTTTCCAGATCTTAAGGGTATTTGTTGGCCACAGACTCAGCTCATATCTGTATCTGTCACTTTGGAAAGCAGCACAAGCTGCTCCGAGTTCTTCTGCTGAGTTCAAGTTGTGTTTTGTGTCTAAAGCTGTTTTGCTGGAAAGTAAGTTGCACCATTCACCATTATGGAGAAGGAAAAAATTGCTCTGATGTTTTCTGTCCTGACAGAATTTGCAGTTGCAGAAGGCCCTGTAGAGTAGCTGCGAGGTTACAGGCAGAGTTTGGGGGCTGGATGCCTGGATTTGTTTAGAAAAAGGAAACCTTTTTTCATTTTATATGAAATCTGTTCTTTTTTGCTCCTTACAGTAATCACAATATTTAAGGGTAAAGTAGAAGAAGTTGAATTGCCTGTGGACAAAGTAGACATCATCGTCAGTGAATGGATGGGTTACTCGCTTTTCTATGAGTCCATGCTTAACACTGTCATCTTCGCTCGAGACAAGTGGCTGGTAGGTGCTTTGTATATCACACCTGTTGCTGTAATGAATGGCCATTAGTTTGCCAGTCATTGTCCTCCCCCCATCAATACCCCATTAGCTTGTTGGAATGGGAGTCATTTTCAGACTCTCTATGATCTGCAAAGAGGGTGAAATAAACAGAGAAATAGATCTGTTTGATTTTTAGAATCAAAGCTTCATTTTGGAGTGACACCCTGCAGTTCTCTAGAAGTAATTCATGTAACAACCTCGTGACTTAGTGACATGAAGGATTTCAAAGAAAGCAAAGGTGGGTGTTTTGGTAGGAGCAGTTCAAAAATATGATGTCTTTGTCAAGTGACTAGATTATAAGATCTATTTCCCCATAATTCATCAACAGAAACCTGGGGGGCTTATGTTTCCAGACCGGGCTGCATTGTATGTGGTAGCAATTGAAGACAGGCAGTACAAAGACTTCAAAATCCACTGTAAGTATGTAGATATTACAATTCTTCTATGCATTTCATACAAGCTGTTTGTTAGCTGATATTGCTGTGGAGAGGATTATTGTATTCCTCCATCAAGTGCAGCCTGTATGCAAGTCCAAGGAGGTCAAGGCCTAACACACACAACTGGACAAGGGCCAAGCATCCCTATGGTAGGCCAAACAACTTCAAGAGACTTGCATCACACTCTGTCTGAATGTGAGCAACTTTGCCCTCAAAGTGCCTTGTAATCTTGCCACAGCAGGTTCCTGAGGTCTCCAGACTCAAAATTCTGCTTTGGACTTCCATTGTCAAAAAGCTTTGCTATCACATTTCTCCTCATGTTTAACCAAAATCTGCTTCTTAGAAACTTCCAACCTTTAGTCCTGCTATCTGGAGCAAAAGAGCATCTGCTTCATCTACTGTGTGACAGCCCTTTAGATATTTGAAAACAGCATTTATCCCTTAATCTTCTCTTCCCTAGGCTAAACTTGCTCGAATTGCAAATGTTTCCCTTTTATTTGTACTGACCTTTGACCTTCTCCATTTGTTTTGACAGGGTGGGAGAATGTATATGGCTTTGATATGACCTGTATCAGGGATGTTGCCATGAAGGAACCCTTGGTGGACATTGTAGACCCAAAGCAGGTGGTGACCAATGCCTGTTTAATAAAGGTTTGGCGTTTCTAAAAGTATAAATTTAAAACAGTGTTACTTTAAAAAGATTTCTGTGACTTCAGGGATCCAGTACTTTGGTCTTTGTCCTTACGCTCTGACTTTTCATGCTGCTAATCAGCTTCAAATGTTGATCCTTCTATATAAAAGCCACACAACGGTGTTCCATTGTACTATAAAGGTAAAGGTACCCCTGCCCGTACGGGCCAGTCTTGACAGACTCTAGGGTTGTGCGCCCATCTCACTCAAGAGGCCGGGGGCCAGCGCTGTCCACAGACACTTCCGGGTCATGTGGCCAGCGTGACATGGCTGCTCTGGCGAGCCAGAGCCGCACACGGAAACGCCGTTTACCTTCCCGCTAGTAAGCAGTCCCTATTTATCTACTTGCACCTGAAGGTGCTTTCGAACTGCTAGGTTGGCAGGCGCTGGGACCGAACGACAGGAGCGCACCCCGCCGCGGGGATTCGAACCACCGACCTTTCGATCGGCAAGCCCTAGGCGCTGAGGCTTTTACCCACAGCGCCACCTGTGTCCCTCCATTGTACTATGGCACAGGCCATAATGCTGGTGGCTCTGCTTCAGTCCCCTCTGGTCGAAAGTTGCAGCTAGTAAATGCCACTAACTAATGGAAAGGATAATTACTATGCATGATCTAGTCCAGGAAAAATGGGTTAAGGGGAAGTTGTAAATGTGCATCCTGGATGCCCTTGGTGGTGGAGAGGGGCAGTGGCTGCCTCACGACAGTTTGCCATTTCTGAATGTCTATAGCCAGCTTCCCCTTCATTCTGGTGAGCCTTTGGCTTACTGGAGAGCTTAATATTAATGTATATAAAGTCTTAAGAGATGTTGCTATATTAGAGATGCTCATAACTGAATCCTTTGTACGTGTGAAGAATTTTTATGTATTCGAATTACTGTAGCTGTATGTTAATTGAAACCAGTTTGTAGTGATGATATATTTTAGACTGTTACCAACAGTAATTTATTTTAGCATGTTTTTTCTTTTCTTTTGTGGAGATTTGTAATTAATAGCATTGCAAAAGCACCAGTGAGAAATTTGTGGGTTTTACAGTTATGGCGAAACATCCACGTGCTGTTTCTGTCATCCCACCCACTTGGGAACGGCAGGGGTCAGGATGTGGTGTAGCTCAACACCCAAAAACACCACACTGTGATGTACACACAGATGTTGTCTATGTACCTAGCTCCCAAGAGGGAACTCTTGTGTTGGAGAACTGTGGAGAAAGAGCAGTTTACACAAGAGCACAAAAGGGGGGACTTTGCAAGCAATTTGCCTCTTGATCACTCCTAAGAACTTGCTCACATTGCTAAAACTCAAAAGTCTTTTTATTTAACATGCACTCTGCCTCAATACTCAGGCACAAAGAGCCAATAGCAACTTTCAGTTCACTACACCAAGTCTTGAAGGAGCATCTCCACCCCCATCGTTCTACCACTGAGGTCCAGCTCTGAGGGCCTTCTGGCTGTCCCCTCACTGTGAGAATCCAAGTTACAGGGAACCAGGCAGAGGGCCTTCTCGGCAGTGGCACCGCCCTGTGGAACGCCCTCCCACCAGATGTCAAAGAGAACAACAACTACCAGACTTTTAGAAGACATCTGAAGGCAGCCCTGTTTAGGGAAGCTTTTAATGTTTGATGCATTACTGTATTTTAATATTGTGTTTAATATTGGAAGCCGCCCAGAGTGGCTAGGGAAACCCAGCCAGATGGGCGGGGTATAAATAAATTATTATTATTATTATTATTATTATTATTATTATTATTATTGAATGCCAGGGCGCAGCAACCTACACTAGTAAGCATGGGAAGAGAAGAACACTTGCTGTAATGGATCATTGCTACAACTGTCCTCCCACCTGAATGCCATATGGGAATACTGTGTATTTGCTCAATATTCTTCCTCCACAACAGTGGGATGAAACTCATCCCATATGTAGGCAAGTTCCTTGTTGGTGAAGGCCAGGCCCTCAGTTCTCTTAGCTGCAACAAAGAACCTCCCCCACTCTGTTTCTTGACTTGCCATTTGTGTAGGTTCTGTGACAAAGTTGTCACACTCGCTTTCTGTAGATTTTTTGGGATTCTTCTCAGAAGTGTGTGTGAATACACACGAGTGCTGGACACAAACACCTGTGGAGGGTTCAGACACATGCTTTCCAACAGTCCTGGTGGAGGAATACAGGCCGCAAAGGTGGCTTGAGGCATGTGTTGTTAACCTGGAATGTGTTGTTTGTAACATGTGGACAGCCTTGCCACTTGAAGAGTGCGTAATGAGTTTTGTGTGTGTTCCCCTCCTCCTTTCTTTACCTCAGTATGATTAGATAAGTATGCAATATTAATAGGCTAGCCCAAAATTTCTTTTGAAAATTAAAAGGTGTTCATTGTGGGTGTTACTTTCCTCTGTCTGCTCTGCTTCTTTGCAGTGAGTTCAAAGGGGTTTTGCAAACCATTGCCTGTTGTACCACTCCCTGCTGGAGGGTTCCCAGGAAGGGGAAGTTATAGACCAGGCTCCTCCAGATGTTTTGAGACTATAATTCCTATCGTCCTGCTAGCTAGGGATCATGGGAGTTGTAGGCCAAAAACATCTGGAGGGCCGAGGTTGAGGAAGCCTGTTATAGACCTTTTGTAAGTAGTGGACCTAATCGAGGTACCGCTGCAGCAACCCAGGGTGGCCGAGGAAGTTTTGGCAACGTTAGTTTGGACAGAGAAGGTGCCACTTCCCAGGCAGGTTCCAGTTGAGGGCTCACATCAGGGCAGATGCAAGAGGTTGTGTTTGCACGAGGGGTTTGGGCAAGGAATGCAAGGGAAACTTCACCAGAGATATAACAGGCCAGATACAGGAGATCATTCTAGTTAGACAAGCAGACTTGCTTACCTAGGTAATATAAACTGCCTAGCCTTGGTATTTTATATTGATGTTTTCTGTGGCTTCTCTCTTCTCCTTCTGCAACCCCCAACAATACAGGAAGTGGATATTTATACAGTGAAGACTGAGGACCTGGTGTTTACCTCTGCCTTTTGCCTCCAAATCCAGCGCAATGACTACATTCACGCCTTGGTTACTTACTTTAATATAGAATTTACAAAGTGCCACAAGAAAATAGGGTTTTCTACAGGTAAGTTCTTTCTTTGGCTTCATGTGGGTTCTGTCTCCAATTACAGACATCAGGGTCAGAAATGTGATAACACTGAGTGGGGTTTTAAGGGATCAATTATTGAGGTTAGAAAATGATCACATTAGTAACATATTTTAAAACACAATAAAAGGAAAGGATTATTGTGGTGTGCTTCTTGATTATTTTTGTAGGGAAGATCAGGGCAATTAACAAATATTTTAATAACATTAAGTGACATTAATGGCATAGGAGTTAAATAATATTAGCGAAAAGACAAAATATTATGTAAAGAAACTTACAAATGTTACATTGCTCACCATGGAATCACCTGACAGTAATGCCAGTGTGAAGATACTTTGTTAAATCATCTCCATTTCATTGGTGTAAATATAAACAATATTAGATTGGTGGGGAATTTCTTGCATATAATCTGTCTCCTTTTGTAGCACCAGATGCCCCTTACACCCACTGGAAGCAAACCGTCTTCTACCTGGAGGACTACCTAACTGTAAGAAGGGGCGAAGAACTCTACGGAAGTATATCCATAAAGCCAAATGAAAAAAATGTGGTAAGTTGGGTTCATGTAACTGAATTTAGATGATCAGCTTAGGAACCTATGGGTGTCTGGGACAGGTACCGTATTTTTCGCACCATAGGACGCACTTTTCCCCCTCCAAAAATGAAGGGGAAATGTGTGTGCGTCCTATGGTGCGAATGCAGGCTTTCGCTGAAGCCTGGAGAGTGAGAGGGGTCGGTGCGCACCGACCCCTCACGCTCTCCAGGCTTCGCGGACCTCTCCGCAAGCAGCAGGAGCGTTCCCGCTGCTTGCGGAGACTTGCCTGCATGCTGAAGCCTGCGCGCGCTCAGCTCAGCACGTCCAGGCTTCGCGCACCTCTCAGCAAGCAGTGGGAGCGCTCCCACGGCTTGCAGAGAGCTGCCTGTTTGGGGGCTGGGGTAAAAATAATTCCCCCCCCTTTATTTCCCCCCAAAAAACTGGGTGCGCCCTATGGTCCGGTGCGCCCTATGGTGCGAAAAATACGGTATTTCTGAAACATTTGTTCATGGACATTTGTTGAAAAGTACCTGAAACTACCCCAGGACACAATCATTTTTGGTTGTCTGATTTGACTTTTGACACTTTAGTAGATCATATTTAAAAAATGGATCTGATTTTTTTCAACATCCAATCAGGTTTCAAGATCTGTCAGTTGTTCTGGTTAACCAAAAACCACCATGTAACAAAGCTATTATTTCACAGTGCAATCCTTCTCCAAAAGCAGGCCCCATTAAGTTCAGTGGAGAACATAGAAGTATTGGAATAATTGCTCTACCTCAACTCTGATCACATGGCCACCTCTTCCTCCTGCAATGGCTGCCGGCAGCTGCAACCACTCCCTTCGGATCCATTCCAACAGAAGAAGAGGGGGGAAGAAAAGAATTGGCAGATGTAAACACAGATACATGCGAGGTCAGAATGGCAGAATGCAGAATTATGGAGCTGCACTTTGCAGTTATGTGCATTATATGCAGGGGAAGTGCTGCCTTTCCCTGCCTTGCCACTCCTGCCACCACCATACCTGTTGCTGCTTCTCTGCCCGCCCTGCCGCTTCCGCAATTTTGGGGGGTGAGATCTTGCACGCAATCTTGCATGGCTTCAGCCCAAATCATCACTGCTACCAGTGGTGCATCTGTCCCTGCAGAGCTCTTGCCTTGGGCCTTCTGCTGCCTAAGGCAGCTGCCTCAGTATGCCTAATGGCCGAGCTGGCCCTAATTATGTAGCAATGCTCTTTGTGCTCCTTACTTCCAGAAGCAAAATACCTTCTGAGTTACCAGGGTAGAGGCTTCTCCATGATGCCCCCACCCCAATCTGCCAGATGTTCTCCCGTAAAAGACACAACACCAACATCCTTAACATTTTGGCACCAGCTTAAGACTTATTTATTTGCCCATACATTTTATGTTTTTTAATGAAACATTTTATTGTTCAAACCCATAGGCCACCACGATTCAAGATAAAATACATGTGAAAATACAGTTCAGTTTAGCATATTCCATCAATCAAGACACAAAGTAAAGGGACACTGACCATATAAATTTGTGCCTAGATCAGGCATTTCCAAAGTCCATTTCCGGGGCCTAATCCAGCCCACCAGTCAACAACTTTGGGGTAAAATCATGGAAAAGCTCAACAACTATCAAATCTGGCCCTCTTTGAAAAAAGTTTGAACACCACTGGCCTAGATACTACAAGCCTCCCATTCACTCCACTAAGTTTTTTTTATGTCTGGCTCTTAATTTTCTAGCAGACAGAACACATTTTGCAATCTGGATGGTAATAGAAATGTCACTGTTTTCTAGCAATGTACTTATATGTTCCAGCGGCGTATCTGTTTGACAGGAGGCAGAGGACATGGGTGCAAAATTTATACCTTGGGGACTCAAACAAGGAGCAGTGAGATATCCTCAACTTCACTGGACTCACAAATACAACTTCCTACAGAGTACATACACCGAAGCCATAAAACTGATTTTCTCAAAGGAGCTGTAGTAAAGTATTGCTCCAAACCAAATGCCATTTTATATAAAGGGCAGCAAATAGGATAACGATTATTACATTTATCTGATGGAATAAATGTCTTATCATTTAGAATAAACATTTATTCCTTCTTTGAAAAACTGTTTAACTTTGGTAGAAGAGAAAGTGGATTAACTTCCATATTAATCCCATAAGCATACAGGGTGGTTCAAACAGAGTTTACCCAAGAGTTTGGGGCTGAAGTCTGGAGTTGTTCTTGAAAGTGTTGGGGGGCAGGGGGAGCAGGCGAGAACCATTCACACATACCAACTTCAGCCAGTGCAAAGCAAGTATAACACGAGCAAAAGTTTCTATAGAAAGCAATCCTGTTTCTGCCTTTAAAAGAGGTGCAGAGGGGCCTTGAGGGACAGCTAATAGGAATTCCATGAAAGAATTCTGCACCACCTCCAAAACAGAAACATCCGTCTACCCCAATACTTCTGTACCTTACATTAGTTGTGAGATAATATTTGTTTGATGGTGTATCTTAGTATGTACTGTTCATTGTGTGATTTGGTCAGCTGCTTTTATATTAAGTTACGTTCCCACGCTATGTTATTTATAGACCATGGGGGCGTAAATATTTTCATAACTCTGCATAAATTGTTCCTGCTAAGTACTTGAAGGATGGAAGTGGGGGAGCACAAGCCGAGTCACATACTGAAGACCCCCAGATATGTTTCCCTGTATTCAGAAAAGGGCTAGGATTTTGTTTTTTTGTCTTTGTTTATTGGCTAAGCCACCTACTGAATTTAAGAAAGGAGGAAGCTTTGAAGCAGAACCTTCCAAGTGCTAAGATATAGTCCTATGCCACACAAAAATTATTCTTAATCTACATTACAGCGTGACTTGGATTTCACAGTAGATTTGGATTTCAAAGGGCAGCTCTGTGAAATTTCTGTATCTAATTCCTATAAAATGCGCTAATAAGCAACTGTCTTCGCAAGAGAAGAAGAGAGCAGCAATTCCTGGTCTGGTCTGCGCATCTCAAGCTGGGAACAATCGCTTCCAGATTTTCAAACTACCTGAACTGAATAGCTGACAAGTCCTTACAGCACAAAGCACCGGCTGTGGATCGCTAACATGAATGTATGGATATAGTTTCTGTCTAGACTACAGTAAACAACCCTCTTTGTCAAAACAAACAGAACCCACAGCCCACTAGTCGTATAACTTACTATGAGTAAGATTCTTCCAAGCTTTGCATGCTATATGTATTTTTTCTTACTGAAAAGATCTTTTACGACATTGTTGTGCATAGATAACAGAGTTATATTAATAAAGTATAGAACATTAGTCTCTGAATTGGATTTGTTTCCGTTCCAGCTAGCTGAGAAAACTTTGAAATTGCAATCCTGAACACACATTCTGCTGGAACCAGCAGGATGGACAAGGGCAAAATCTTTTAATGAAGCAAGCAATCTTTCTTACCTGTTTACTGTACTTTCTGGAAAATGCTTGAACTTGTTAGTACAAGCTAGGAGTTGATTTAAAACAAATAAGCACCATTATTTTATGAATACAGTGTTTGTTCTATTTCTCTGTCTGTAAAAGTGGGTTTTAGTTCCTGGTTCAACTGCAGCAGTGGCAACGCGGGACGTTGGAATTGTCGTTTCCATTGTGGTGAGTTGTATGGAACCGTCCCAAAACATGCAGACTGAAGCTTTATGAAATGGTGTGTTCCTTTCTTGCTGTAAACAAGAAAAAACAAAACATAAGAATAAACAAAAATAAACAAAAGGTTTTTATTTATTCATCAACTCCTTCTTTATTTTTCCCTTGCCTGATTGATATAGAATGCAGAATTCTGCTTTCCTTGGTGCAGGTTGGAAAACCTTCATTTAACCACAAATAGCAGTCTGCTTACCCACAAGCAGATCCACTGCTGAAACGCCCCATGCTTTCAATTTAGATAGCTTTCTGTGGTTGGCAAAAGCTTTCAGCAGTGTAGTGCAGGGGCAGGGGGAGAGAGACGTATTGTAACTCACCTTTTAGCTGCCTCGTGCCAGAGGTGGGCAGCGCCAGTGCAAAAGAGAGCCGGTCTTCTTCAGTCTTCATGCACACACCCACACTTGCATTCATACACAACCACACAAGCGCATAGGAAGCTACCAGTTGCATATTGTCAGACCCTTGCTTTATCAGTGTTGCCTTCATGGAGTCTTTCCTAGCCCTACCTGGATCGTTGGGTTTCAACCTGGGACATTTGCAGATGTGTGTTGTACCACTGAGCTCTGGCCAGCCATAAAACATTCAGTTCCAAGACATAAAATATACCCGTGCACAGGTGCACAACACAGTTTGCAAGGAAGGGCGATGCTTCTGGAGTCTGGGTTTTTTCATCACGTGTTAAGATTTTGCGGGAGGCAAGGCTGTGGTGCAGAGTAAAGGGAGTGTCAGGATGGTTACGGGGGCTGATGTTCGTGACCTGCCTTGTAATTTAGAAGTGGGAATACATCAGCCACACAGGCTCTCTGTGATGACGGTGATGGTTCTAGGCCCATTTCCTCTCCCTCAACCCCCATCTCCTCCAACTTGGCATCTCTCATGGTTGCTGTTGTAAAGGAAACTTGGAGTGTAGAGGTGGAGGAACACCGCTCTGTTCATGGAGACCAGAGCTGGCCTGAGGAGTTAGGACCTTTCTAGTCTCCTCCTGCCTCCTGTTATGCCATGTCCTTTCTGGGTGCCCCCCTTGGTTGAAATTTAGAGGGTCAGTCCTCTTGGGGGCAGAGGCCCTTGGGGGCAGAGGCCCTGTTACAATGATGGTGGTAATAACGGGGTCTAGATGGACCCAGCGGTCCAGCAATGCAAGGCGAGTGCTTCCCCCCACCCCATAGGATGTGTTGGGGGGCATAGAAGCCTCTGTGGCTCAGGCTGGGGGCAAAGAAGGTGGAGCCTCAGCCTCCTCTGATGCCTGCCTGCCTTCCAGGCTGAAAGGGATGAGGTGGAGGCCCGTGACCCAGCTTTTGTGGACCAGAGCCCTGGCAATGATGAGGCCTCCACCACTGAGGGAGCAGCTTCATAGCACGGTAAGGCCGTGGGGAATAGGCCTGCTAGTAGATGTAGAATGTAGAAGGACGCAGGTGGCACTGTGGGTTAAACCACAGAGCCTAGGACTTGCCGATCAGAAGGTCAGCGGTTCAAACCCCTGGCAACAGGGCGAGCTCCTGTAGCACCCTGCTTGTGGTTAACGCTTAGCTGGAATGAAATATTCAACGCAGCAATAGAGAATTTAAAATAATAATTTATTTGTCAGACAAATAAATGAGAGGCACAGTGGTATATGGTTACCAAGCTCTGGCCTGGCCTCCTGCCATTATGGCCAGCACTTATATTCCCTTAATCCAGCCCCCTTTGCTCCTCCTGTGGCTGCCTCTGTCCAATCAGCCTGGTTGAAATTCCTATTGGTTGTTTGCTAGAACCAATCACAAAAAGATACACCCATATCCTCCTGTCCTTATATGGAACACAAAGAGCTATATATTTTACATCTATAAATGACAAATAAGTAGTAATATATCTTACATGTGTCTCAACAAGGAATCTTAATTACCAGCTCACCTCTTGCCCTCCTTGCCCTATTGCCTTCTAAAACAAATGGTTAATCTTAAATTTTTATCTTAAACATATGTCAAGGATCTTGAGTTCACATCAACATTGAAAGATCTCCTTCATTTGAAGGTTTCTAAACAAATGCCTGACAACTATATATCAGGAGTGCTCGATGGCGTCTCCTGTCTGGCAGGGGGGCTAGGCTGGTGGCTGACTTAATTTCAGGATAAATACAACTCTTACAACTATATGAAATAAGAATCTAGCATTTCTTAAATCCTTTGCATAATTACATTTAAGCCAATATATTTAATACATAACATAGGTAGCCTTTTAAAAGGAATAAGGCCTTTGTAAAGTAAAAAAGGAACTCAGTAAAAAACAGCTTCAAAAGAAGCCTCTTCAGTTTACAACCCCCCTTCAGCCAGCTGCTTTTCCCATTAGCTCTTCCCAACATTTATTGCCCTTTAACTCTCTCAGTTTAAGAAAGAAACAGCTTTAGAAAAGACTTCCCAAAAATGCTCTCTTTCTGCCAGCTAGATGCTTCTCCATTGCTCTTGGCCTTTTAACCTTAGAAAGAAGATCTGGCTCATTTTACTGGGAGGCACATTGGTATTATTTTACTATTTACTCATTCCTAATTATGTTTATCTCTGCCTTTTTTATCTTCTGTAACATGTAGGGTCAGTGTCCTCGCTCTCAGCCTGTAATTCCCCCTTTTACGACTTTGAGAATTGTTTTCTGCTATAAATCAAGGGGCCCCTTGTCTAGGAGGAAAACATTGCCAAGGTTCTCTAAGCAGCTGGTCTTCTGCCTGGCATGAAACATTTGAAAATCTAAGCCCATTTAATTTAGGAACCTGATCAAGATATAAGCCAATATAAGCCTTGATTAAAAATGCAGTCTATATTCAGATGCCACACTCCCGTTACTCGGTCCCTGCTCCTGCCAACCTAGCAGTTCGAAAGCACGTCAAAGTGCAAGTAGATAAATAGGTACTGCTCCCGCGGGAAGGTAAACAGTGTTTCCGTGTGCTGCTCTGGTTTGCCAGAAGTGGCTTAGTCATGCTGGCCACATGACCCGGAAGCTGTATGCCGGCTCCCTCAGCCAATAAAGCGACCCCAGAGTCGGCCATGACTGGACCTAATGGTCAGGGGGTCACTTTACCTTTAGATGTAGAATGTACGTCTGAAGTAGGGCTGGGTGCTCCAGTCCACACCAGCCCCTTGTGGTGCTGGTGGATGTTTGGCCCCCTGGGAGAACAGGACCTGGGCCCCTTTCCCTCATCAGTCTCCCCTCCATGCATGTTGGGCTGGCAACACTTCAAAGTGAGCTTGCAAGGTGGAAGAATTAGGCCTCTACCTGCCCACCCCTTACCATTCTGGGTGCTGCCGTGCTGTGTCCGCCTTAGGAGACCCAGTGCCTGTGACCATCCTCTGCCACATCCAGTTTTCCTCAGTCCTGCAGCGAATAAGTGTTTTGGTGAATACATAGGGCAGGGGGTCTTCACAGATGTATATTAAGGGGTCTCTGAAGATGGTGGCTAGCCTCCGCAATGAGGAACCAGGTCAATCTTAAGTGTCCTTTAACCTTTTGGTATTGACTAAAGTGGTTCTTCCTTCCCACCCATCTCCCCACACTGTGGCTCCCAACCTGCTCTCTGCTTACCCCCTGAATGAGAAGTTTGTTTATGAACTAGAAGCAAAAAGAGGCAAAGCATTTCATTTCATCTTCTTTTATTTCACAAGCCTTCAATTCAAAAAAAATGAACCACAACTAGTAGATCTGATACATTATAATAAGTAAAAATGAACGTGATTTATAAAGGAGAAAAAACTTTGTACAAAAACATTAAAAATCCAACAGCAAATTGAATTCTTTAGAAGTACCAAATATTTCATGCAAAAGGTGAGCGCTACTGGCCAGTTGTAGAAATCCCCTGAACAAAATGGCAACAGCGTCACTATGTGGAAATTATGGCTCTTTCTAAAAGCAAAGACACAGACTTGGAATGTACTAAGTGGGTCAGAGCCACTAGGCCCTCCTCTACTGAGGTTTCTTGGGATTTAATAAATTAAAAAATAACATTAAAAGAAAGACTCCTGTCCTATTCTGCATATTTTAAAAATGACCAGTCTTTCTTCTTACCTTGGCATCATGGTAATTATTGGCAAAGTGTTCTTTCTAAAGTGGACTCACTCACAAACTGCAGCTTGCATCAATAACTTAGTAACATGCATCAACTACTCTAGCACGGCTAACGGGTGAGGGGTGCAAACGAACTATCAGGTCATTACGAGACAAAGCTAAAAGCATCCATCACTAATGGAGAAATGGAAGCACCATGCTTTAAAAGGTGGCAAAGGTATGAAAGCACAATTGTGAGGCAATTTATTCCAAGCAAACACGCTACACAATGATGACTTCTTTCTATTCACTTTTCTTGGGGAGGAGGAGAGATTCCCTGTCACACACACACACGCACGCACACACAAGTACCGAATAAAAGTGTGGGATCAACAACACAGACATAGAAAGGAAATAATAATTGTTCCTATGAGCCTTTATTCTTGGTTTCTGTTTCCATCTGAGTTCATCCAAGACTAGTAATATTGGAGCGACCACCAGGAGGTGCAACAATGCGATGCCCAGTGCGACGTGGGTTGTTATCATCTACCTGAGCACCTGTGCAACAGCAATCCAGAAACAAGGTGAGAGTTAATAGCTTCTCCAGCCTTTCATTTACTCAGAAATCAATGGCACAAGTAATTGCAAATGCTTAATATGAGCTAAACATCTTGCCCTTTTATACTGAAAATGAGGCCTGACCCACACAAATACTGATTTTACAAAGTACACCCATGCAACATAATGTTTAGGATATGGCACTCTGAAGCGACAGTGCTCAAACTTTCATCGGACACTGAATCCTAAGTCTCTGCTGTAACTTTTCATCAAGCCTAATGGGTATTTGCCGACTGCACTAGTAGAAACACGGGTCCATCTACAGAAAACCAATGTGGATTCCTCTGTGCAGTTGTCTTTGAGCTACACCTGCACACAAGACTTCTGGGAGTGGGCATCCTTTATCCAGACCTGAGCATGCAGGTGTAGCACTGAAAATGCAGAGAGACATGTACAGCACATCACAAGGCTGCAGTTCCCTCTGGGCTTCCCCTTACACTGAAAAACTCCTTCTGCCAGTAAGTCATCAATGCTGGTCCTTACTAAATTACTGATGGATGGACTAAGCAATTGTACTAAGCAATTCTCTGCAGTGGACCCTGTTCTCAAAAAAAAAAAAAAAAAGGTTGCTGATACTGATAGTTTGTCACACCTGATAAGCTAAAGTTAGATTGATGGAGGTTCCTGATTGGTGGGGGCTGGTTTTTGGCAGGAGACGATTTAGTGGAAGGTGCAGGAGTTGCATATTTTGGTGTTGCTGGAACTTCATAGACTGGCCCATCGTACATTCCTCTGGAGACACCTTGCAATTCTGTTACCTGCATATCACAAACAGAAATGCAATTACATTTCAGTGGCCTGGCATTTGACCCACCCGTCTCACACATAAGATCAGTGCAAAAATGTATGCAACAGAGCAAGGTTGATGAGTCCCGCTTCCTCCATCATCATTTCCATCTTCTGTTCCCAAAGTGGGGAGATTTGCACATCGTAAGATTTAGTATTTTCTAAGCACCTAAAAGTGAAGTGCCATGCAATCTAAGAAAGGGTTGCCAGCCTGATTGGGCCAGAAGGCCCCTTTGGCATTTTGAAAAGGTGCAATGGGCACTAGTCACAAAATGGCTGCCACATCTCAAAAAGCCACATCTCAAAAAGGACCACAAAGTGGTGAAAGCCTGCCCCTCTCCCCTACTGGCACTGTGATTGGTCACAGAGAGAAGCTCCTTCCATCTTCTGCTAAGAATGGAAGACACAGTGGGCACTGACAATAATGCCAGTCGAATTGTCATTGCTCCCTCATTGGAGGCTGGTTACTGTGGAGGAAGTCCATACATTAATTGGGAATATGAAGAGTGGAAAGGCTCCGAGGAAAGACTTTATCCCAGTGGAATTGATTACATCAAACCAGCACTGGTGGGCTCCGCTTCTGGCAGAACTTTTTACAGTAGTAAATAACTCGGGCAAAGTACCATATAACTGGAAACATGCTATAGTAGTTCCAATCTTTAAGAGAGGCCACCCAAACATACCCTCCAATTATAGGCCAATTAGCCTGCTTTCAATAATTGGGAAGCTGTATGCCCGATTCCTCAGTAGCAAACTGACAATTTTTCTAAATGAACATAATATACTATCTGAAGCCCAGGCAGCTTTTCGTGAGAACCATTCAGCAACAGACCACTGTCTAATGCTGTCCTTCCTAGCTGAGAAGTACACCAGGCCTCTACAGGGTAAACTCTTTGTGGCCTTCATGGATCTGAAATCAGCGTTCGATTTCATCCCCAGATCCCAGCTATGGTCCAAATTAAATCTGATTTTGCAGGACAAACGACTCCTCTTTCTTATAAAAGCCCTGTACAATGGAACCAAACTGCAGGTCTGATGCAGTCGGCAGGGACGGTTATCGAACAGCATCGAGATGACTAGGGGGGTGAGACAGGGATGCATTTTGGCCCCCCCACAGTTTTTTCTCTTCTTAAATGACCTAGAAGAGAGCTTAATGGACCCAGATGGACGCCTTCCAAAAATAGGAATGAGAAGGACCCCCTTGTTGTTATATGCGGATGACGCGGCCATCATCTCACATTCCAGCCTGGGTTTTAAATATCTGCTGAGGAAGTTTTCTGATTACTGTTCTGGAAATGGTTTATCCATTAATTGTGAAAAATCTAAAATTTTAGTATTCGAAAGAAGCTTATCCCGGTCTGAATGGGTGCTGGATGGCCATAACCTTGAACAGATTAAATACTTCAGTTATCAAGGGCTCACATTCCATCATACAGGATCTTGGAAGCACCACTGGCAAACCTCCCTTCAAAAGGCGGAGATCACAAAGCTAGCCATACTCAGATTCTTTTTCACAAAGGGCGGCAAATATGTTCCAGCAGCCTTAAGGGTTTTCAACGCAAAATCCATTTACCAACTCCTGTATGCTACAAATGTCTGGCATAATGGGGCCTGCCAAAGCTAGATGGCTTTCAGGCAAAATTTCTACGATCTCTGCTGCAGGTACCCAACTGCGTCCCCAACTCCGTACTTCTGTTAGAAGCTGGTGAATGCCCAATTTCAACTAAAGCGTGGTGGGCTGCCCTAAAACATTGGCTCAGGATTTCAGTGTTTAATCTAGGGAAAGGTTTGTACCAACACCTGACCAATGAGGAATTTGTCAGCAAATGGCAGAAAACCATGGCTAAAAAAAGCCACCTCTATTGGTCTGTCTCCCCCCCAACTGTATTACCTGGGTTATGAAGGCGCCCAAAAGATGTTAAAGCAAAGATTATGGGATAATACACACAGTGACTTGCGATCTCGATCACACACAGTCTGTAGTCCGCTGGCAGTAGGAGTACAATATGGGCATGTCTTTAAGTTAACACCTTACATTAAATACCTGACAGTACCAAATTATCAAGGGTTATTCACCAAAGCCAGACTAAACGTCTTTCCTTCTGCAGTGTTGGATGGCAGGTTGAGAGGAGTTCCCTACCAGGACAGACTTTGCTCGTGTGCTCAAGACATCAATTCTATAAAACATAATTTGCTGCATTGTGTGAAATATGAGCAAGCCAGGACTGAACTGATATTACCCTTGCTGGTACCTTTCCCAGGAAAATCAGAGGCTCACTATGTCAGGTTCCTATTGGAAGACTGGACAAACGCTAGAACATTAGCAGTGGCAAAGTTTTTATCGGTGTTTGCAAGAAACAATGATCCCTATCTTTAAGTCTGAACAAAATGCTTGTTTAACCTGGAGGTAGGCTGTCTGAATTGTGCATTGCTTTGTAACGATTTGTTGGGTCTCTGGACCGTAATAAAGATTGATTGATAATGCCAGGCACTGGGTATGCCAACCTGAAATTCCCCGAGGGCCCACAAATGATCAATGGATCATTTTCAATATTTCCCCCATCCCTGTAAAATAACAAAGCTTCAGCCAGCATTCTCATTTTTTTATTTAACTTTTATTCACATGTATAATGGGACGTGGGTAGCTCTGTGGGTTAAACCACAGAGCCTAGGGCTTGCCGATCAGAAGGTTGGCGGTTCGAATCCCCGTGACGGGGGAAGCTCCCGTTGCTTCGGTCCCTGCTCCTGCTAACCTAGCAGTTCCAAAGCACGTCAAAGTGCAAGTAGATAAATAGGTACCACTCCGGCAGTAAGGTAAACGGCATTTCCGTGCACTGCTCTGGTTTGCCAGAAGCGGCTTAGTCATGCTGGCCACATGACCCGGAAGCTGTACGCCAGCTCCCTCAGCCAATAAAGCGAGATGAGCGCCGCAACCCCAGAGTCGGCCATGACTGGACCTAATGGTCAGGGGTCCCTTTACCTCTAAGGAAAAGCAGGACATTCCAGGATCAAATCAGAAAGCGGGGCGGCTTCTATAAATCCAGGACTGTCCCTGGAAAATAAGGGCACTTGGAGGGTCCCTAACGGTCAGGGGTCCCTTTACCTTTACAATGGCAAAACTCGTGTCTCAAAATGGATTGGAACTGGGCAGTGGATCTCTGGAATGATACAGCCACTGCGTATTTCCCCAGGCACATTGCTCTCTCTGAATTACAGAACTGAAGAGATGGAAGAGACTCCAAGGGTCATCTAGTCCAGTTCCCTGTAATGCAGGAATCCTGCCCACAGCCATCCCTGGGTGGGCTCAAACAGCCAGATGAAATGACCCATCGTTCTACAAAAATATATACATTCAAGCATCTGTACATTATAACATGTTATAGAAATGATTAGCAACAAGAAGTTTGGATATCTATACAAACCTACCTTATTCCTAATTTTGATGCGTTGATAAAGGTATTCAGGGAAAGGCTTCCGGGGAATGAAACGGCCCATTCCTTTACTTACATGGAGATTTCCATCTTCAAACACAATCTTCCCTTGGCTAATGACTATGAGGGGAGCACCATGACATTCCATGCCTTCAAATATATTATATTCAACAGCCTGCAATGGGGAGACCAGAACATGCAGTTAATTCTCATTTACTGGTAGGCATGAATGATTTATACTACATTAAATTGTACAAGGTATTAAACATGATAGTTAATTTTCTTTAATAATCAGGGAGTCAAAACCATTAAAACGTCACGGTGTGGTGGCACAAAGTGGCAGCGATGATGGCAGGTTTCGGCAAAGTCTCACCGGAAATTGGCACAGAAGCTGGTGGCGTTTTTCTGCCAGTGGGGTGCTGCCTTGGGGGCTTCTGTCATCCAAGGTGGGTGCTTCACCCCGCCTCACAGGTGGGCCGGCCCTGCTGCCTGTGTATCTTTGATGGTAGCAGCACTGGCATCCATTCTCTAGACACAATTCAGTGACGCACACATGCAGTAATGAGCAATTGGGCACATATTGTGCTGCCGTGGTTGAGGGTATTTTTTGACAGCCTGCAGCAATAGTGCCTTAAGTAGTTCTCAAAAAAATTGAAGAGCTTTTCCTCTTACCGACTTATGGCTTTTGGCTGTGATGGTCTTCGCCTTCTCTGGGTCCCAGATCACAATGTCAGCATCCGAACCCACAGCGATTCTACCCTTTCGTGGATAGAGGTTAAAGATTTTGGCTGCATTGGTACTAGTAATGGCAACAAACTGGTTTTCATCCATTTTACCTGAAGACTAAGATAAATTTTCCATGAGTAACGTATCTTAAGAATAGTGGTATATGTGTACATACAACAGAGATTAGAGGTGGTGGTCAACAAAATTTTACTCAAAGTACATCTAAGTCACTGGAAACAAATGGACAAGATCTGACATTAAATCATCAGTATTCTTTCCTGCAGCAAATTAAGAGCAACCAGGAATATGTATGTGGATGTATGCAGGTATTAGATTTAGTGGCTCTTCCTGGAATTAGTTCTGGATTATTATTATTTTTAAAAAGGTAATTGAGTTTTAAAAAATAATTCTTAACATACCAGCAGATGGCAAATGAAACTAGCAGTTGAGACTTGGAATTCAGAAGGGCAAAATGCCAGAAAAATTGCATGGCAGGTGGAAGAAGCCTGTTGATTTGCTTAGTTATAGTGGCTATTGTGGGTAAAATGACTGCTTGGCCCTGTTAGAATAAAGGATGATGAACCTGGTGGGTTGACTGGGCTATTTGTCCTTCCCCAACCTGGTGCCCGCTACTAAATCTGGAGCACAACTGCCATAAGCTCCAGCTAGCCTAGCCAGTGGCCTAGGATGATGTGAGTTGTAGCTCAATACAACCGGACCACACCAGGTTAGTGAAGGCTGACCGAAGATGTTAAGCTCTGAAGGAGGCTGCCACCAGAACAAGGAGTGGAGCAAGTAGAGATTGTAAGGGAAGATAAAGGCAAAGGACCCCTGGACAGTTAAGTCCAGTCAAAGGCGACTATGGGGTGCGGTGCTCATCTCACTTCAGGCCAAGGGAGCTGGTGTTTGTCCACAGACAGCTTTTCAGGTCATGTGGCCAGCAGGACAAAACCACTTCTGGCACAACGGGACACCGTGACAGAAGACAGAGCACACAGAAATGCCATTTACCTTCCTGCCGCAGCAGTACCTATTTATCTACTTGCACTGGTGTGCTTTCAAACTGCTAGGTTAGCAGGAGCTAGGGAGCAGCAGGAGTTCATTCCGTCGCAGAAATTTGAACCGCCCTAAATCCAGTGCTGCCGCCCCCTTATACTTCTGCAAACCGTGGGTTTATCCCAAGCCTGCTGATTCTGTGTGTGTGTGTGTGTGTGTGTGTGTGTGTGTAGTTGTTTTGGCAATGCAAGTGACAGCACTGACAGAACTGAATCGGGAGTAGAAGAAATAATGATAATATCAGCATTTTAACTGAGTCCAGAAGCAGACTGGTAACTAGCAGTGCCGTCTTACCCATAGGCGCTAGGGGTGCGGGGCACCCAGGTGCCAGGCTCTCAGGGGCGCCAGGCCGAGAGTCCGGGGCCCAAGAGTTGAGTCCGGAAAAGGGTCTGGAGTGCCGCGGCAGGCTCTTCTGCTGTGGGCAGCTCTAAGCCGCGGGTTTAGGGGTGACTGAGCCAGCAAGATGCTGAGGCGGCCGGCTGGCTGGCTCCACCCTCCTGCATGCCTGGGACTGGGCAACCTGGGGGGGGGGAGCGCCGGGTGGCTCTTTGTACCCCGGCACCGCATATGCTTAAGACAGCCCTGGTAACTAGTGCCACTGATGTGTGGTGGCCCAAAGCTTCTGTCTCCCATAAACATTTTGGCAGCCACACTTTGTACAAAAACAAAGTTTCCTGGTAGCCTTTAAATGCAGTTCCAGCATCACAGTAGAGCATTACAGCAGCCCAGGCTGGCGGAGTTTTGTGCCCTGAGGCCCCGGTGTGTGAGTGCAAATAAAAGGCCCTGGGTGTTGGCCCCCTGACCTCAGCCCCCTCTAGCTAAGAGTTAGATTTGGAAATCTCTGAGCAGTACAAGGCAGGACCTGGTGTGAAGTAGCGGTTGCTTTTGCTTACCACACACTTATCCCAGACCACGGTCATTCTTTCTTCAATTCCATTTACTCCTTCTGGAATCAGAGTGAAGTTGTCCTTTCCAAGTGCTTTCTGGGCTGTGCTATAGGTACAGTGGGCACTTCCAGTCACTTGCAGGTCACCACTGAAGGAACACAGAGGGGAGACAGAAATATTTTTAAAGGCTGGAGGCAAGGGTTGCTTACCATTTGTGTTTCTAGCTATTGGTGCCACACATTCATTCAGGAATGTATATGGTTAACTACTGCTTTCCAATTCTGTTAACCTCTCCAGTCTCTGCTTCCACATTCACATCAATACTATTCTCCAAAGTATTGTTCTTTGGGTATCTTTCCTAGTGGTTTTCAGGTCTCTGTTAACAGCATCAGTAAGGCAAACCAAAGTGAAACTGAACAGCAATTTTGTTTACAGATTAAAAAAAAAAACTCACTCTATACAATCATTCCACTAAGGACCTAGTTAGATGTTCCATGGGAGGCCTGTGAACCATCTGATGACGGACTGATTGATTGATTTGTACTTAAAAGCAGTCACAGAAGACTGCCAGTTTGAGTGGATGGGGATGAGGCTATCTAATCCTTTTCCTTCCTGTCACTTAAAACCATCCTTTCTGAGCAGATTTCCCTGTCAAAGGGGAAGAGGGTAAGCTGCCTGGGGTAATTCTGAACAGGGAAAGGTCAGGAAGGGAAAGGGCTAAGCAGACTCCTCCCCCTGTGGTGGGGGTGTCACATGTCTCCTGCATAATGTCTAAGTTCACTCTGAGCTAAATACAGTATTTGCTATTCCCTTACAAACAAGAACAAATCTGAAAATAATCAAACCACATCAAAATACTTGTCTGTTATTACATATTACTTCTGCACTTTAGCTCACATCCAAGCGGCTCAAGGACTCCCTCGGCTGAATTGGTGGTTTACAAGCAGTTGCAGTTTAATACTGTTATGTACTGAAGTTCTCACCCTGGGCCAGCAGGGGGATACTGTAGATAGTTTTCACTCAGGTCCACGTCAGTTATTTTAGGCGGGAAACCCTGGGTTGTTGTTGCTACAATGTTGACAGCCGGCTGCCTATAAAAGCAGGCCGGCTGAGCTGTTTGCTGTTCAGTTCTGTTCCAGCTTACAAAATAAAGAGCTGTTTTGGAGAAATCGCTGTGTCGTCTGCCATGTCTACCCACTATTCAACACATACCATGCTAAAAGTGAGGTCAAATGATCAGGTGTGGTAGGATCCAGACTCAGAGGCGGTGAGGTCACAAATGCTGCAGCCTTGGCCCAATTTTTGCTCCAATAATGTGTCCCGTCTGTCCCCAGGCTGGCAGTGATTGGTTCCCCGAAAACAAGAGCACCTACGGGAATGGAAACACACAACTGATTATACCATCCTTTTTATTTGTTTTTTATTTTACTTATTAAATTTATATACCACCCTTCATCCGAAGATCACAGGGTGGTTCAAAACATAAAAATACAAAATGAGAACACAAAATACAAAATAGACAAAGGCAAACTAATCACCCCACCTCCCACAAACACATTTAAAAGGACATAGTACGTTAATCAACCAAAGGGCCTGATTAAAGAGAAACGTTTTTGCCCGGTGCCTAAAGATATGGAAGGAGGGCACCAGGCAAGGCTCCCTGGGGATAGCATTCCCCAAACAGGGAGCCACCACAGAGAAGGCATGTTCTCATGTTGCCACCCTGCAGATCTCTCTTAGAGGATGCACACGAAGGAAGGCCTTAGATGATGATCGCAGGGTCTGAACTGGTTTACATGGGAAGATACGGTCCCTGAGGTATTGCAGTTGTGAGCCACTTAAGATTTTATGGGTCAAAACCAGCACTTTGAATTGAGCCCAGAAACTAATCGGCAGCCAGGCCAGGATCAGTGTGATATGCTTAACCTTCCATGCCCTGGTGAGCAACCTGGACACCAAATTCTGAACCAGCTGAAGTTTCCAAACCATCCTCAGGTAGCCCTATGTATAACGTGTTGCAGCAATCTTACCTAGAGATCACCAGAGCATAGATGACAGAAGTTAGGTTTTCCGGTCTAAGGAACTGCCTACATCCTAACAGCAACCTAAAAGCCACATTCCCCTACCATATGTTAACTAACATTGGAGACAATGTAAAGACTAGTCAAATTAAACTAATGTTATCGTTAATGAATCAACTAACAATCATCGTCCACTTCATCAAATGTCAGCTGAGGGTAACACTTCATGTATGAAACAAAATAAAAATTTAAAAATTAAAAAATCCACCCAGTAGCACCTTAGAGACCAACTACGTTTGTCATTGGTATGAGCTTTGTGTGCATGCACACTTCTTCAGATACCTTGCATGCACACAAAAGCTCATACCAATAACTTACTTAATTGGTCTCTAAGGTGCTACTGGAAATATTTTTTTATTTGTTTCGACTACAGCAGACCAACACAGCTACCTTCCTGTAGCTAGAACTTTGTGTTTGCTGAGACATGGACTCTTGTCTGTAAAAGCTTCTGCTACAATAAATCGGTTAGCATTTAAGGTGCCACAAGTCTCTTTGTTAAAGAGACGCGGGTGGCGCTGTGGGTAAAAGCCTCAGCGCCTAGGACTTGCCGATTGAAAGGTCGGCGGTTCGAATCCCCGCAGCGGGGTGCGCTCCTGTTGTTCGGTCCCAGCGCCTGCCAACCTAGCAGTTCAAAAGCACTCCCGGGTGCAAGTAGATAAATAGGGACCGCTTACTGGCGGGAAGGTAAACAGCGTTTCCGTGTGCGGCTCTGGCTCGCCAGAGCAGCAATGTCATGTTGGCCACGTGACCCGGAAGAGTCTCCGGAAAGCGCTGGCCCCCGGGCCTCTTGAGTGAGATGGGCGCACAACCCTAGAGTCTGTCAAGACTGGCCCGTACGGGGAGGGGTACCTTTACCTTTACCTTTAAGTCTCTTTGTTATTTTTGCTTCTTAGTAAGTGGAAGGAACAAACAGAGCTCCAGAGAGAATTTGTTTCTCTACACAGCCATGGCAGCCCGAATGATATATGCTCAGAAATGGAAGGAGAGAAAAGCACCAACAAAGGAGGAATAGCAGGTGAAACTGATGGAGTATGCAGAATTAGCAAAATTAACTAACAGAATAAGAGAACAGGAAGAAGGAGCCTTTAAGGAAGATTGGAAAATGTCTGTAGAAGATTTGAAGAATTATTGTTAAACAAGTTAAAATGTTAACAGGGTTAGAGTAAATTCAGCAGTTTAAATTAAGTGAAGATTTAATGAGAAAGGAGATAAAATAAAATATATGGAGTAATTAGAATATGCACTAGTAATGGATAACTAAAACAAACCATGGAGGAGGGGAAGGAAAGTAAATGATTCTGGTTATATTGATTTGAATTTGAAAATCTGTAATGGAAAATTATAGATATATATAAAGAGCTCCAGAGAGAGATGTTTAAACAGAATAAAATATTTCCTCACCAGGGAGCTAGTCTATCTATTCTGAGGGATTATCAAAGTAGTTCCATGGGCCCCTTCACTTTCCCAAGCTCTCAGTCCTGCAGACTTTCAGTAGAGATATGCAAGTTCAGCCAGCATTTCAGTCATCTTGCTCAGGCTGACCTGCTTTCAGCTGGTTGACTTTCAGGGATGCAACAAAAACCACAAGTAAATGCACATCTGAATAAACTGAATGTACAGCAAGAATGTGATACATAAGAATGGCTTGATAAAGTCAATAAATAATTTCTTAGTGGACTGGTCAAGAGCTAGTTGGCTTGCTTAAAAAAGATAAAGCAGCACAGCAAGAGAGGAATTGGGGGGGGGAGAACCCCATATTGGGATTTTGGTGGCCCCTTTCTCCATCTCACCCAGTTCCCTGGCGACCAGTCACTATGGCCAGACTGTGCGCCAAACGGTTCTCATGTGCACAGCCAAGAGGTGAGGTCTATGAGCTATGGATTGATTTAATGCAGAAAGCCACGAACCTGTTCAGAAGGAGAACCAATGCGCAGAAGAGGGGTGGTCCAAAAGAACCGAAAAGAAAGGAGCACTGGAAAAGGGGATATGAAGCTGCACAAAACCAGCTCAGAGCATTCAACAAAGTTCAAGTCCTTCCCTTTAGCTTCTCTGTCATTACCATTTTACTCCCTTAGTGATTCCTGCTGGTTTGCACATAGGTATTCATCACTTGATGACTCACTGCAGTATCAAGTAGCAATTTGCAAGGATAAATGAGGCAGCGCTCATCCAGCTCCACAGACAGAATGTTTGCATAGTCTCCACGCATATACAAGGCTTTTCACTCAATTGAGTAACTTCATACATTGAGCCACAAGATATCCAGTGGTGAGAAAGCAAGCCATGGCTAAGCAGATGTGGGCAAGACCTTTGTGCTGTGGCTTGGGAGTTCAAAATGGAGTAATTTGTTCTTTCTAGCACCTTGAAAAGAAGCGACATTATTTGGTGTCTCAAAGCACTGGATAAAGGTACTTCTGATTGTATTGGGATGAGAACAGCCCTCTCTTGAGTGTGCTCATTCACGGAATTACTACTGAAACAAGTCCAAATAGCCTGATCCTATAGCCTTGCCTTTGCCCCAAGAGCCCAGAGTCCCCCAGACAAGGACCCATGTCTAGAAGTCCAACATTTCAAATACATGATATTGTTATAAGAATTTTAAGGTCTTATATATATATATATAATAAATAAAGGTAAAGGGACCCCTGACCGTTAGGTCCAGTCGTGGATGACTCTGGGGTTGCAGCACTCATCTCGCTTTACTGGCCGAGGGAGCCGGCGTACAGCTTCCGGGTCATGTGGCCAGCATGACTAAGCCACTTCTGGCAAACCAGAGCAGCGCACAGAAACGCCGTTTACCTTCCCACCGGAGCGGTACCTATTTATCTACTTGCACTTTGACGTGCTTTTGAACTGCTAGGTTGGCAGGAGCAGGGACCGAGCAACGGGAGCTCACCCCGTCACGGGGATTCGAACCGCCTTCTGATCAGACCACAGCGCCACCCGCGTTCATAAATGTACATAAATAGATGTTCATAAATGTACCAAGCAACCACATACAAATATGTAAACCACATGTCTGAAACCCACAGAAAAGTCCTGAAACCATTTTCTCTCTCCCAAAATGACCTCAAATATTACTCTGCAAGGTCGAAAGAAATGGGAAATCTCCCCATTGTCTCTTTCACAAATCCTGTCTTAAGGGCACATCTAAAATATGAATAGGGTGTGAACCTGTGACCTGGATTCAGGAATTGAGTAGTTATCATAACTAAAGAGTGGCCAGGATGCCCAGGTAATCCAATCAGGTAACCTGGCAGACAGGAAGAAACAACACACCCAGATTTCCTCCCCTTTTCTGATGTATTAAGGGGGTGGTCTTGGGCCACACCCCTTCTGTGATGTATGTATGATGTTTCTGGGGGTGGTCTTGGACTCCAGGGTGGGCAATTTAAAAAGTCTATATAACGGCTTGCGTGCATGGCTCGGGGTCCCCCCCCCACATTTGTGTGTGGGGAGCACCCTGTTGCAACAGCTTTAATAAAGATCAGGCTTACTAGCTCCTTTGCTTCTCAATATTCTCTGGCTGGTCCCTGTTATTTTCTCCTACTGGTAGAGAACCTACAAAAGGACTTTCTATGAGCTCTTGGGAAAAAGGAGCAGTTTTTTTTATCATAACAATATGAAAGGCTGCACTCTGTACCTTTCTTTCTAGCCAGTGAAATGATATCAGCTGCACTCTTGCTCATGACCTTGGTGATATACAACGGACAGTTGATGCGACTAGCTATGGTGATGGCTCGGAAAACAGCTTCTGCTTCAAGCTGAAAGAAGGAAAGAAATTCAGTCAAAGTAACCTCATTGTTACCTTGCAAATTTTTCACACAGGTATTCCCCAGATTCCAGCCACTTTCCTCTTCTGCTTTAAGAACAGTTCCTCATCCCTCAACCCCCTTCCAGTTTTAACTGACTTGCAAACATATAACCCTTCCTGCTACTTCACGCTTTGCTTTTGCTCCAAGCAGAATTAATTTGAAGCTATACACAACTTTCAGAATACTGCTTACAGAAAAAAAGATTTCTCACCCCTGATCTAAATGGCATGAATGGCTCAAGGTGGTACCTGAAAAAACTCCTACGACTTCAAAAACATTAAAAACTGAATGTAATCAGCTTGCCACATTGCAAGCAACTGCTATACTGAAGTGTTCATCAGCAGAGCGACCCCTTTAATATTCTCACTAGAAGTCAATGGAACATTTGCAGGTGATCAGCTTCAAGGCCACAGCTTAAAATTTGGTTATTAAGGTGTTCTGTATTGAGGTATTATTATCACAGAATCACATAGTGATGTGAAGTGCTTATGGATTTCTCTTGGTTTGGCTAGTTCTGCTAGAAAAAAAATTGTAGACACTTTAACGCATGGCTCCTGCAGCCCTTAGACTGAACTTGAACACAGCTCTCACCTCCTCTGGCCTGCTCAAGGCGTGGCCCTCTGGTCCAGTGATGCCCATCTCCAGCATACGCTTTTGTTCCTGAGGAGGTCATAGACAAAAGATGATGGCCAACAGGTTACAAATATATCAATTGATATGTATCAAAAGTCTCTTATATACACTGTATTTCAGTCATGTCTGTTGGTTAAGGAACGATATTTATTGTTAGCATTTAAATACCATCCAATCAACTATGTATTCTGCGTAGTTTACAGATTTCGGATATTCCATTCTGCTTTTACTGCATAATGTTCCTGATTTATACTTTTAACTGCTGCTGTTTTAACTATGTGTTATGCTAGGTGCCTGTTTTATTTTTAAATTGTTTTAAACTACAGGCATGTCTGGAGGACGTGGACCATCTGGATCCCTTCCAATCAGGATTCAGGCTCCGCCATGAGACAGAAACCACCCTGGTTGACTGGTCAATGATCTCTGGCAGGTTAGGGACAGAGGTGAAAGTTGTTTCCTGGTTCTGCTGGATCTCTCAGCAGCTTTTGATACCATCAACCATGGTATCCTTCCGGACCATCTAGGAAGGTTGGGAGTGTGGGGGCACTGTTACACAATGGTTCCACTCCTTCCTGGGTCATGTCCAGGAAGTCGCGTGGGGAGATGAGTGCTCAGACCCCTCAACACTCACTTGTGGGGTGCCTCATGACTCCACCCTCTCTCATGCTTTTTTAACATCCATATGAAACTGCTGGGAAAGGTCATCAGGTGGTTTGGGCTGGGTGTTCACCAATATGCTCTACCTCTCATTTAAATCAGAAACAGTGAATGTGATGAACCTGGTCCTATGTGTCTGGGGGTGGCTGGAGGATGGACAGCAATCAATGGATTCAGGTTGAATCCTGACAAGACAGAGGTACTGCTTCTGGGGGACGGGGGGGGCAGTCAGGTGTGAAGGACTTCCTGGTCTTGAATGAGCTAACTCTGCCCCTAAAGGACCAGGTGTGCAGCCTTGGGGTTATTTTGGACTCACAGCTGTCCATGGAAGCACAGCTTAATTCTGTGTCCAGGGTGGCTGTCTACCAGCTCCATCTGGTATGGTGGCTGAGACCCTATCTGCCTGCACACTGTCTCACAGAGTGGGACATGCAACAGTTATTTCCTGCTTGCAACTGCTGCAATGTGTGCTATGTGGGGCTACCTTTGAAGGTGACTCAGAAACTACAGCTAATCCGGAATGCGGCAGCTAGACTGGTGACTTGGAGGGCCACTGGGACCATATAACACCTGTCCTAAAGGATCTATGTTGGCTCCCAGAACATTTCTGAGCACAACTCAAAGTGTTGGTACTGACCTTTCAAGCCCTAAATGGCCTCAGCCCTGTATATATGAAGGAGCATCACCACCTGCATCGTTCAGCCCAGAAACTGAGGTCCAGCTCTGAGGGCCTTCTAGTGGTTCCCTCACTGTGAGAAGCAAAGTTACAAGGAACCAGGCAGAAGGCCTTCTCAGTAGTTGTCCCTGCCCTGTGGAATAGCCTCCCATCACATGTCAAAAGGCAGCCCTGTACAGGGAAGTTTTTAATGTTTAATATTTTATTGTGTTTTTTATATTTTGTTGGAAGCTGCCCATAGTGGATGGCAACCCAGTCATTTGGGCAGCATGTTGTTATTGTTGTTTGCTTTTAGCTGGAACTGTTTCTGGCCATGAATAGCACCACAAAAACTCAAAAATTAAATGAAATAAATTAAATTTATGGCAAACTCAGAGGCCCATTCGCCTCTTCCACCACAACTAAAATGCACTGATAATTATTACAGATTCTATATGCTAACTGCCTGACAGAATTTTGAAAATGTCCACCTGTTCCAAGGCCTCCCTTCTTGATTGTTTCATCACTTAAGATCTACCTGGTTCTAAGCATGGACATCTAAGGCCAGGTGGCACTTGAATTGGTACCAATATGTCACATAGGTCTTTCTGGGACAGTTATGCAATAAAGAACCTTTTTTTGATACTAGCATCAGCAGCAGCAGCAGCACCCAGTACTGAACTTTGTGCCAAATAATAACCTCTGCATGTTTGGGGTAAAAAGGTAAAGGTACCCCTGCCCGTATGGGCCAGTCTTGACAGACTCTGGGGTTGTGCGCCCATCTCACTCAAGAGGCCGGGGGCCAGCGCTGTCTGGAGACACTTCCGGGTCACGTGGCCAGCATGACAAGCTGCATCTGGCGAGCCAGCGCAGCACACGGAACGCTGTTTACCTTCCCGCTAGTAAGCGGTCCCTATTTATCTACTTGCACCCGGGGTTGCTTTCGAACTGCTAGGTTGGCAGGCGCTGGGACCGAGCAGCAGGAGCGCACCCCGCCGTGGGGATTCGAACCGCCGACCTTTCGATTGGCAAGCCCTAGGCGCTGAGGCTTTTACCCACAGCGCCACCCGCGTCCCTATGATTGGGGTACCTTTCTGCAATCACAGCATGGCTTAAACACAGCCCAGTGTAAGCAGTCCAATCCAGAGAAAGGCTAGCATCCATTAAGCCCTGGTGAAGCACACAATTAAGCACATCTGTCCAATTGATATCAGTAGATTTTTCTATGTTCAGAATTAACGAGAACCAATAAATTACTTCACATCTTATTTTAATTTTTCATGGCACCAAGTAGGGCTCATTTTCAATCACTCCCTGTCACAACCATGACATTCAGCACTCATTATATTTTTCAAGGGCTTGATGACCATTGCTACTGCCACACTGCAGTACTAATCTACAACCACATCAGATGGGTGGATAAGATGGCAAACATCTGTGCCCAACAAATCTACCTATCAAGGGTATCAGACAGTTCAAAGAATAAATGTAGAAGAAAAGTTTTTCTCACCTGAGCTATCAAATCTCCATTTTCAGCATGGACCATGATTACAGCTCCAAGACTTTTCAGAAAAGTAAAGGCTTCATAGAGCTATATAGAGTACCAAGGGAGGGGGGAACAGTCAGCAATGACAGATTATTGTATATCCCAATTCTTTTATCCCCTTCTTTAAAACACACATGCATACACACATTTCCTTTCCTTTTAGGGGAGCACAACAGCCCAAAAAAGGGTAAAACTTTATTTCACTCTGTTTCCTCATCTCGTCCCTTCTCATCAGCAAAGGAAAACACAGTGCTTGACACCAATGGGGAATTGGTTCCCTCTCCCTGTCTGCTGAAATCCTAAGAATTCACCCCACCCAGATATGCTTTGGAGTAACACATTTAGCATCGCATTTACTTTGGCTCTAATTCCACCACCTTCCAGATAAGTTTGACAGGAACCTGAACATTAAAAAAAATAAAAATCTGTAGATGCTTTCTTGTTTATGATTCAATGAAGAGCTCACAGTTTAACTCAGATTCCCACAATTAGAAGGCAATAACTTCCGCAAAGTTTTTGGGGCAAATTATAAAAGCGATAAAGTCCCATCAAGATTAGAAATGGATTCAAAAAATGGCTGAATACGTGGAATTAGATAGCATGTCAGAAGAGATAAAAAATAAACCAAAACAGGTATTTATCTCAAAATGGGAAGTTTTTAAAATATACTTGGAAAATAATAATAGTAGTTTAAGGTCATACGCAGCGTTCGAATAATTTCAGTAGCAGTGTTAAAAATGTGGTAAAACCAATGAATGGATTAAGGGATATTGAAATTGAACAAAACTCGTTACACAATGGCAGCGAACAATTAATACAGAATCTGTAATAATGAATAGATGGGAAGTCTGGCGCATAGAAAAAGACCACTTTTATTTTATGTATTTTATGTTTTGAAGGTTATTAGTTGCTGTATTAATTCTCTTTTTTTCTTTGGTGGTGATGGAATTTATTTTCTTTTTCTGTATGGTGTGTTAATGTGAATGGTAACAGTAAAATTTTAAAAAAGAAGAAGAAGAAGAAGAAGGCAAGAACTTCTAAAACGATTCCAAAGCCTTTTTTCTTGGATAAAAAGTAGGAACAAAAACCAAGCCAACTCTTGATTAGATGCTAAATGCATGTATTAAATGTGCACAGTTCTTATTCTCTAAAGCAGTGTTTCCCAACCTTTTTTGGGCAAAGGCACACTTGTTTGATGAAAAAAATCTCGAGGCACACCACCATTACAGCCCCGTGACGTCAGCGCGCAGCGTCACGCCGGGAGGGACGCACGAAAGTGTAACTTTCAATTTTTTCCCCTCCCCCTTGCCGGGGAACCTCCAAGCTTTGGGGGTGGGGGGGGAGGAGGCAGCAAAGCGAGGGACTGAGGGGCTCCTCCAACGACAAGGGTTGGGGAAGAAGAGAAAGGGCTATTCCGCTCCAGTCACGGGAGGGGAATATGTACTGGCCCAACTGGTGTGCGGTCTTCGGAAAGCGGGGTGCGGGAAGGAAGCCTAGGCTCGGGGGCATAGAATCATAGAATCATAGAGTTGGAAGAGACCACAAGGGCCATCGAGTCCAACCCCCTGCCAAGCAGGAAACACCATCAGAGCACTCCTGACATATGGTTGTCAAGCCTCTGCTTAAAGACCTCCAAAGAAGGAGACTCCACCACACTCCTTGGCAGCAAATTCCACTGTCGAACAGCTCTTACTGTCAGGAAGTTCTTCCTAATGTTTAGGTGGAATCTTCTTTCTTGTAGTTTGGATCCATTGCTCCGTGTCCGCTTCTCTGGAGCAGCAGAAAACAACCTTTCTCCCTCCTCTATGTGACATCCTTTTATATATTTGAACATGACTATCATATCACCCCTTAACCTCCTCTTCTCCAGGCTAAACATGCCCAGCTCCCTTAGCCGTTCCTCATAAGGCATCGTTTCCAGGCCTTTGATCATTTTGGTTGCCCTCCTCTGGACACGTTCCAGTTTGTCAGTGTCCTTCTTGAATTGTGGTGCCCAGAACTGGACACAGTACTCCAGGTGAGGTCTGACCAGAGCAGAATACAGTGGCACTATTACTTCCCTTGATCTGGTGGACTTGTCCAAAAGTGAATGCCTTCTGGGAAATGATCTATAATGAGTTAAAAAAGGTATTTAAGTATACCTTTCCCAAGAAACCAGAGGCCTTCCTCTTGGGCATTGTTGGCCAGAAAGTGTTAAAGAAGGATAGAACTTTCTTTATGTATGCAACTACAGCAGCAAGAATACTTATCGCAAAATATTGGAAGACACAAGATTTGCCCACACTGGAAGAGTGGCAGACGCAATTGATGGACTACATGGAACTGGCTGAAATGACTGGCAGAATCCGAGATTTGGGAGAAGAAACAACGGAAGAGGACTGGAAAAAATTTAAGGACTATTTACAAAAACAATATAAGTTGTATGAATGTTAAAAATTTACACGATTCGGAAACTATAGCTTCAGCAATTAGATTTGGGAAACAGGAAATTATATTTTAAGTAAGAAAAGGTCAAAATCTAAGGTAATACTATGTTTAATTTAAGATATAAGTAACTGATGAAAAGTATGTTAAATTTAGAGGTATAGTATTTGAAAAGTACAAAATAAGGTACGAAACAAGGTAATAATTTGCTGATATCCTTATTATAAAGAATGCAGGGTAAGGGAGATGCGAGGAAGCCCAGTTAGTTATATAAAAAATGTGTTGAATGGTTGGTTTTCTTTTCTTCTTTTTCTTTTTTTCTTTTTCTTGTTCTTTTACTTTTTTCTTCAGTGTATGTTTCTAACTTTGTATTTGAAAACTTAATAAAATATTTATATATAAAAAAGGGAAAATCCTTTCGCTTTTCTGGGGTGCAGGGAAGTCTCAGAGCCGGAGGTTGGGGAAGGGACCCCCTTTGCTCTGCCCTCTTCTCCCGTCTTAGATTCGCATGGGGGTCCCCGCCCGAGCTTGCCTGGCCACCGGGCCACACAAGGACCGCGCTCTACGCGGCGCACCTTGCTAGCCGCGCAGCTGTCCTCCGCTGCGCTGCCAATGACAAGCGGGCGACGGTCGCGGGCAGGGAAGGCGTCGCTTTCTTTCCCGATCCTTCATCCTCCCAGTCTTCCAGCCCTTTTTTGGGTTGGAAGCTCGTCTCGTTCGCCCTTCTCCTTTCTTCACCCTGCGCGCAATTTTCCTCCCTCGTCTCCCTCCCCATTTCTCCTTCCTTCCTTCCTGACTGACTGACGGGCTCGGGCTCGGGCAGCCACAGCGTCGGCGGTGTTGGCAATCGGCGGCGCGGGGGGATGGCCCTCCCGGGGGAGCCGGCGCTGCTCAATGGGGTTGCCAAGGAGACAGGCCGGGCGCCCCCCTCCCCCGGCCCGGCGCCCCCCGCCGCGCCGGTGCCCGTTATCGAGCTGGTGCGCGCCCGGCGCCCTATAAAAGCCACGGACGCGCCAAGCGTCGACACGCAGAGCCAGCGCGGCAGCGGCGCTCTGCTGGAGGGGGCCCCCTCAGGCCCCATGGAGCCTATGCGCTCAGGAGGGGCCGGTGGGCTGGCAAGCGCCTCACAGCAGCAGCACCAGAGAGGGAGAGAAGTCCGCCTCCCGCTGCCGCCGCCTCTTCATCCCCAGCAGCAACTTCCCTGCCCGGCTCCCCGCCGCCGCCGCCGCCTCCTTCTCTCCCTGCTTTGCAGTAGCAGCCGCCGCCGCCGCGGCGGCCGCGGCACACCAGGCAACATCTCCCGGCACACTAGTGTGCCGCGGAACACCGGTTGGGAAACACTGCTCTAAAGAGCATCAGAACTGGGAGCACAGCACACAGGGAGGGGGGCAGGCTACTGTCCTGCTAAGCCCCCTCCCCCAGCCCTTTCCAGAAGCTGCTATAAGTCTTGGGAGGAAGATCCCCTCACAAGACTAGCAGCAGCTTCCAGGAAGGTGTAAATTGTGGGTGTGTGGAAAGGATTAATCCCACTTCCCCAAATTCTGTAGCCCCAGTGCTGCCCAGAGGCCTCACAGCTACACATTAAATAACAAAAACAGTGCACATTAAACATTTACAAGCATTTGTAAATGTTTAATATTCTAAAGCAAGTTCTGGATATGCTCCAAGCATGTGAAAACATGAGGCCATACCAGTCATGGTGCTGGAAATGACATGTTTCAAAACTCCAAATTTGTGTTCGCAACATATTCTGCCATGTTATGTTTTAACTGTAATATGCACAAAACATTAATCACAATTTCAATTAAAAACTAAATGTTAGCCCACCTGAAACTCATGACTCCAAAGATATAACAACAGAGAGGGTGTTCAGTAACTTTCATTTCAGAGGAAGGAGAGGGACATGACTGCTCACATTTGAACACACACCCATCCCAAACTTAAGCTTAATTCAAAGGCATGGATCTCAATTAGAAGATTTCCTGGGAATCAGAGATCTCATATGAAAATGCACAGATTACCTGGCTGTCAGTCATTTGGTAGAGATCTTTGTAGACCATGTAGACTTGAAAAGAATTAACACCTATTTACAGGGAAAAAAGTATTCAGAATAAAGCGAATGTGCATTTTTTTTAGCATTCTGAAACAGTTACCTTCATAAATATTCATATTAGTACTGTTTATGTTAAAACAGTTTTAATTTATTTTTTATTACTTGTTTAAAATCTTTCTCTGCTACCTCCCATATCATCTCAAAGTTGTATACAATATTTAAAAATATATCAAACATTAAAATACAGAAAGATAATGCAAATGAAAATATAAGGCAGAGTTAAAAATATGATATATTCAGGTCAAGCACCAGTGAAAGCTGGGAGCACAGCTGTTTTGGGGGTTTTTTAAAGGCAGGGAAGGTGGATGCATTGTGCAGTTGCCGCCACAGAAAATACGATGACAGATGCACAAATGGCTACTTCTATTTTAAGCTTAATAGTCCAACTAGTTCACTTTCTGCTTGCAAAGTCAAGTTAATGATCAGATCCTGTTAAGAGTGCAAGCTTCTGGCAGAAAATAAAAATGCTAGTTACGTGCAGCTGTCTTTTAAGAAAGTGTTGTCTCCGCTTTTATTTCACAGTTCTTTTTCCTGATTCACAAAGTGTTCAGTGGCTTAGCCCAGGCATAGACCACCACTAGACCACAAGCTACATTTTATTTATTATTATTATTATTATTATTATTATTATTATTATTAACCCAGCCACTCTGGGCAACTTCCAACAAAGATTAAAAATACATTAAAATGTCACACATTAAAAACTTCCCTAAACAAGACTGCCTTCAGATGTCTTCTAAATGTCAGGTAGTTGTTTATCTCTTTGACATCTGATGGGAGGGTGTTCCACAGGGCGGGCACCCACCACCAAGAAGGCCCTCTGCCTGGTTCCCTGGAACCTCACTTCTTGCAGAGAGGGAACCACCAGAAGGCCCTTGGCGCTGGACCTCAGTGTCCAGCAGAACGATGGGGGTGGAGACGCTCCTTCAGGTATACTGGGCTGAGGCTGTTTAGGGCTTTAAAGGTCAGCACCAACACTTTGAATTGTGCTCGGAAACATACTGGGAGCCAATGTAGGTCTTTCAGGACCGGTGCTGTATGGTCTTGGCAGCCACTCCCAATCACCAGTCTAGCTGCTGCATTCTGGATTAGTTGTAGTTTCCGGGTCATCTTCAAAGGTAGCCCCACGTAGAGCGCATTGCAGTAGCACCACTCTGGCGAGACAGTCTGCAGGCAGGTAGGGTCTCATCCTGCGTACCAGATGGAGCTGATAAACAGCTGCCCTGGACACAGAATTGACCTGCGCCTCCATGGACAGCTGTGAGTCCAGAATGACTCCCAGGCTGCGCACCTGGTCCTTCAGGGGCACAGTTACCCCATTCAGGACCAGGGAGTCCCCCACCCCTGCCCAGCCCCTGTCCCCCAAGAACAGTACTTCTGTCTTGTCAGGATTCAACCTCAATCTATTAGACACCATCCATCCTCCAACCAACCGCCTCCAGGCACTCACACAGGACCTTCACTGCCTTCACTGGTTCCAATTTAAAAGAGAGGTAGAGCTGGGGATCATCCGCATATTGATGACATAGGACTGCCAGGAGGCCTTATTTTGGCTCACGAGTCCTTTCCTCCCTGCAGGGGCAAAGGAAGGGGAACCAGCACCTGGTGCGGGGGAGCGGGGCAAACCGCCTGGTGGCGCATGCATGTGTGCTGTACATACGGAGCATGTGCAGCACCGCTACACAGGGCGCATGCGCGCACCCCGTACGTAGGGTGCATGCTCAGCAACTTTCACAGCGCTGTCACACATGCGCCACTGGGCAGTTTGCCGCCGCCGCTCAAGCGTGGGTGGCAGCAGAGGGTGCAGCCATGAGCAAAGGATCCTCCGCACGCAGCTGTGATGGAGTGATGGTGGCGGCTCACACCATCATGCCTGGGGGCAGCGGGGCAAGCCCCCCATGGGATGCCCTCTTGTCACACCCCTCAGAGATGGCACCTGGGGTGGACCCCCCCTTCCTCCGCCACTACCTCCCTGCCCTGCCCGCTTGACCCTCGCCTGATGGCAGAAGGTATCAGGTGCATGTCAGGTAAAGTTGTAACTACAAAGCAACAATCCCAACCCTTGGAACGCACGCCCAAGTGTTCCTTTGCAAGTGTGGCTTGTGCTCAGCACTGCTCATATTTGGCTACACCGGCAGTTTAACAATATTAAAAGAAAGGAACCTAGAGAACGTTACTTTTTTATTATTGTTGCAGAAAATTATTCATATATGCTAACACTGGAAGAGCTGTCAGACACCAGACTTAGGAGGATGGTGTACTGAGTTACGGAGAGAAGCAGTGTTAAGTGAATGAACTTGGGCTTTATGAGTGCAACAAGCTATTTGTAAAAATACCACGTTTGAGAATGAATGGAATTTTTAAATAAGTTTTTGGAATGCAAAAACAGGATAGTTGGTGATACAAGAGACAGGGAGCACAGAGATGTGTATCCAAGGGTACTAAAGGAGCTTGCAGATGTGATCTTCAAGAATTCTTGGAGCAGGTGAGGTCCCTGAGGACTGGAAGAGGACAAATATTGTCCTCATCTCCAAAAAGGGGGTGGGGAGAAGATACAGGTAACTTCTGACCGATCAACTTGACATCGATACCAGGAATGTCCTAGAACAGATATTAAACAGTGTGCAAGAACTTATAAAAGGATGCTGTGATTAGTAAGACCCAGCATGGGTTTCTCAAAAACAAATCATGCCAGGAAAAAAATCTAATTGATTTATTTCTTTTATAGAATTGCAAACTTGGTAGATCAGGGGAATGCTGTGGACATTGTGTATCATGATTTCAGTAAGGTTTTTGACAATGTCCCCCATATTTTTATCTTTCTCTTATCTGGCTATTCTGCTAGACCGTTACTAACCTTTATCTTGTACCAGGATATCCAGCTCTTCCCTGATTCCATCATACCAGTTGGTGATATCCACATGGAGAGAGTAATCGCAACAGGATTTGGTGTCTGCTGCCTCGTGCCACTTTTCAAAGGAGGTTAATAGGCTGGAGCTGGGTTCAGGAAGTACATGGTCAACTGAAATGAGGATGAAGTGTTTGTTAATAGGCAAATAAAGTTCAGTCCACATTTTATCTACAGATGCAATAGTACATGAAACAAAACAGGTCCTGAAACCTCTTGTTTCATTGCCACACTGTTTTTGAAGGGCTTTAATAATAATAATAATAATAATAATAATAATAATAATAATAATAATTTATTTATACCCCGCCCATCTGGCTGAGTCTCCCCAGCCACTCTGGGCGGCTCCCAATCAAATGTTAAAAACAGTACAGCATTAGATATTAAAAACTTCCCTAAACAGGGCTGCCTTCAGATGGCTTTTAAATATTTTTTAACTGCTTTTTTCCTTCACATCTGAAGGGAGGGTGTTCCACAGGGTGGGCGCCACTACCGAGAAGGCCCTCTGTCTGGTTCCCTGTAACCTCACTTCTCGCAATGAGGGAACCGCCAGAAGGCCCTCGGCGCTGGACCTCGGTGTCCGGGCTGAACGATGGGGGTGGAGACGCTCCTTCAGGTATACAGGACTGAGGCCGTTTAGGGCTTTAAAGGTCAGCACCAACACTTTGAATTGTGCTCGGAAACGTACTGGGAACCAATGCAGATCTCTCAGGACTGGTGTTATGTGGTCCCGGCGGCCACTCCCAGTCACCAGTCTTGCTGCCGCATTCTGGATTAATTGCAGTTTCCGGGTCACCTTCAAAGGTAGCCCCATGTAGAGTGTATTGCAGTAGTCCAAGCAGGAGATAACTAGAGCATGCACCACTCTGGCGAGACAGTCGGCGGGCAGGTAGGGTCTCAGCCTGCGTACCAGGTGGAGCTGGTAAACAGCTGCCCTGGACACAGAATTAACCTGCACCTCCATGGACAGCTGTGAGTCCAAAATGACTCCAAGGCTGCGTACCTGGTCCTTCAGGGGCACAGTTACCCCATTCAGGACCAGGGAATCCCCCACACCAGCCCGCCCCCTGTCCCCCCAAAACAGTACTTCTGTCTTGTCAGGATTCAACCTCAATCTGTTAGCTGCCATCCATCCTCCAACCGCCTCTAGTTGTTTCTCTGTGCAAGGAAGAACTATTTCAACTAACTTAAGTTTGATCTTGCCTATTTCTTCCGAAAAGCAGGACACTGAGCTGACTAAGCCAGTAAGAATAGGCCACCGCCTAAGAAATATGTGCAGCCTTGGCCAATGCACACTTAGGAGTAAGCACCAAAGTGGCCCACGTTGGAATACCCCCAGCCTGTCTGCATGCCTGAACCCCAGCAGGCACACTAGCCATACTATGCTTGAGGCAGCAAACTAGGATCATAAATCACGGTTTGTTGTTATGCCCGTTCTGACACCCTGGCTTAATCATAGCTTGTTGTCTTGCTTTGCCTCTGCTGCCTCCCCAACTGCTGAGAATAAAATAGCCTGAAAATGAAGCCACTCCCAATGGACCTTTCACACACTGCTCTCTTCTCTCTTCCTAGAAATAGGCTCCTTTTCCCACCTAGCGCCTCACTGACAAATTCTCTCGCCCAGCTTCACTGTTTAGCTCCCCTGCAGTCTTTCAGTTTTGTATATAAATAGACTACATGCATCTAACAAGGGGCATATGCTGAAAGAACACCTTTTGCCAATCATTCTCAACAGTTTTGTTTATTTTATTTATTACCTGATTTATATGTTACTTTTTAGGGTGCAACAGCCACTTCAAGACAATGTCCAAAATTTATGACTTAATAATAATAACAGTAATAATAATAACAATAGCAACAACAGCAACAACAATAAGGCATTACACCTGCTTAAAACTGAACAATAGCCACTAAAACATTAGAATTTTTTTTAAAGCAACAGCAGATAATAAAAAGACAGAAACAATTTTTTTAGTAGTTTCTTAGACATTTCCAAAGATGGGATCACTCATACTTTCCAAGGGAGAGCATTCATAACTATAGGGCCACCACCTGAAAGGCCCTGTATCTGGTACCCATCAGACTAATGCAGGGCCTCAGAAGCAGATCTGAAAGCCCAGGAAAGTTCATAAACATGCACGTGGTCCTTTAGATAACTTGGTACCAGAATTCTTGTTGCTATGTTCTGTACCAACTGGCTTCCTAATAGCCTTTAAAAATAGTCCCATAAAGCCACTTCCGCCCTGCAGAGGAGGTGGGGTTGCGGGCTTCACGGCCCCACCATGCACACAGCGGCTGGAGCCCAGCCCCCAAGCGATTTAGGGAATCCCCGGCCACATCACCCCCTGGCCAGCCAATCAGCTGGCTCTGGGGGCATGGCCTGCCCTATTTAAGGCAGGCAGTGCCGGGGATCTCCCTCTTTTGCTGCCTACCAGCTGTTCCTGTTTCCCACCCTCCCGCCCTTTAAGGTTTTTGTTCCTTGACCTTGCTATGGACCTTGGCTGGTCGCTTTTGAGGGGCCTGGTAGGAATTTTTTCCACTTGGCAAATTGGCACCAGCCACTTGGTTTTCACCTACCTCCTAGCAAATCATCACAACTTTCTTGGTATTGGCGGTTAGGCATTGGTATTGTTCTGTAGATGGAAGAGGGGAGGAAGTGCCATCACCTGCCCCGCATATTGAAGTCTGATAAAGGATTCCGGGGGGCGTGGCGCTGTCCGAAGCCTATGGAGGTGGGGGCCTAAGGCATGCCCCCTATCGGTGACCTCGGGGGAGTTCCTAGTTGATGTGCATCAGCAGGACTCCCCCTACTGGTGGTTAACCCTTCCCAGACTTCAAGCGGACAGGCTGAACCGGATATAGTTGGTTAGGACCAATGCCTAAGCCAATACCACTCATCACCTGTAACTAATAAAGTTGTGGCCTTATTTAACCCATTAACCTTAATAATTGTGTTATGTGTCTTTATTTTCGGGGGGGGGGGGGATTCGTCACGCAAGGAGCATATTGCAGTGATACAGAGGATGTATCACTGAGCTAAGCTCAAGTTTTCTACACATGGCCACAAGTAAACCAGCCAAAGCCGGTGTGATCACACACTAAGATGAAATGTGAAGTGTTTTACTGACGTTATGACACTAAAACTGCTAAGTGGGGTCATACTCAGTTTTGGAGCACATTGTTATCAGATTTCTGAGGACAGCCAGCTCTGTTTCTCATTTTCATCTTCTGCAGGTGAGGCAGCGGATGTGCTGAACTGTTGCCTGGTCACAAGGGACTGAATGAGGACCAATGGACTGAAGTTTAATCTAGACAAGACTGAGATGCTGCTAGTGAATGGCTCTCCTGTCCAAGTGAGTGGCATGCAGAATGCTCTAGACAGCGTCCCTCTGGATTACTGCAATGTAATTGCACAGGGGTGTCTCTGAAGATGATTCGGAAACTAGGCAGCATCGAACGCACCCACCTGATTGCTAAGAGTTTTAGGGCAAATGGATCACATGGCACCGGCCCTTGACTCAGCTGCAGTGGCTGCCTGTTCATTTCCAAGTCCCATTCAAAGTGGTGATTTAACCTTAAATCTCTATATGGCTCAGAGCCCCAATATCTTTTCAAATCCCACTCATGATTTGAACCTACCCAGACCCTCTGGTTTTCATCCAGGGCCCTTCTCTGTGTGCTCCTCTCATGGAAGTTTCGAAAGCTCTCCCCAGTGAGGTCCACCCTGCTCCATCACTTAACACCGTCTCTATGCTAAGTAAAAACTTACCTATTCTCCCAGGCATTTGATGGATAATGATTATTTATTATTATTATTATTATTACTACTACTACCGGTGGCGACCATTTTCGGCGCTTCCAATTGACGCATGATCAGCGATGCACGGGTCCTTTCAGAGACCCAGAAGGTGGCAAAACGAGGGCAGAACGGGGAGAAAGGGGTGGGGCATAATGGGGCAGGGCACTCTTATACGCTGTCTGCCAACGCATTTGGGGGCTAAGAATGGAACCCCCGTGTGAAATGGTCACTGCCTGTTTTATTTTGCTGTCTATTGATAGAGTGCTTTTGCTGCTGGAGTTCTTGCTGCTGTTTCAATAGATTTCTTTTCTAGATTATTTCCTTCCTTCCTTCCTTCCTTCCTTCCTTCCTTCCTTCCTTCCTTCCTTCCCCTTCACCCTTATGGTCCCAGGGCAGGTATGGTTACCATTGTATTGCATTGTCCTTTTTCAGGGTTTTTTGCCATTCTTTCAGCTTTCAATTTTTTGAAGTCACTTGGAGACTTATGTGGTAAGGAACTAATAAACTGAAATAATAACAACAATAATAATAACAACAATAATATATTCAGATAAAAATCTAATGTTTTCATTCACCAGCAGTTTGTTTTCCTTCAGTCTCGATAACCCATTTGCACATATCATCACAGCCACTGAAGCTTCAGCGATTACTATATTTAATGGGGAAAGGCAGACTTACTTGTTTGCTTTCCTGTGCCATATTAAACTAAACCTTTCTCTAATGCTTCTATGAATGGGACACACCCTCAGCTTTTCCATAATGAAGTGCTGAGCATTTCCAGTACTTACTGATCATGGTAGTGCCTCCTCCTAGAGCTGCCTTTGTGCCATGATAGAAATCATCAATAGCCATCATGCCTTGAGAGGGCTTCTGCAGGTAAGTATTGACATCGATGCCTCCAGGAATAACCATAAGCCCATTCGTCTCAATGGTCTTCACTCCACCAGGAACAATCAAATTCTCTCCTATTTGTCTGACGAAAAGGAATAAGGGCTATTTTGGTTCTTTTGTCTAGAAACATTAACAACAATCTTGAAGGTTTCAAATACAAACCTCAACTTCAGCGGAATCATGTACATATTAGGGTCTAACAAGTGATTATACAGCATCCTGCACCCCAATAGATCTCACTGCATTTTTGCATGCATTTTGCAACCATAGATCCTGCAAATGAAAGTTTAGCTACAGTAGCTCATGGGCTGGTCTTTACGCTGCTTAGAATTCCTACAAACTGCTTGTGTCATATACTGTAGCTTTCCTTACAGCACAGTGAAGCTATTACTATGTCCACTACCAGAAAGAATATAACAGCCAGCCCAAACCTGAGATGCAGTTCCAAAACATGCAAATCATAACACAAATGTTGGCAATGGAAGAATGGTGCAAATTGCCCATGCCTTTGTGAAGTTTGATTAACTATTTGGGTTGTATAGTTCTTCTGATAATATAATTGATTAAAGTTGTCAGTTGCTTCTTGCAAACCTCTCTTGCGCTGTCCCTCTCATACATCCCCCAAATGGGTTCTTATGGTATCATCGAAGAATCACAGAATCACAGGATTATAGAGTTAGAAGGGATCTCAAGGAGCATGTAGTCCAACCCTCTGCAATGCAGGAATCACGAACATTCTTAAGATGTACCAGAACTTAGAAGCTAGAGCCAAAGGTAGACCCTGGAACCCCATGGACACAGTTGCCCCTAGGCAGTGCTACACAGCTGTGGGGTGGCTGAACAAGCTTCAGCCATGCCAACTAAACATTTAGAGATGTGGTTCCCTACTGGTGGCCTGCGAACCTCAGGGATTCCGTGTAACCCACCCAGGGAGTCTGTGACACCATTCACATAACAAAAACTGCCACAGAGATATCAAAAATTTCAAAAGAGGGGGTCTATGGCTTGGCTTTTGAAAAACAGTGAGTGCACAGTACTTAGCTAATTGTGAACCACTGATTTAGAGAACAAAGAAATTAAATTTCATTTATCTTATTTAACAGAATTTATATACTGCTTGATTTTAAAAAACATCTAAGAAGTTTACAAAAATCCAGCTCAGTCACTCCACACACATGAAACACTCTCCACATTCTTTGGAGCATCACTGCATCAATGCGGTTTACATATAAATTGGGTCAATACCAAATACTGCAAATTTTGCTAAGTGGAAGGCTAGTTTGGCTGGAGATCTCACACTAAAGCACTAAAGGGTTTTCTCTGAAAAAAATCATACTGAAAAGTTTTATGGAAAATTACAGTAATCTGCAAAAACAAAACAGTTTTGCATCAGAAAAGTTACTGGTGCCTTAGAAGGTATTTGTTTCTGTTCACTAACACTTTGCTCCCACTGCAAGTTTTTTAAGTCACATTCACATGGCACCTTGCTCAAGCCAGCTTCAATCTAACTAAAAAACTGGATGCAGAAGAAGTGGTTAATGTGAACAAATCCTAACACCCATCATACATGCACAGATGAGTGCATGTATGATGCGCAGATGACAAAATAGGAGTTTGGGAGGGCAGGTGTTGCAGGGCAGAGAAACCAAAAAGTTTATGTCTGTTGGGTGAAGACATCCCGCCCCTCTAATGTTAACAACACTGAAATGCAGTGTGAAACACAGAAGGGGTGTATGTTTGACCTTGCTAATGTGAACATACCCCAAATAGAAACTTTGGGCTGGAATCAATCCAGTCTACTGATATCAGAAAAGACTGGATGGGGGAGCCTGTAACTTTGACTATAGATAAGAGATGTTAAATAGGCAAGTACACCAACATCACCAAACATACACAGAAAGTTCAAAGTTTTAAAACTAACTTTATCAGCCCATCTTCCAGGTAAACATCTGCATAGAAGGAGTGGTCATCATTAATAATCCGTCCACCTTTAATGAGCAGGCGTTCACTCTGAAGGGGGGAAAGGAGAAAAAGAATTAGGTCCAATAGCTTACTTAAAAACATGTAGTTAACCATCAACAGCACAAGGTCTTAAGAGAACTGCAGTAGGATCTTCATGTACAAGATCACTGCTGTAATTCTAGATTAGGATATCTGTTCTCAGGTCATATTTCCTGCTACTTAAAGTCAACTTCTTTACATCTAAAAACTCCAAAGTTTTTAGCCACCTAATGTGTCTCTGGTAACTTGTGAGAAATAAGTTCTGAAATGTTCAACATTATCTCCAACCAAGCAGATACCAACACAATTAGCACCCCTTTCTCAACATCGAAATGGACTACGGCTGCTCTTCTTAGCTGTGTGCCAGGAACCTTCACAGACTGGCTTTTTTTTAGCAGGACCAGCACAAGTTCATCACCAAAGGAGATATCAGTGCAGAGCAGGGCTGTGGGGCTTGTGTGATGGTGGGTGGCCCTGACTAAATCCTCTTCTTTGCCCATTTCCACCTTCGAGCTAACACTTATTTTCCATTCCAGAAACCATTCTCCCAGTAGAGATCTTTTAGAACCCATTACCAAACCCAAAAGTGGCCAGTGTATTTGCTGAATGTATTAATTTTTCTTATTCTGTATCCAAGACGTATGATCCCCTAGCCTCTGTAATGGATGCTTCTGAAAATTAGGTGATTATAAGACACCATGTTTTCCTTTAATAGTGAAAAACTCCTGGTCAGTTAAAACCATTTCTTTGATATCCTTTTTATTTTCCAAAAGTTAGTTTGGTCAGAGGGGCTATTTATAGGGTCTACTACATTTTTCCGACTGACTGTCCAACCAGAAACACTTTCAATATTTGATTATTAGGAGTTTTTAACCAGGTTATGTGTGAGCATCTCTGCAACAGACAACCCCGTCCTGCAAATACTTTTTTTTTTTGCTTCCTAAATTTTGTTATTGGGAGTTCAAATAGGCAAGATAAGCTTTGCAATCACTGAGTTGCTAAATCAAAGTACAACTCTCTGCAAGAATTTGGCTCCAATTTGTAACTGGGCAACAACAAAAAATTCCAGCCAACCTTTAAACTTAAAATAAGCCTTGATCATTTTGCTTATAATGTGTGCTAGAAATATGGTATGTTAACAAGTTTCGTGTATTTACATTTAGCATTGGACAGGATAAAGAGCCTCTGTTTGAATTTTCAGATACTGATGAAGCTATTATAAGAAAGCTATATGAATTTGTTAATTATATTCTAAAATGGGTAACAGAAACAGTTCATCTAATTGTCCTGTATGAGTTAGCCTTTTTCCTGAAGAACTCCAACCACCCTGTGGCTCAAAAAATGAGCATATACCCACAGATGTGTGTTGTAATGTAGATTTGAAGGCATGGGGAACCTGGCAGGAAAAACAGGGCAACTCTGTTTCCCTGAGTCCTAGACTGCAGCCGCAGAGAAACAGTAGTTAAGGCTGAGGAGCAGTTAAACTCGGAGAGTCCACAAGCTTTAAGTCAGTGTGAGGACCAATGGACCCTCCAGATGATCTTGGTGTAACACCTTGGTTCCTGGACCTGCTCCTGTATCTTGACTAGCTGTCTAGCGTGCAGACTTTCAGCTAGTGAAGGCTTTCTTGACACAGAAATAACCAGCAGGGGGAAGTTTGCCGACTAAAAGCTTGTGCATTAAAGAGACATGAGCAGGTGCATTAAAATAAACCAAGCTGCTCCAGCGACCCTGCCTTTCCCCCCTGTGCTTCAAATTCACATGTTTTATCAAGAGGGCGTGATTAGAACCTCTTCGTTTGTCTCACCTCCCTTTCCACCTAATTGGTTTGTTCAAAATATTTTTTCTGTCAGTGAAAAGTAACTGTCATGTAAACAGTTTGTGTTCTTCTGAGTGGCTGCTAGGAGTTAACACTCACCTGGTCCCTGGCTCTAAACTGTATACACTCCTTCTGGTGCCTAAGGGGGGTTCACCTCCAAAACCCCCACAAGGAACGAGTCTGTTCAACAGCCACAAAATGCCAAATGTCTGTTGGGGGCAAGAGGAGGGGGGTTGACATATTGCCCAGTTTGGTGCTGGTGGGGTTGAATGTCCTCCACATACTGAAAATTGCTGCCTTAATATTGCTGGACAGTTCTAAGATTCTTGCATCTTCCTTATGCAGTTAAGTTCCTGGCAACTTGTGGGACTAACCCCTAATCAAATTTGTCCCTGGACCCAACTATCCCTTACTTAATGTTGTGATCAGGGTTGCAATCAAGAATTTCACCTAACTTGCAATTTGAAACAGGTTTGGAGGTTCGTCAGATTTCAGAGGGGGAACTAATCAATGTTTTGGGGAAACAGACAACCCACACATCTGCACATTACAACCAGTTGCTGCCACAAGGAAAGTTAAAGCAAACATTAAGGTTTATTCCTAAGCTATAGATCTGAGAGGTTTTCATGAAACATGGAGAAGTCTAGCAAGATTCTTAACAAAATAGATTTGCACAACCTTGGGTGTCTGAATAAACGGGTGGAGTCTCAAAGAGAAACAAGTACATTCTTTATTGCTTAAAATAAATCCTGTGAACCGCCCTGCTGGGGTATGGGTGGTATATAAATTTTATAATAATAATATCCAGATGGATTCCTGGTTGCTCCCAGCAATACCTGGATTTTCAGAAGGAAACCTGTGGGCAGCCACAGCTTCTCCTTTTCCACGTGGTGTTAGAGCGACATCGCGCTGTATCACATCCCTATGTTTCTATCTGTCGTACACAATGTCGTACACAATAGTACACAATGCGCCACCTGCCACCCTAGAGCAGGCAGCCTTTTGTGAATTTCCTGTGCCGCAGAATTTCCTCCTTCTCTGTGTTGCCCTTTAAAAGAAGTCCAAACATGCGGCCCTAATCACATTTGCAGGGAGTGAGCCCCGCTGAACACAATGGGACTGGCTTCCAAGGAAGCATGTGGCAGGATGGCGCCGCGCACCTCTTGACAGCCTGGTGGCAATTGGCGGAGGCCTGCGCCCGCGCTGCGCGAGGAAAGAAGCACCTAGCTCCCCTTTCCCTCTATCGCGGATGGCTCCAGCCCGAGGGACGCGCCCCCAATGCCTTTTGCACGGGGCGATGGGGGGCTGGCTGCTCCGGCTTCGGAAAGCCCAGGGCGCCTCCACGATGGACATCCAAGCTCCCTCGGAGCTCTTAGCCGCGCTGCTTCTGTCATTAAGCCCCCGTGGGATCCTATGCTGGAGACACCCGCCCCCCGCTCCCCCCTCCGGCAGGTGCTCAGCCTGGCGGGGGCGGCTGCCCCCTTGCCCCGGAGCCCCGCAGGCGCGCGCCCGGCTCCCCGCGCTCTTTTGTTCTGCTTGGCCCGCCTGGCTCCGCGCCTCTGCAGCCGGGAAGGGGCGCTGCTGCCCCGTCGCGGCCCCAGGGGACGCCCGCCCTCCGCCCGCTCAGCCCTCAGGGCGGCCCACGCGACGTGGGCCCCCCAGGCGACCCCCCCCCGCTCAGCGGACAAAGGGAGTCTTCCGCGCGCGGGCGGAGGGGCCGCGCCTGCTGCTGCTCACCGTGATGCGCGGGATGCTCTTTTTGCCTTGGTGGCCAGACATGCCTCCGGCTGCGGAGAGGGGCGCGCCCGGCGGCGGCACAACAAAGCGCGGCGGCGGCGCCGGCCGAGGAGTCGCCAGGCAGGCGGGCGGGCGGGCAGGAGGGGCGCGGCGGATCGAGGGAGAGGCTCCCCCCCCCCGGGCCTGGGCGAGGACGAGCTCCGCCTAGAGGCGGCTGCGGGGGCTGCAGCTGGCAAGGCCGCTTCCCCACCCAGGAAGCGCTTCCTCGGAGCCGGCCTGCCTCTCGCGCCGGGAAACGCCGCCTCCCGCTCGGCCCCCGGCCGGAGAAAAGGGCCCCGGGAGGGCCTGGCCCAGAGTGGGCGCCGCCATTGTGTCCCAGCCACCCAAGAGTCCGGTCAGGTGCAGGACGGCGCCCGCCCAGAAGCCTCCCGCTGCTCGCTCTGGCTGCAGAGGAAGGAAGCGCCCTTTGGCCGAGAGGGGGAAATGGTCAGGGCACGGGGGCCCCTGAGGCGAACCCCAAAATGGCGCCTCCCCGCCAGGGAAGAAGAGGTGCGCGAAGAGCTTCATCGGGAACAAGCGGGAGAGAGGAAAAAGAAAGATCAACTTCAGGATCTGCCAGATCTGACTTGGGGTGGCCGGCCCTGAAAGGTGGGGAAGAGGCTGGTGCTATTCTTAGCTTCTGTCATCATCTCCCCATATTGTTCTGGGGTGCTTCACATCCCTGCGAAACCAGTTTGACCAGACATTGGACTGGAGGGGAAATCAGAGGCAGATATGCCCCCTTCAACCTCCTCAACTGTCTCTAAGCATCCGAAGGAACAGGACAGCCACCCGCCTTTTCAGCTGGTCCCACCAAAGGAGAGCTAAACAGGCCATCCTCTGTCTGCAAGAGCTTTTAAGCTGCCCTTTTGAGCACACAGAACCAAGTCACTGGAAGGCATGTGCACACAAATAAAATTCGATATAACTATGAGAACCAAGTAAACTGGCGCATGTTTTCTGCAAAACCACATTTCAAATGATGGGCAACAACAATAGGGGAGGAGACCCCCATTACATACATGTAACTAGCATGTATGTGTCATGATGGTTGCAGCTAAACATCAGTTGAGGACTGCTTCTCTATGACTTTCCTAGCAATATGATGCTCACTGATGACAATTTCATATAGGAGGGAGACAAACTCTCTCCCATGCCATTCACTTCTTAAAACACAGTTCTGTGCAGTTTCTAATAGCCAGCTTCAAGACATACAGTATCTGAAAATCAGTACTTTGGCCACAGTATTAACTCAGTTCAGTTTTTCTTCCTCCCATATTTTCATAGCACCAGGTTGGTTATCTTAAATCTAGAACCCTGGTTTTTCTAGGGTTCTAAATCAGGAAAGGGAAAGCATATATGGACCGAGTAGGGTCCTGCTCCTGAAATTATTGCTCCAACTTGTGGAAGGCAACAAGGGCCCAGAGCTAATATGCCCATCCCTGCTTTCCCTTACTACCTGAGGGAAGTGGAATGCCCAAAAAGAATTACGTTCTTCATTATCCTACGCAAAGGATTGTCTCCAGTGCTAGTCCTACTCAGACTAGACCCATTCAAGTTGGTGGACATGATTAATTTAGGTCCATTAATTTCAGTGGATCTGTAATATTGTGAAGAAACAGATCCTGGATATTTAGAGGGTGGATCATGGTGCATGGCAATGGCAGGCAAGTCCAACCAGCCCTGTTTGGTGAGCATGTTATGGAATGTTTGGACTGTTATAAGCTTGGCTAACTGCAGTCACAATGGGTTTCAGTAGGGATAGTGGCAAACATCTTTCCCTTTAATTTCCCACATGCCAAGAACAAATTATGGCCTTGAAAAAGTGATACATTTCTGAAGGATCTGGAAGAATTCCAATAATGACCTTGCTCAAAAGGTTTTGCTACAATTTTACATTATTCCCTTTCTCCAGTGTTCATTGCAATGCACAGCTGAAGACATACAGATGTCGGCAGGTCACAAATCACTAGCAAGTTTTCTTGTACAATAATAAAACAATGCCATTCTTTCAACAGCTTCCATTTCTGATCAAATCCTTGAAAGACACTTGATTTTTCATTTGGGGGAGGAGATAACTGTAAATATCTGGATGCATACGAATGATATTAGGGCATGTGAACTAACCTTCCCAAGTCTTGCATGCTATGACAGCTGAACGCTAGATGTTCTTCCTTAACAAAAAGTTACTAGGCAGCCAATCCAGACGGGTTTCTTGATCAGCTCATTAGTCATTGTCCCCCCCACCCGCTCGCAACCCCCATAACCAAACTTGACTGAGTATTTCGATGCTCCAGTGACTCCAAATAGAAATTAGCTAACTGCTCAGCTTTTCTGAAAGAAAGGTCAAGCAGAGCACAGAGAAGCCATTGCCCATTGATGAGCTCAGAAAAGCTGGAACTGCACAACCAGAACTCCAGATGAAGACTGTCTGACTTTATAGAATTCAAAAATTCTTGAATTTGCAGGGCTTGCAACTGCTTGAGCTACTACCTAAACTGTTAGTCATAGAGGTAAGATACAGTGCTTTAAAAGAGATTGTTCCCCAACACACATGTATGGCAGCCGTGCAGAGATAAGTTGATGTAAGTAATCATGGAAAGGGAAACGGATACTGACACATTTCAGTCACAGGGCATTAATATTCAGAGCATCTGCACACAAGTTCTTAGCACCTGCGTGCACATCTGACTACCCTACGTGAGCAGCCTCCACTGAATAGCTTTCTTCCAGACTTGCAAAGGAAGGGGATTGCTGGCTATCGTTGGCTGTTGGCATCCTATCTTCAGAGATAGGAGACTGCAGCTCCGGGGGTGAAGTCAAGACCCTGCATTAGCAGCCCGGAAACGACCTCCCATTGATGCAAGCCTGGGCAGTGTGCATATGGAGGTCCTGGGCTGTCCAGATGGCAAGACCCCCCTCTAGACCTCTCTGATGTGGTCCATCATTAAGATATGGCTGTTTTGTATTAGTGGGCACTGTGGGTTTTATTGAATTTGCATTTAGAATTGCTTTGACTGTCACTCCCAGACCTTTGGTTATGAGACGACAGCTAGACAGAGCAGCAAATAAAATCAGATTTCAGCGGGGGGGGGGGCACTTTTTGCAGTATATTCCTGACATGCTAGCTAAGGGCCAAGTGACGTTTGATGAGCCAGAGAGAGCGCGATGCCCGCACTTCCCACCGCATTCCTCCCCGAGAGACATCCTTTGCAGCCCCGGAGAAGCCAGCCCGCCGCTCCCCGCTCTCCTCCTCGGGCGCTGGCTTGGCCTGGCTGGCGCTGCCGGGCCTGGTGCGGCTCTCCTCCCCGATTCCGCAGCGAGCCCTGCAGGGGGAGCCGCGACTGGGGCGGGCGGCGCCTGCTGGGCCCGGCGGGGAGCCCCGCCGCGCTTACCTTGCCATTGTGGGCGCCGCGCGGCGGCTCCTTGCCGGCCGGGTAGCGGATCTCGACGCCGGGCGCGCGGGCCTCCCTGTCGCCGCTGGGCGAGCTGACCACCGAGCCCGAGATCTCGCTGACGTCGCTGGCCGTCTCGCTGTAGCTGTCTCCGCCGGCGCCGTCCAGCAGGTCGTGGCGGCTGCCGCTGCGCGGGGTGCGCGAGCCCTTGCGGCCCACGCTGTAGGCGTCGAAGTCGATGGTCTTGTTCTCGTAGGCGCCCTCCACCGAGGCGAACATGCCGCCGTACTTCTGGCGGGGCGTCTGCGCCGTGGTGCCCGGCCGCGCCAGGTAGACCGGCAGGTCGTCCTCCGTGTTCCAGATCCTCTTCCTCTCCGCCATCCTCGCGCCACGGGGCGGGGGCCCTTCGCGCCTTGCCGGGAGGAGAAGCCGCCCGCCCGCCCGCCCGCCCGCCTCCCGAGCGCTCCTCTTCCCCTGCCCGGACCGACCCTCGCCCGCCCGCCCGGAACACGTGAAAGAAAGTACAAAGGACGAGGCGGCGGGGAGGGGGCTGGAGAAGCGGCGCGGGCGAATGGGAAGCGGCGTCGGCGTCAGCAGGGATTGCAGCGCCGCAGCCCGGCCCGGATCGGAGGCGGAAGGTCGCGCGCAGAAGCAGCGCACGCCGCCGAGGGCCGCGCAGCCGGACGCCGGGAGCCCCGAGCCTCGCCTCTCTCCGGGGGAGGGGCTTCCCGGACGCCGAGCGCAAGGCCAGGCCGGCGCGCCTCCCGCCTCCAAGCGGCTGCCGGGCTCCGGGGAACGGCAGGGGCTGCCCCGGGCGGAAGGAGACCGGGGGTGACCGGCAGCCTCGCGGGGAAGGGGCGTCTCGGCCCGGCCCCGCCCCTGCGCGCCCAGGGAGCTGTCCGTTCAGCACCACGGAGCAGCCGGGGAGCGAAGCGCCGGCCGAGAAAGAGCTCTGGGTTGCCCAAAGGCAAGGGCGCGCTTCCGGGGGGGGGGCGCAAAAGTCACGCCTCTGCAGTGGCTGGGAGCCCGCGCTCTCTCGGCATTCCCCAGGTCTCTCCTCCGCTCTTCTGGGTCGCTATTAGAAGGGTTAGCGGAGCGCCCAGTAGGGCCTGGAGGGGAGAAAGACGGAGAGAGGCTGCGAGAGTTGCAGGAGGAAAAGGGGGGGGAAGGAAGGAAGGAGGGAGGGAGGGAGGAGGCAGAAGGGAAAGCAACCAGCGCAGCAAGGAAGGCGGACGGACTGATCTAGGAGAAAGCGGGCAGGCGAGGCCGAGTAGACCCGACGCTGATGGCTGCGGAACCATGGTACCAGGGGCATGGGTGCCATGCAGCGTGCATGGCCTTGGCACCGAAATTTGTGGGTGCCCAGCCCCTTTATGGGGAATGTTGTGGGTGCTCGGGCACCCACGCTGCCGAGGAAGTCACTAGCGGAGAACAAGAAGCAAACTGTTCGAGTTTCTGGTCCATGCTCTCTCGGCTTGGGAGGCACGGATACTGATTCTTGCCAATCTGCTTTCTAAAGGTGACTATTGACACTTCTGCAGCCTGTATTCCGCAGTCAGAGCTAGCTTCGGGTAGGTGGGAATAGCCAATTTTCTTTCAGTTTTGGATAATCATGCAGAAAATGCAGGCATGTGGATGCAACAAATGAGGGGCAAAGGGCTGTCTTCTTCAAATATTAAATTATTAGTATCGATGAAAAATTACTTCATGTCAGCAGAAACCAATGTATGCTTACTCAGAAGTCAACCTCATTATGTTCAGTTGGGCTTAGTTGCCTTCCCAGGGTCTCTATAAAATTAATCTAGGGATTGAATATTAGAGGCAACTTATCTTTGTGGGTATGTATGTGTGGACATTCAAGGCAGCACACAATGACTACTAGGGCAGGATGGCTTGCTTTGAACTATTTCCAACTATATATATTTTACATTTTATTTCTTTCCATTAATCTGTTGGAGATAAATGTGTTGCACATGATCCTTTCCCCCCAAGCATTTTTTTCCTCACAACAATCCTGCGAGGTAGCCTAGACTGTGACACTCTGGTTACAGAACTCTTTCACCAGGAAGGCTTACCTACAGCCATTTTATTATCTTTCACCTTGCCCCCAAATTCTTGCCCTCTAGTACAACCACACCATAATAATAATAATAACAACAACTTATTATTTGTACCCCGCCCATCTGGCTGGGTTTCCCTAGCCACTCTGGGCGGCTTCCAACAAAGATAAAAAATACACTGAAATGTCACATATTAAAAACTTCCCTGAACAGGGCTGCCTTCAGATGTCTTCTGAATGTCAGGTAGTTGTTTATCGCTTTGACATCTGATGGGAGGGCGTTCCACAGGGCGGGCGCCACTACCGAGAAGGCCCTCTGCCTGGTTCCCTGCAACTTGGCCTCTCGCAGTGAGGGAACCGCCAGAAGGCCCTCGGCGCTGGACCTCAGTGTCCGGGCAGAACGATGGGGGAGGAGACGCTCCTTCAGATATACTGGACCATAGGCGGACATACGATCCAATTTCTGAACATCTCCACCAGCACCTTGGGGAAGCATATATTATATTATCTTTTAGGTATTGGATTTGGAAGTGTGCCAATGTTTGAGGAGGCCCTGAACCAGGTGCCTTCAGGGGGCTCCTCTGTCCCTGCCATCCCACTGCTCTCCCTCCCTGCTAGATGGATGGATGGGAGGCAGGCAGGTGAGGGCACAGAGGTTGGCTGGCAGATGCTACACTGGGCTAGCTAGCTCCCCTGAAGTTCCAGTAGCCTGTCATTTCATTTTTTTTAAATTGCTAATCCCAAGGGAAGAGAGGCAAGGAGATCTGCCTATCAGATGCCAGCTCTGCATGGGGCCCTTTGGGTTGAACAGGGTGCCAGATGTCTGGCCCTAACAGTTCCGCTGATTCAGTTAAGGCATTTTCATTTACTCAGGGATTTTAATGATTTGCATTTTATGTATTGGAACAATGCTATACTTTAAAAACACTGGGAATATTACTTATCTGTGTTTCTTAATAGTTGAGCATCATTACTGTTCCTTGTTTTAATTTGCATTGTAAACTGTTCTGGAATAAATACTTTATTTATTGATGTCTGACATTTACCGTATATCCTGCCTCTCCTCCATCATGGAACCCAAGTGCCATACATATGCTTTCCAGGCAGTCACCCATAAAATGGAGAGCTCTACATACTTACCTTTAAAAATAATATTAAAAAATTGCCTACCTGGTATGAAAGTTGTAGACATTGTGCAACAGGGGGATAGCCAGGTACTATTAAGGCAGGACTAGAAGAACCACTGTGCAGGCTTGTATTAGGAACTCTGCCAGGGTGTTATGTATAACTTTGTAAATAAAGTCAACATCATCTGCATGGAGCCTGAATTCAGCAGTCAAGATGCAACAGATAAAACAATAAGGGTCCCCGTCTCCAAGGTTCATGGCTCAGCAGAGATCTGATTCCAAGTTGAAGTCCAGCCTGCATTCACCACGACTCAGTTTTGCCAATTCAGGTAGCAACCAATTGTTGCAAGAAGAAGAAGAGTTTGGACTTGATATCCCGCCTTTCACTCCCCTTAAGGAGTCTCAAAGCGGCTAACAATCTCCTTTCCCTTCCTCCCCCACAACAAACACTCTGTGAGGTGAGTGAGGCTGAGAGACATCAGAAAAGTGTGACTAGGCCAAGGTCACCCAGCAGCTGCATGTGGAGGAGCGGAGACATGAACCTGGTTCACCAGATTACGAGTCCACCACCACTACACCATATAACAACAATACAGTAGTTCAATCATATTGAAGGGTTGGTTTAAAAAATAATAATTATAAAATAATGCTCCAAATCAGCTAAACATTTTTCTTCAGCCTTTAGTCTAAGGTTCTTTACACTCATATACAGTGGTACCTCGGGTTACATACGCTTCAGGTTACATACGCTTCAGGTTATAGACTCCGCTAACCCAGAAATAGTACCTCGGGTTAAGAACTTTGCTCCAGGATGAGAACAGAAATTGTGCTCCGGCGGTGCAGTGGCAGCGGGAGGCCCCATTAGCTAAATATTTAGGTGCTTCAGGTTAAGAACAGTTTCAGGTTAAGAACGGACCTCTGGAACAAATTAAGTACTTAACCCGAGGTACCACTGTATAATGCTTTTGTAACATACCTGCTTCCCAAGTTGCCCAATAATATTTTCTGCAGAGTATAGACTTCTAGATTTTTAAGCAAAAACACACATTTTACTTGTGCTTGTAAGCTGATTCCCAAAGCTGCAATTAAAACTTTTGAGGCTGATATAATAAGCTTTATTCAAGGCTAATTTTTTTTCTTGTGAACAACACTGCCAATGAGTTACTATTTCAGATTACTTCTCACAGCCCTTTTTGTGACAAGAACATATTTCTTGGCAGATTTGTTATTGTACTATATCCACCACTGCATAGATAATTCCATTTTCCATTTTTAATATAAAGTTGTCCAATCCTACTTTTCCCATGTAGGTCATGCTCAATTCAAAGTTTGCAGGTTGTTGGTTTAATAAGTTCATATTAATGACTTCTGTCTTTGGTGGTGGGGGATGGATATTTCAACAAGTTTTTTAAATTAAAAAAATCACTCCCCTCTCCCAACATCACATGAATTTAACCACTTTGAGATCATTTCTGACTTAGCATGATTGTTGCATATTTTCTATATTTCTGGATTGGTATTATGAAAATATTTTTGCATTTGATTCTTTACTCTTTTTTTAGGTTATTGCTTTCCCTTTAGCTAGCTTTGTACTTTTTAATGGCTAAGAAGATTTATCCTGTTCTTTGCAGTTCATCTTTAATTAGAGTTAAATTTATGTGTAACTAATTAAACCCGATACAAAAAGTTATTTGAATTCATCCAAGAAATGCTCCTAATATCCCATATGGCTATCTTTGCACAATCTTTCGTCAAGAAACATTCCCAATATGAGATCATTTTATTTTTTTGCTATTGTAACTTTTCTTAAAGGTGAAGAAAGTGTATCTCTATTACCAATGCTGTAAAAATACATACATCACATTTTCTTCTGTGCCAAACATTGTGTGTCTTCATATTCCAACCCATCCTCATTTTTTTGTTTGACTAGAACTTTTTAAATATACTGTAAATGGTCAATATTGTAAATCCATATAAATGGGGTTATGGCCAGGTTTTTCCCTACCCTGGAAGCATTAAGGTGCTCTATTTAACAGGTTGTGTTTCTTAAAATGTTTCTTTCAGTACTCATTCTTTCATCCTCAGTTTTTCTAGCTCCAAACTACACAACAGCTTAAACTTCAACTGAGCGGTTTTTTCTCTCATTTCATCATAGTAGGAATTTTAGTTGTTAATACTCAACTTCCCCAGTCAAACACTTTCCAGAAACTAAATTTTGTTTCTGAGATCACGATAATCTCTTTGCAAGCATTTCAGTTTTCACAGAACTTCTAAGTTCTTCTTCTTCTAACACAGGAGTTGCCCCGATCCGCCTGGCCATTCTCTCCTCCTGGAGTCGTTTCTCCCTTTCTTGGTAATGTCCAGTCTTTAATTCGTTCCGTTCTTGTAGTAGCTCTCACTCTAGATTGAACCAGCACTGCTTCTTTGCACTGAAAGCTCCAGTGCAGATGTCTTTATGTGAAACGAAGACTGTGCTTTTGAGATCATGCAACTGGGTACAAAAAGGTAGGTGACTAACGATAACACTCACAGAGGTAGACATAGTTCAGACTGCTGTCAATCATGGCCCCTGCATTTTTATTCATTGTTTTGTATATAAATATAATAAATAATAATAAATAATTTACTTGTCTCAAAAGTGCACTAAGTTTCTTAGTGTGTGCTGGCTTATATCAACTTATCAAATAATTCCAGTTTATAGCTATAATTTTATAAAATACCTAGAGGAACCCAAATAGCCCACAGCTTAACATATAAATACAAACAGTTGCAAACTGCATCAAGGAAAAATAAAGAGACTTTGACTTCGAACTGCTTGTACAGTTTTGAAATTTCCACACAAATTCATTGGTTCAATCCAAAGGCCCTTTTATACCCTAAGGAAGAGAGAGAATATAACAGATAGCAAGTAAGTTCATTGTTAGGCACAATTTGAAAAATCTTTTAGGCTTCTTTCTTCTAATATATGTCCAAAGTTGACACAGGAAAAATTTTTCTTAGATATTTAAAAGTAATTAATTGGTAAGATCATCTAATTTAAGAACAAATAGATACAGGAATTGATTCTGCACCTTTTTTTGCAGTACTCCTGAGACAAGCAAGTTGGATTAGACTAGATGAACCTTTGGGGTTCATTCCAACTTTACAATTCTATGATGTTTGAAAGCCAGCTATACAACCAAGAGTGCCACTGCCCGTACGGGCCAGTCTTGACAGACTCTAGGGTTGTGCGCCCATCTCACTTAAGAGGCCGGGGGCCAGCGCTGTCTGGAAACACTTCCGGGTCACGTGGCCAGCGTGACAAAGCTGCACCTGGCGAGCCAGCGCAGCACACGGAAACGCCGTTTACCTTCCCGCCAGTAAGCGGTCCCTATTTATCTACTTGCACCCGGGGGTGCTTTCGAACTGCTAGGTTGGCAGGCGCTGGGACCGAGCAACGGGAGCGCACCCCGCCGCGGGGATTCGAACCGCTGACCTTTTGATCGGCAAGCCCTAGGCGCTGAGGCTTTTACCCACAGCGCCACCCGCGTCCCGCAGAGTGCCACATACTACTGTTCAAAAGCAATTCCTCCTAATGTGCTACTGATCTTTATAAAGGGGGAAAGGCTGGGGACTGATATGTGTCAAAATCCCCAGCAAACTACTTTCCAGTGTGTTGCTAATTAACAGCTACTAGCTATCAAACATGGGACGCGGGTGGCGCCGTGGGTTAAACCACAGAGTCTAGGACTTGCCGATCAAAAGGTCGTGGTTCGAATCCCCATGACAGGGTGAGCTCCCGTTGCTCAGTCCCTGCTCCTGCCAACCTAGCAGTTCAAAAGCACGTCAAAGTGCAAGTAGATAAATAGGTACCACTCCGGCGGGAAGGTAAACGGCGTTTCCGTGCGCTGCTCTGGTTCGCCAGAAGCGGCTTAGTCATGCTGGCCACATGACCTGGAAGCTGTACGCCAGCTCCCTCGGCCAATAAAGAGAGATGAGCGTCGCAACCCCAGAGTCAGCCACGACTGGACCTAATGGCCAGGGGTCCCTTTACCTTAGCTATCAAACACATACTATATAGTACTAATTGTGAGAATTACCTTGTGCAAGCGAAGCCACGACAAACACAGCACTGATTTCTTATCAATGTGGCAGCACACACATTACTTAAGAGGCAAATGCAGATCGGCATGGAGCCGTTAAAAAAATCTGGCACCATGTAGAAAGCTTTTTTGTGTTTGTGTGTTTGTATTTTTAAGAGCTTGTCTCACTCTTGAGCAGGCTAGACTCTTATTATTCAAAATCGTCTGGCTTCCCAGGGTTCCTTCACTTGACTCCTACATCAGACTTTTGCCCCAGCAGAGATTCTTAGCTCACCTGCATGCTGAAGTAAAAGTGACCAGAGCTTGAACAAAGCTAAGCAAGACCCATAGGGGTTAAAAATACGAATCTCCTCTGAAAAGTAATTTTCTCCTATAAAAGAGTTCTCTTTTAAAGGAGTTACAAAGGGATACGTATTATGAACCAATTCAGTTGCATTCTCAAACTCTTAGTACAGAATTTATGAATAGCATTGAAGATCTAGAGTTTGGTCTTTTTCATTTCATATTTCAGCCTTTTATGGACATTCCCAAAAGGAGATCTTTAAAAATTAACAAAATCTAACAACATATTAGCTTTGTAAAAGAAAATAATAATACCAACCATATATCCTTTCGCTGTAGATTCATCAAGACCACAGGATGAATGCTAATGAGAAAAACAGAAAAAGAAACAAAAACTATAAAGTAAGGTCAAAAAGAAAAGAAGAAAAAGAAGGAAAAAAAGATGTAAGATATGCAATATTGATTCAGTGGTATCAAACCTTAGATTGCTAGAACACTATTTTTAAAAATGCAGTGGGCCATACTATACTGCTTTTCATAATTTCCATATGTTTTCATGAATCAGGAGAAATAAATCCATGGATGACAATGTTAGCAATTTCCTAGCAATATTCACATTCCTAAATATGCAATGCTGGCAAATCCCACAGAATGGAACCAGACAAATCTGTCCATTCTAACACTGTAGTCTCTTGGGTGTGCCTTATGTGTGTGTGGGCTAAGACTTGTGTGTTGTTGCACCATCTTGCCCCATACAGAATGGCTTCTTTGTCCCATACAGAAGAGCTGCTTTGAAAAAAGCGTGCAATGCAAGTTATAGTTCTACCTGATCCACCTATTTTATCTATGACAGGATTGTTGATATCGTGGTCCTACTTCTACCACATTACAGGTAACTCGCATCTTATGCTCATTATATTTGCACAATTGCAGCTTTAGATGGACCACCCAAAATAATTACCTGTAAATGAATGTCACACATGTGGGGAAAGGGGGCGGGAGAGTGGGGGGAGGGAAATGGCCAGCAATCTCATCAGCTATTGAGAGAGTGGTTGGGTGTAGTTGGGGAGTCGGTGGAGTGTGGGGAGAGAGTGGAGGAGGTAGCAGGGAGTTTTGGAAGTGGCTGGAGAAAGATTGGAGGAGGCAGGAGAAACTTGTGGAGAAGTTGGTTGGAGAGATTGCAGAATGGCCCCAGAATGCAGGGCCTCAGCATCAGCTACTGAAAAACCAAAGAAGCAGAGAGTGGTTCCCATGCTGGAAGAGAAGGTGGCTGTGCTGGACTGCTTAAGGGCTGGCGTGGGCCTCGTGGCATGCAAATATGGCCAGAATGAATCCAGCATCCATGCCATCAAGGTGGCTGAGAAGGAGATCTGTGGTGCTGTGGCAGCAAGCAAAGGTGATCACCCACATGCCCTAAAAGGGAAGGACAGTTATCTCCCTCCTGTCCTGTGTACTGGCACTCCAACAAAGAGGCCAAGGCGACTAGAGTAACAATTCTGGGCTGGTTCCACAAGTTATTCATTCCAGAGGTGAGATGTTCTCTCAACGAGAAACACCTGGAGTTTAAACCATGGGTAGGCAAACTAAGGCCTGGGGGCCAGATCTGGCCCAACCGCTTTCTAAATCCAGCCCGCGGACAGTCCGGGAATCAGCGTGTTTTTACATGAGTAGAATGTGTGCTTTTATTTCAAATGCATCTCTGGGTTATTTGTGGGGCATAGGAATTCATTCATTCGCTCACCCCCAAGGCACTCCCCTTTGCACACAGCAAAGAAGAGGCTGTCCCTCTCTCCCCTTCTCTCTCATCCAGTCTCTGGATCAAGGTATGATTTGCTGCTTCACCTGCTGATAACACAAAGCTCACCTTCTTCTGAATGATTTGGGAAACCCCAGCCAGATGGGCAGGGTATAAATAATAAAATTATGATTGTTGCTATTAACATGATGGATACTGTTCCGGATCTTAACCTCCTCGACTCCCTCTTGTCCTCATATTATCCACTGAAACATCATCCAGCAAGGGAGAGAAGGAAGATGACAAGTATGTGCAGCATTTTTAAACAGCTTTTTTGAGTTGTTCTGGCTTTACGTGATTTTGTGTATACGTGTGATAGCCAGTAACATAACCCTCCCGTAAGGTGCGAGTTACCGGGACTTAGAAGAATTCTAATGACAACGTGCATTTTTCCAAAATAGATTAAAATCTGAAGCTAAAAAGAAATACCGAGAAGTCCAGAATTTACAGTATTGATTGGGTTGAGAATAAACTACCTTTTCCTCAATTTCTTTGAGCTGCCGCTTCTGAAGTTCAATTTTCTCTTCTAGCTCTCGAATTCTCTGGAATAAACAGGAACATTTTTTTTTCAAGGTAAAAAGGCATTTCCTATTGGTTGTCAAACAATATCCAGCTTTTACACACTCGAGAGCAGGGGCCGCCAACATGGTGCCCCAGATGTGCCTGGGCTCCAGTTCCCATCTGCCCCAGCCAGCAGGGCCAATGGCCAGGGATGATGGGACTTGGGAGCCCTGCAACATTTGGAGGGGGCACCAGGTTGGCTATCCCTAAAATACAGCAACCAACCACCTGAAAAGATTTGAGAACTGCTTCAAAGCTCTGTACTAGAATTCAAAAGATGAACACAAGAACCTTCCAAACCTAACACACTGGACCAAAACTTGACACCTTTTCCTTGTTACTCTTCCACTGAGGTTTGACCAAAGCATAGGCAAAATCACAGCAGAAGCTTTTGAATTCTTAGGGGGGGGAAACATTTCAAAAAAGAAGCCACTCTAGAAACGGTGTAGTCGGTTAGTTCCTGGGTCCCATGGAGGCGAGAGGGAGGAGGAAGCCAGCGCAGACCTGAAGGCTAAGCAGAGCTCCCTATCATTCCCAAATAAAGCTGTTCATGTTTGAGTTTGCCTGAAGTGACCGGAGTCTGTTTCTAAGGATGGCAGCTCAGTGGATTCCTGAAATCAACAGCTTTAGTAGAAGGAAAATTAAATAAAATAGCCAAATAATTTGGGATTATTCCAATCTGCCAAATTCAGAAGGTGATCTCTGCCACAGCTTCTTTCAATGTCCAGTCTCTTAAGCCATTTATATTTTCAACACTAGAGGAGTGGCCTAGATGGTGGTGCAGATTTTAGTGCCTCATAACAGTCTCAGGATGAAATAATAAACCTGAAGAGAGTAAACACCCTGACGTACTTAATGCGAGACCAAGCAGATGAAATTCTGCTCTCACTCGAGCTGAGTCAAGATCATCTGAAGAAATATGACAAAGTGATTGGGAGATTGGAGAGGCATTCCAGCGGGCCATCAGGGAATCAGCTGAGAGGCCATCAACATGGGATAAAACATCCCCCCCCCCCACTCTCTGGAAACCATTTGGATCCATGAAGCGGCAGAGGGGAAGGGTCGCGGAGAAGTCCAGTGTAAAAAGTTGAGCTAGGGGTTCTGCCCACCAATCTATGAATGTCTTAAATAATTCTATTGATAGACCATCTAGCCCTGGTGATTTGTCTGGTTTCAAACTATTAATTATCTCTTTAATTTCCTCCTCTTTCACCCTTGGTCACTCCTTTAGTTTATCTGGTTTGTTATCATTGGTCTCCTTTCCATAAAATTTACTATGTTGATCGTTAAATATGGATATGAAGTACCAAGACCACTTAGATTTTGCAAAAATAGGTCAATGCAATGGGTCAAGGGGAGAGGGTCAAGGGACATCAACAGGGCACCCATGGGGGCAGCAGTGCCCATAAAGCAGATAGAAGCCAGAAGCAAACGGCACAAAGAAGGTTACAACAGAAACTGCCCATGGGAATAGTCTAAAAAGTTAACACTCTGAGTCAAGAGGACAGACGCCTTTAGCACAAAGGGAAGAGACAAAGAAAATAAAATGGCCCAGCTAAAGATTCTGTATGCTATAATTGCAATAAAAAGGGACAATTTGCAAAGGTATGTTTTACAGGTTCAGCAATCCCATTAACTCTATTTACGGTATTTTTTGCTCTATAAGATTCACTTTTTCCCTCCTAAAAAGTAAGGGGGAATGTGTGTGCGTCTTATGGAGCGAATTCAGGCTGCGCAGCTATCCCAGAAGCCAGAACAGCAAGAGGGATTGCTGCTTTCACTGTGCAGCAATCCCTCTTGCTGTTCTGGCTTCTGAGATTCAGAATATTTTTTTTCTTGTTCTCTTCCTCCAAAAACTAGGTGCGTCTTGTGGTCTGGTGCGTCTTATAGAGCGAAAAATACGGTAAATTAAAGTTCAAGAAGAGACTCTTAAAATCTGACTAAAATCTGAGTAGCAACCGTGGAATGTTCAGAACTATTTTGCAGAGTAAAAGCAATAAAATCAAATAAATTATTTATGTGCTGGATGAGCTTGTTGGGACTAAGAGCATGTGAAGACGTGAGGAAAGTTTTATCAACCATAAAGTCAAGGGATCGACTGGAAGTGTGCTGGTCCCAGGGTTTAACAATTGATTGGCTATTCCCTGTCGCGCCCCCCCCCCCCCCCGTTTCTGGGTGATCGAAAAGTGGCAACAACTAACAGATTGTAAGACCCAACTGGCAGCACTGCAAGGCTGCTGTGCAGGTTTGGGTACCGAAGGGGGTGTGAGAGGCTCTCTTGACTGTAGGACAGTAGCTGAAAGTCTGTTTAGAAGGACAGCTTCTATTTGACAAGATCCTATAGAAATAATCCCCAAGAGTTCCATGAAATGGAGCTATAGCAAAGGCCACTGTCTGACAATGAGGAGATCCAATCATCACCACGGAGACAACCAAAGGAGGAAGAACCATAGAAACCTGGTGAGCTGGAGTCTCCACCATCATCCTAATGAACCAGGAGTGGTTGGGAAGTGAGGCCACCACAGCAGATGGACTTGTAAATCTGAAACAGATCCCAAAGGGGGAAGGGATCATACTGGAGCTAAAATGAAAAAGGGCGATGTGTTAATTCCTGTGAAGATGAGTGGAAGGAGAAAGCCAGTGTGTACCTGGAGGCCACAGAGTAAGCAGGGCTCCCTTTCTATTATACTTAAATAAAGGTGTTCATGTTTGAGTTTACCTTCAGTGGTTGGAGTCTGCTTCTAAGCTTCTTGCCTTCATTTTGTTGCATAGCATATCCAAATGTAAGTTCATTACTTTTGGAGCTACAACAGTTTCCCAAAAAGTAGTCCAACCGATTCATATGTGCAGTGCAGTGATATGTGACCTTGACAAGGACCTTCAATGTCACTTTTGAGGGTGGCGTCCACCCACAATTTTACATCCTGTAAAATTGATCTGGCATGGGCACCATTTAGCTCATTGGCACCATTAATTTATTTTGCTGAAGCACTTTCTGGATGTTGTCTGAACTACTATAATATAAAACTGGAGGTTTAGCAAGCAGCTTAGTAGCTCTTGTGACTCATGTAATTCTTATTGGATTTACTTTCATTAACAAATCCATGAAAACAATGTGGTAATTTTAGCACAAGGCAGGTTCAAAAGGACTCTGTAAGCTGCTTATAAACTCAGCTTGAAAACCTTTGAAAGGTTCAGTATGATTTACAAGATATGCCTAAGGAAGAGCTCTTTCAAACAACATCATCCTGCAACTAAACACATGGTCTAGAATACGAAAAGTAAGAATCGCCAGAATGAGAAATATCTTGCAACTCACAACGGTAAGGAATTCCGCTTTCAAAACAGTTGAAGTGGTGCCACTGTTAATGAAAATGCTGAAAGGTGCATCGACAAAAAAGGCACGTTTATTTGTTATATAAATGTTATATAATGAAACTGTGAATTAAGATTAAAGTTAGAAATCAAAGATGTTGAACTGCTAGGTTTTGCAAACTGGCTGTTCGTTCGTCACAGTCCAGAGAGTTGAAAGACTGGCTTCTTTCATACACAGCAACCTTCGCTCTCTCTCTCTCTTCTCTTTCTAGGTCACATTTAGCACAGCTATTGAAACTTTCCTAAGTTTTACCATGAGGGAGGAAGTCGCAGATGTTACTTGCATGTCTGCCCCATCCAAAGAGGGGTCTGTGAGTCTAATTTTTAAAACAAAAGGGATTTATGGATTAGGGAAACGGAGCCCTTTCTCTTTCCCTCCATTACTACACTGTGCTTTGTCAATTGAAACACCTTTCTCCAGGCCCAGCTCTGATACCAGAAGTGACTCAGGCTAGGCAGAAAGCTGCCTAAATGGAAACAATGGCCTGAGGGGACGCCAGGTGGGAAAGGGGGGGCTTTAGCTCCGCTCACCCTTTTGTGGTCACAATTATACTGTCTCTCCTTTGAGACATGAGTTGGAGAAGATATGGGAACAATAAATGTGTCTGTTGTTGCCTCTCATTCAGAGAGAGGAAGGGTGGGAGGAATAAAACCTCCATTAGTGAGTTGCAGTAAAAACGTTCCAAGTTAGTTGTGCAATGTCTGTTGCCTATATTTAGAACGCTCTCTTACCTTGAAGCAAGCAGCCCTCAAACTTCCTGTACTTACTCCAGTTTTAGATACATGCCACAGAGGCTTGATTATGGAATATCATAGCCCTTTTGTATTCCAACAGTGAATAAGGGCAGAAAATAATTTGGCCTTTGTAAGAATGCTGATATATGCAGAATTCATCATGCAAAAGGCTGGACTGGATGAATCCCAAGACGGAATTAAGATTGCTGGAAGAAATATCAACAACCTCAGATACGCAAATGACACAATTTTGATGGCAGAAAGTGAGGAGGAATTAAAGAACCTCTTAATGAGGGTGAAAGAGGAGAGTGCAAAATATGGTCTGAAGCTCAACATCAAAAAAACTAAGATCCTAGCCACTGGTCCCATCACTTCCTGGCAAATAGAAGGGGAAGAAATGGAGGCAGTGAGAGATTTTACTTTCTTGGGCTCCATGATCACTGCCGATGGTGACAGCAGTCACAAAATTAAAAACGCCTGCTTCTTGAGAGAAAAGCGATGACAAACCTAGACAGCATCTTAAAAAGTTGAGACATCACCTTGCCGACAAAGGTCTGTATAGTTAAAGCTCTGGTTTTCTCATTAGTGATGTATGGAAGTGAGAGCTGGGCCATAAAGAAGGCTGATCGCCAAAGAATGGATGCTTTTGAATTATGGTGCTGGAGGGGACTCTTGAGAGTCCCATGGACTGCAAGAAGATCAAACCTATCCACTCTTAAGGAAATCAGCCCTGAGTGCTCACTGGAAGGACAGATCCTGAAGCTGAGGCTCCAATACTTTGGCCACCTCATGAGAAGAGAAGGCTCCCTGGAAAAGACCCTGATGTTGGGAAAGATGGAGGGTGCAAGGAGAAGGGGACGACAGAGGACGAGATGGTTGGACAGTGTTCTCGAAGCTACCAGCATGAGTTTGACCAAACTGCGGGAGGCAGTGGAAGACAGGAGTGCCTGGCGTGCTCTGGTCCAGGGGGTCATGAAGAGTCGGACACGACTAAACGACTCAACAACAAGAAGAATGCTGCCTGTGGCCCCATGAGCTTTTCACTGCAGTGACTTGCAGCCTGAAATCTCCTCCCTCCCTTTTCAGCATGAACCACCTTCCATCCTCCAGTCAATCGTACCTGGTGAAATTTTTGCCATTTATAGCTGTCAGATCACGTGGTAATTACAGACAGATCTTAGCCAATCTCTTCCGCTGGAGAATGGTTAGGTATGTCATTTCACTAATCAGACAGGTACTAATGTGCAGAGCTTTTTCAGACATCGTTTTCAAACTATGGATTGGCTAAAAACACTGCAGAGCGAACACTTCTTGTGTCTTCTCCCTCTGGTTTATCAATACCGCACTACAGCCATTAACACCCAGGACAGATTTGGACTTTGCAGGTTCCGAGAATGGAGCTTTGTGCTTGCACACGGAGCACGTTTTAAACTGGGACATGGGAACCACTTTTCCAGCAATACAGCATGCACAACTTAAAGATCCCCAACTGAAACTGGACTTTTGAGGGAAATGTTAGAACGTGGCAGGGTGAAATAAAAGTGGCAGCATAGTCCCAAAGTGGTGGTAGTCAAAGGAGGGACACGGAAAGTTTTAGGTTACCTGCTGTGCTTGCTGCAGCAATTCCATGCGCTCATGTAGAATCTGGCAGTCAAATTCACGACTTTGCCTCAGTATCTGTCTCCGCACCTTTTCCACGGCAGCGCACAAGTCCTCCCTCTGGGCCTCATTCAGGGATTCGCTCACTCTCTTCCCTGGCTCCTGCTGCAGAGCATTGTAGAGGGTGGCTTCCAGCTCCTGGATTTTCTAATGCAATGCAAATGACATTCAAGAGAGACTCATGTTTGAACACAGGGAGCCACACAAGACAGTAACGAGAGAAAGGCAAGAGAAGCAAAGCTTGCAAGGCATAAGGGCACAATTCAGCAGCAGAGAAGCAGCTCCCACATGAGGTAAACAAGCAGAGAATGTCTTGTGTGAATGCTATTATTCAAATTTATGATGTGTCTGCACTTTGCATACTGTGTACAATTCTGGTTGCCTCACATCAAAAAGGAAATGGTAGAGCTTGAAAAGTTTTAGAAAAAGGCAACCAAAATTATTAATGGGCTGAAAGAACTCTAACAGGAGGAAAGGTTACAACATTTGGGGCTTTTCGCTTAGAAAAAAGGCAAACAGAATGATGGCAGCATGATACAGGCATACAAAATTACAGTGTGTGGAGACACTGGATAGAGAAAAGTGTTTCTTCCTCTCTCATAGTAAGAGAATCCAAGGCTGAAAGTTGGATGGTTCAGAGTCGACAAACACAGTAGTTCTTCACATAGTACTTAGTTGAACTATGGCATTCTCTACCACCAGCTGCAGGAACAGCCACCAACCTAGGTAGCTTTAAAAAGGGGTGACACCGTTTTATGGAGGATGAGGCTATCAAGTCAGGGTGTCTGTGTATTACCTTCATACCTGGGAATCACAAGTGGTTGTGCTGCTGTGCTCAGGTCCTGCTCTGAGAGCCTCCTGTGGGCATCTGGTTGGCTACTGTAAGAACAAGATGTTGGACTACATGGACCTTTGGTCAGAACCCACAGGGATTTTCTTGTATTCTTACCATCACATTCCTTCATAAATGATCACCAAGATCATGGACTAGAAGCCCAATTAGAAGTCCATGAGAAGTTGTGCCTTCCATACTGCATGTCCAACTCTAGGGAATTTGCTCTCATTAGAGACAAGGTAGGTACCATCCCTGCAAAGGGTCAGCCCCAAAGGCAAATGATTTTATTTCAGAAGACCTCTGCACCACAAATGCTCTTCTGATGTTTTATTCTTCAGAGTTTTAATTTATATTTTTATTTTTGCACGTTTTTATTATCCAAGTCCCTTTGAGACCCAAGTGGGGTGAAAAGTAGAATATAATTTTAAATCAATCAACCAATCAATCTTTATTATGATGATCACAGATCAGCCACTAAATTACAATCAAACAAATGCAATTCTACAGTTTTTGGCCAGCAAAAGACTGTTAGGCACTAACACATGGCAAAGAGCTAGGGTAAATCACCACCCAAGCTTTGTAACCTTTCCTTATTGGTGGAATTGCTACACCCCCTTGATCATTTTGGTTGCCTTTTTAAACACTGGGAGCAAATGCTTTGAAAGAAAAACAAAATGCATACTCTGAGCCAGCAAGATAGCAAACCAAATGCTACTGCACGTGCTTCTCTATTTCATCCTGACTCTGACCAGTAAGCTTTGTGCTTCCACTATAGTGTAAAAAGGGAGACCCGCCACCTTTGTATTAATGCTGGGACATTTCTGTAACTGGCTTTACACCCATCCCATTACAGGAGGAAGGACAAATAGAAACTCTAACAAACTTTGAGTTGGGCGACCAATTTACGAGAAATTTGCAAGGTAGGGTTGGTTCGCCCTGCTTTCCAAATACAGTGACCAAGGGTGGGTTTCTTACTCTTTTTTTAACCCTTCCAAAGAAGCTTTGTCAGCTACCATTAGTGACACCTCATGCTGCCCACAGCTGCCCAAATTCCTTGAGCTTTCCCACTCCTGTGACAGACGGCCATGGAAACAATACTGCCCTCAAAACACTTCACCCACAAGGGAGGTAAGTCAACCCACATCTCTCTCTCCCTCTCCCTCTCCCTCTCCCTCTCTCTCTCTCTCTCTCACACACACACACACACACACACACTCCTATATATTTTTCTCACAAAAGAAAGGAGAATTCACTGTCCATTTTCACGGGGGAAGAATGGTCCTGAGAAAATGGAAACGCAGTTTTGTCCAGCGCTAGGGTCCACCGGCTGGTTCAAGTGAAATTCTTCCTGTTGCAATTCCCTACCATAGGCTAGCCTTTTTTGTGATATCGTAAACACATATTGGTCAACACTGTATACAGAGAGGATTCTCTGAAACCAGGGTTCTTGTTGCACTCAGGATCCGAATTGTATGAGTGGAACCTGCCACCAGGCCCATGCAGAGCTTGTCTGAGGCCGGAGTGGCGTCTTATTAGAATAAAGTTAAAGCTCAAACAAAAAAGCAGCCTGGTGCCCCCATTTTTAAGTGAAAACTGATCAGTCTCTGCCTCTTCTGTCTACCTGTTTGGCAGTTGAAACTGAGAGAGCAAAGTTGCCTGGCAGTTTGTAAGAATTTCTAGAAAAGCATTACCCTCATACTTGCAAAGCCTAGAAATAAACTTGATTTCTGTAGGACTAGAATCAATGTGACTAGCTTGAGCTGAACTCCAGCAATCATAGTTTTAAAGAATGGAGGTAACAACTCCCAGAACTGCCATTGCAAGAACACGAGAACAAGAAATTTCAAACCTCTGCCACAAGCGGTGTAAGTATTGCAATCCGTTTAAACTTTGCATATGCTACTTAAAGCACCTTAAAAAACAGTTCTGACCCTTTTTATCTATCTCAACTAGGCAGTATCTAGGTCCTTCATTTAGCAGAACAGACAGCATACATGTACACATATGAATTTTACTTTCAGCAAACACACAGATTTCCTACCATATAAGCCTGGTCCAGGGCTTGTTTCCTGTAGTCAAGTTCTTCCTCTAAATAACCCTTCTGTTTACTGAACAGGTCCTGAGTAATAATAATAATAATAATAATCAGCTTGACTCAAAATGTCACAAGCCTTGGCAGATCAGGTACCCATAGCTAGCTGGTCCACAAAGGCCAAAAAGAGAGCGAGATCACATGCGCCAAGGAGCAGTTAGACAACAGTGCTGGGTATAGAACTCTCAGCTCAGCACTAAGAAAAGACAAAGATTTTCCTATTTGTTTCTAAACTCGGTGTCTGCTGTGCAGACATTCACCCTGTGCAGGAAGAAGGGGCCACTTTACCATCTGCAGAGGCCAACCAACTCTGCAGGAAAATTGTGGAAGGGTTTCATACAACCCCCACACCCCCAAAACTGCCCCACCTAAGGGTGACACAGGTATGCTTTCTTAATGGTGGTCAGTTAGATCCTGGGTATGGGTGCAAGCTCTGAGTGAGTGAGTGAGTGAGTGAGTGAGTAGGCATTGGCCCTGCTTCATTCAGCTACAGCTTTCTTCTTCCAGGCCTTTCCCACGCTTACCTTTTGCTCTGTGCTTCAATGATCTGTGTCCAAGCACTTTTTTTTTTGCCCTGCTGCTTTCCCCAGGAAAACTTGCTCTTTAATGCTGAAGTGGAACAAATGGCAATTCAGATTTTCTGTGGACTGCTGTTTGTTTTGATTCAGCAGTAAAGAGCGGGTTTTCACTTGTACCTTGTACCAAGGAGTCTGCAAGCAGAATAGAACAGAGGCCTTAGCTTGTTTTCCATTCCATAGTGAAGCCGTTCCACGGCTCTAAAGGAGGTTTCCACAAAGGCACCTCAGAGAGCAAATGTGGGGCATTACTAAGGGTGGTCATGTAGGAGCCTGCTCTGCTTTGGAATCTCAAGAGATATGATCAACTAATATCCATACTAAATTCAAGTGATTTGTACTTTGTAGACTACTCACAGGCAACTGTGGAAAGAGTAGCCAAGAGGTCTCGGAAGGAGAGAAGGGAAACTCTGATCCTAACCTCCGGTGCCTTGTGGGACATCTTCGGGAGAAGAAAAGGTTAAGGAGTAAGCCCTAGACAAATCCAGAGTGGAATCTCTAAGGCGGTTGGGTGGCACCTTGTATGCCTCTTTCCGGCAACTCCTGCAGCCAAGCTGGTGCCAAACATATTGCTCTTGCTTTCCTTTGGACCACATCAGGGAGGCCAAGGTCTGGGCAGCCCAGAACCTCCATACACACTGTCCAGGCTTGCACCCCAGGGAGCTCACTTCAGTGCTGCTAACACAGCAGCTTGACTTCTCCCCCAGAGGCATCCTCCATGATCTCTCAAGACAGGATGCCTACAACAACAACAAAAATTGGAGGGCAGGGGAGAGGAACTCTGCAATGACATGATAAGGAATTGCCCAACCTTGGAATGAGAAAGTAGAGAAAGCAATGAGAATGATCAGTACAGTGGTACCTCGGATTACATATGCTTCAGGTTACAGACTCCGCTAACCCAGAAATAGTACCTTGGGTTAAGAGCTTTGCTTCAGGATGAGAAGAGAAATCGCACGGCAGCAGCAGGAGGCCCCATTAGCTAAAGTGGTGCTTCAGGTTAAGAACAGTTTCAGGTTAAGAACGGACCTCCGGAACAAATTAAGTATGTAACCAGAGGCACCACTGTACTGCCAAAGCCACATGGGAGTGCTGAATTTAGGATATAGGGCCTGCTCCTGCACCTGTTAATAGCATTAACATTGTCAGCATTGAAATTGTCAGAATCAACTTGCTGAAAAACAGTAAGAGTTGGCACAATGCAAATCCAGTTCTTTGGTTTGGACCAAAAAATGTTCAAGGAACCCAGGCGGGTGAGTGACCGGGGAGCGAAAGAACTGCAACCGGGCCCAAACGCCCCTTAATATCCTCAGAAGTCAGTCTCTAAAAAACAAACAAAACCTCCTTTCTTCACTTAGTTCTGAAACACAATGCTGAATGAAACAGAAGGTGTGTGCAGGTGCCTTTGTAGGGGAAAGACTTTATTCACTTACAGAGCCATGCCTTTAGTTTCTGGGCCAATTTAATGCATTTGCCAACTACAAAGCCATGCTCAAGGGAAAATAATGTCCATGCACAATGCCAGTCATGCAGTCATTTATATCAAGCGGGGGGGGGGACCCCAACGCAACATGCACCCGTGTTCCTGTTATTTGCCCAAGCTAAAAGTCTATGAAGTAATACTTCTCTTACCTTTTCATTTTCCAGGTCAATCATCTTCTGCGTGAGGGCAGCTTCAGTTTCCTCTATTTGCTTTAGCCACTATATAAAAATGACGGGGGCAAAATAAAACAGCAGTTTGAGACAGAGCTTATGCCAAACATTCGGTAAGTAAAGTGCTTTACCTTAAATTCCATTATTTTCTCAATTTTGTACAAAACTATTGATTTGGACACCTGGAAAACGGTGACTAATTATAATGAGGGAGCATTGGCTATATTCAAATATTGCTCATTCTTCCCAAATTGGGAAAATGTATGTTTTCCAACAAAGCTACCAGTACAATGAGTTTGGGGGACATAACATTGTATGTACTTCATATCTGCTAAAAATCTAAAAGGTTACAAAGCCCTAGGATGAAATAGCAGCACAATGTCAACTCAGGAAAGACCCAGGAGAGGCCTAAGCCTTGGCAACAACCATCTGAAATCATGTTTTCGTAATAATATTTTCCCCAAACAGTTTTAGAAGGTGTCTCATGGGGGAAAGGCAGTTTCCAAGAACACTTGAATTTTCATTTGCATTGTAACTGTGTTGGCCCTTATAGAGCTCCTTAGAGGCCTAACTGTGGTGTATGCAGTATCTGGACTAAATGGAAGTCAGAATGGCAAATTATGTATCTTTGTGTTTTGAGTTTTATGTAATGCACAGTTGGCAGTATAAATCTGCTTAATCTTCATGATTATTGAATATTCCATGCGTCCCCAGAGTGGAAACATTAGTCCTGTAGTCTACCCCAACAAAGTTACAATTTCCAGCACCCTTAACAAACTACAATTCCCAGGATTCCTGGGGGAAAGTCACGTGGTTTAAAAGTATGGTGGGGCTAGATCTGAACAGTGCCTATAAGACATTCGCTGGTTTTGGAAACTCTTGCCCTATTTCAGATAGCCCTGGTGGTGGTGAAGGCAAAATCTTCTGCACATGGCCAGATGCCCTCACACTTTTTTCTTTTTCTTTTTAAACTACATAATAGTTCCAGGGCTGAAGATGAAAAACAAGTTCTTTTGCTAATTTTTGGTGCCCTCTGGTTGTGATGAAACCTTGTAATATGCAAATCCTCTTTTATTTAGGAAAGCTTTCAGCTGGTGGATCAGAGAAAAAGGTGCATATAGCAGGATTTCTCTGGACTGGGCTGTCCAGTTGCCCTCATGCTAGCAAATGCAATAGCAAAAAGTAAGGAACTGTTTCAGAAAGTACAATAGACCTACAATGCCTTGACCTGTGGCCAGTTAAAGGGAATTGCTTCAATGACAAATTTAATAAGTGCCATGGGAACCATTTCCTTTCGCTGGCAGCAAATCTGTGCAGACTAGAGATTTTACACTTGTTGAATGTTACATGTGAAAACTGTGCAGGGGGTACAGCTCCGGACCCTCCAAGTAGCCCTATTTTCCAGGGAATCACAAAAGCCACCCCAGTGATGGGATGTGAGAGTGATAAATGACCCTATTTTCACCTGAGGAATGTTGGACAGGGTGCCTTGCAACTGTTGTGTACCCAAGTACACAATGACTGTACACTCATTGAGTGGTACATACCCTTACTGACAATCCTTAAAGTAGCTGTAAAATGATTTTGTTCATCTCACTACTATTAACATTAACTTTTCTTCTGAGGTACAGTCCTCACTAAAATAAAATACCCCACTAGTCACATACTAATTATTGGGTCAGATGCACACACCACCCGTTGTGGTCACACAGACAACTCAGTCAGTGAGGACATATTAAGTTCCACTAGGAATTTAGCTTGCTGTTCTTATACAGAAAGTGTTTTTTAAAAAAGGCTTGTACATTCAAGACTTTTATGAGCAGAGCTACAGATTTAAACAGAATTGTGCAGAGAGCACTGCTTTTGTGCGACGGATGAAATTCATGTCTAAGAGAAGCAATTCTTCACAGAACTCTACCTTTTCACAGAGAGAAAGTACAGTCCCCGCCTGAATTATCGCAACCTGTTCTTCATTCCTCAAATTCTAAAACACAAGAAGTTCAGTGTATTTTACATTGTAGCAGAAATCCATCAAATTAAAATAAGCAGAGTACATGCTGCAGCAAGCATTACTGAGCACACCAACTTCCCTTTCGTTTAAAAAGTTTGGCAAAGGCAAATTGCCAGAAACTGCCAGGAATTGCAACAACCTTAGGAGTATACTGTAAAGTTGCAAATCATTTCTTTTCAGTAGGATCATGTAGGCTGCAATCCTATACGTACTTACCTGGGAGTAAATCCCATTTAACCCAATAGGGCTTACTTCTGAGTAGATATGCATAGGATTGTGCTGCATATGAGCAAAGTGAACTCAGGATTGGGTTGCTAGGCCCCTTGAGAGCTTGACTCTGAGAACTGGGCCTAAGGGAGATCAGGCAGTATCCTGCAGCTCAGAGTGGCAGATGTCAGCAGAGGACAGCATCTACTTATGCCCTAAAGGTAAAGGTAAAGAACCCCTGACAGTTAAGTCCAGTCGCGAACGACTCTGGGGTTGCGGTGCTCATCTCACTTTACTGGCCGAGGGAGCTGGCATTTGTCTGCAGTTTTTTCCGGGTCATGTGGCCAGCATGACTAAGCCGCTTCCGGCGAAACCAGAGCAGGGCACGGAAATGCCATTTACCTTCCTGCCGGAGCGGTACCTATTTATCTACTTGCAGTTTGATGTGCTTTCAAACTGCTAGGTTGGCAGGAGCTGGGACTGAGTAACGGGAGCTAAACCTTTCGCGGGGATTCAAACTGCTGACCTTCCAATCAGCAAGCCTTAGGCTAAGTGGTTTATACCACAGCGCCACTCGTGTCCCTACTTATGGCCTAGTTGTCAGTATTGAAGAGGTAACAAATGGCAAACTCGCTCAAGCCAAGCAGGACGTCTGCTCCCTTGATTCTGGCCCCTCACCCTGACAAAGAAAAAGAAGCCCCAAAATGGGTATATTTTTGCAAGCCTTAAAGAACACACAAAAGTCCCCCAGGTTTTGTGAGTACTCGAAGGGAATGCTCACAATCAATCAAACTGAAAAGCTGCTCCTGGAAAAAACTGTTATTGGGTTATTTGGGGCAATGCCCACCTCCTGATGGAGTATGAGGGGTCTCTGCAGTGGACAGACTAGGGCTTTTGCCCTCCAGCAGTTGCTTTCTGAAGTTCTGCTTTTCAAATAATCCCTTAATTTTCCATCAAAATTGTGGCACAGGATGTCCCAGGGCTGTGGCATGGAAGCAGCACTGAGGCTGGCAGGCTGTTCAAGATACGCTGTGCCAAACGCTGTGCCCCACATAATTGATTACAAGATTTGGCACCTACCCACCATTTGAATGGCAATGCCCATCAACTGGGGGGGGGGTGGCCCCCTCAAATATTTTATTGGGTGGGCCGAAGGGACCTCAGCCCCTAGGAGGTGGCTTCTATGACCTGAGCTGTTATCTTGCAGGTATCTCACTCTTGCATTCTGGCAGATCAGCACAAGCCAGTGCCCTTCTGGTGATAGGAGCTGCACAATGATAAAGTAAACGGCCTTTCTTAATGGAAAGGGGATGAGCTGCTTCAAATACTGAGCTATATGAGAGAGAATTGACTAGAGGGCTGCCACTTAATTTATTAGATAAGGCTTCCTCAACCTGGGCCCTCCAGATGTTTTTGGCCTACAACTCCCATGATCCCTAGCTAGCAGGACCAGTGGTCAAGGATGATGGGAATTGTAGTCTCAAAACATCTGGAGGGCCGAGGTTGAGGAAGCCTGGGTTAGATGCATACTATCAGTTCAATTTGCACACGTTTTTCAAGAACACAACGGATCTCAACCTACAGTTGGTGAGCCCTCTGCATCAATTCTACAGTACCCCTGTTCCAAAATTTTAGCTGTCTGACATTAAAACAACTTGAAGAAAATCCCAACAGATATACTTAAAACCAAAATAACTGAAGCAAAACAAGAACAAAGAATGGGTGGGGTGTTTTATATGTTTTCATGATCCCAATGGCTTAATATTAATAACTTCATCTTGATATAGTATTTCCAGTTATATATCTGGAATGTATTTGAAACATAATCAAGCACTTTAAATTCGCATTTTAAAATTCAAGCTGTCATGACAGAAGACCCAGTGAGTCGGGGTGGGGGAATGCATAAGACCACAGCGTAAGACAGAGGCATGTGCTGCCCACCCTCCATCGCGGCACCCCTGGTGGCATGCTATTACAGATAGTGTCCCTTTCACAAATATGCAATTGGAACTACTTAAATAAATACATTAGCTACCCCATTATCACCAAGGATATCTAGCTTCTTCATAAGTTCAGAAATATTCACATCCTGGAAAAGAAATTTCAACATTTATCTTTTAATCAAGAATTAAATCATGTATTTGTGTTAGTTTTTAACTGTTACAAATTCTTTCACATTAACTAGGCTGGAGAAACAACACCATGGAAGACATTCTGACTCCAGCAATTGCAAAACTGCCATCATCTTTTTTTAAAAAAAGGGAGAACCCGATTTCCTCTCAATCACAGGAAATTTAGGTAAGAACAGTTATCAAAGTTAATAATGAAACAGTACAATGCCAGAAATACTACTGATTATATCATATATTCTGTTGCTATTTACTCATTTGATTAGACACTGAAAATAATACTGAACTGAAATAGGTCGTTTCACACCACATCATACCGCTACTAGCAACACTGAACAGCATTAAAGGTTTTGCCTAAAAATATCAGGTTTAATGGACTAGGCAACATTACACCCATTTTCTATTCATAGTCAAAGAAAGAATGCTTCGTGTAAAACAAAATTAGTGGTAATAAGATGAGATGAGAATAATAAGGTTGGGAATTCATACGAAGTGTGCAGGAAGATGTGGAAACCATCTTGAGGTCTTAGGTGGAATTTCCACAGGGTCGTGGAGACTGATCTTTCCATATAATTATGCATAAGGGTAGGAACAGCATAGGTTTACAAGGTAAAACTGGATGTCATGGTGGCAGCTATGTTTGTTTAAATGGTGTGTCCCCCCCACACACATAGAAAGCAGAGGGTATCCATCCAATTTTAATTTCAAAGGTGGAATGCAGATGAGGAAAGCTGAACCTGCTCCCCTGGGCCATCTTACCTCCTCCCTGGCCCATCACCAAAGCCACTTTCCCCTTAATACAGCTCTGATTCTAGAGGTAAGCAGAGCTCTGGCTGGAGAAGAGGCCCTTCCTCACATCTATGCATCCCCTTTGATGTTTAGACCCCACTTTCTGCTTTGTGAAAACTAACAGGAAAGAGATTTGACCACACAAATGCCACTGCTGCCATTGCATCAAGTCTGGTGGCCCACAGACCACCTTGAAAGATGCTGCACAAGAACCAACAAATTTCCATCTACCTTTATTCCCTCGTGACGACAAAACAGTTGAAGTGCACTTCCATTGTTTTCAGGGAATGCAGTTATATGGAGGTTAAAAGCTGGCGACCTTCGTTCTCTCTCCTAAGGGAAGATTTTGTTCAAAATAGAATAGGTGTTTATAAAAGATACCAAACTTCTATTCTACAAATAATTCAAGTCAAGTTAAATGAACAAATACTGGATTTTGCGTACGAAAAATATACCAAAATGCATCGCAAGGTCAGTCCTTCCCTGATATGCAATGTAAGATTCTTTACTGTTATAAGAACACAAACCTCTTTCAATAAATAAAAAAAATTGCCCAGTAGCACCTTAGAGACCAACTAAGTTTGCTCTGGGTATAAGCTTTCGTGTGCATGCACACTTCTTCAGATACACTGAAACAGAAGGTGACTTCAAACTCCGCAAGGAAGGGTGTTTGAAAAAGGGGTGAGGGGCTGCCAGCTCTGCAGGCAAGGGGTGACCTAACTGGGCTCCTGAGCCCCACAGGGGTGCCACAGAAAGAATGGAGTTGGTCAAGGGAGCCATGGACTCAAAAAGGTTGAAAACCTCTGTGTAGCGATCACACAGGGTCCCCGGACGTTTCACCGTCTATTGATCCCTGCGCCACCACTTTATTTCTTGCTGCCACCACCCAGGCCCTACCTAGTACAATACTGAGTCCAGTGAGGGTTAAATTGGAACATAAGCTTCTGTTTATTTATTGCAGTTTAACAAGTGTGTGGTTTCATAAACGGTATCGGTCAATTACAATCATGGGGTGCCTATCCAGACCTATAACTTCTGCTACCTGCTCTCACTCACTAAACCACCTCTCAGATATTTACTTGTCTTCCTAGCTCCTAACTGTTCCTGACTCAGCTTATTTCTCTACACTAACTCAACCTACCCACAGACTCTCTCCCAATTCACTCCCACTCCAACCAACCACCCAACTCCCAACGAACTCTCCCTTCGCCCCTCCCAGAGCTGGTTTTATAGTCCCTCTGACTCCACCCCCTGGGTTCTGATTGCGTAACATGTTTAACTATTTCACCTCCAGCACTCTCATATGTTAACGTCACACTCTGCTTTACACTTTCCTTTGCCTGCAACTTTGTGATAAAGGAAATGCAAGTGTTGATTGAGGAGTGGGGGTGGGGGTGGAGGGGTAGAGGGTGAGACATGCAAACTTGGTTAACTGGTGCTGCTCACAAAGCAGCCAACAAGGTTGTAGGGTTGTTGTTTTTTTAACAGTCCAGCTTCTGAGTTGACACAGGTCAGTAATGCTCAGATTGGATCCAATATCCACCCAGTTAAGAGAGACCGTGCATTTAACTGAAGCTCAGGCATTCGTTTCGGCTTGCAGTGAGTGATTCTTAGAGAAGCAGACTTGAGAGACCCACCCCCAATCTCCCCATGCAGAAATGCAACCAGAAAATAATGGCCCAAATAGATTTTCCATATTGCTTAGTATGCAGCAGAAACAGCTTGAGCAGTGAGACTTCAAATTACAGCAGCAGCACCCGTGCAAATTCACCACCATCCTTATCATCCCCATAGGAGTCCTGTTACATCTTCCTTATGTACTGTATGTGTTTGCATGCAATTAAAAAGATAAAGCTGTCATGGCACTGTAGTGCTGCATCACAATCCCGAATTTGCATGGAGTTGGGGGAGGTTGGGGGAGGCAGGCTGCACCAGGGCCCTGATCACGGTATGGGAGCAAGAACATTGGAAAGAGGGGGGGGGAGTGGTGGTTTAAAGCAAGGTTTGAGCACAGCATGGATGTAGAAACCCGAGAGGGAAATGGCAGTTTTAAACAACTGCAGAGGTTTGAATAACATACTATGGAATATTTGAGAGCTTTGTGCCCTTTCTCTCTCATGAGGCAGTTGAGGAATGGAAGAGGGAGCGAAGCGGCTGCTTTAAACAATAGCAAAAGTTTGACTAGAGTGGGGGTGGAGGAACGGAGAAAATAATAGCAGTTTTAAACAACAGCAGAGGTTTGGCTGGAGATAAAATGAGAGAAAAAGCAGCAATTTTAAACAATGGCACAGTAGGGCGACGCCCAGATGCATTTGATGACACTTCAATTCATTCAAGTATCCCAAAGCAGTGGGAATTTAGTTTTGCTTTAAAAATAAGAACTATCTTGTAGAGGCAAACACTGCTCATGTTGCAGCAAAGTATTAAGTTAACTTGTGGAGCTTTCCAACAATTAGAGCACAAACTATCTTTCATAACTTTTTTTAATCACGATCCCCAGTCCAAGCACTTCTGTGTGACACTCTGAGCCAGACAATGACACCACCAAAGTGTTGCGGAGGAATCGAGGGACCAGTATATACACAACTGTGATTTATGGCTCTAGTAAATCACCTTTCAACTGACTGCATGGTAACAAAAAAGTACTCAAATGGCATTATGTTGTGACTGCTTAACCACAGGGACCAGTTTGAATGAGGTTCGTATGAATCACTCTTGTTAAAATATAAGTATCAACTTTTGGGTTTTGATTTGGTTTTTCAAAAGCATCTAGGTCTCATAGATGAAAACAAATGGTATGATTGCAGCATATGCCCCAATTACACAGCAGTTTTGAAGGCTCCTCCGGACAACCTATTTACTGGACGTTCATCCTGATTTGCTTGCAGAAAACATGTGGCGGTTAGACTACGTCCGATTTTCATTCTGAATTGTTTGTACATCCACCCAGTGATTATTTGCTCACCCCACATGTTTCAATGCCTATCTATCACTTTCCTAAAGCCTGCTTCTTTCTGAAGTGGATTTATTGCACTAGATGACAGAGCACTCTGAACAACTTCAGGTGCTCAAATGCATAATTTACATTATGCATTTGAATCCCTCCCACAAATATATCCAGTAATACGCAGAACAAAAGCATTTCCAAAGTGAGGCTGAGGTGGAATGAGGCGGAATGAAGATTGTGCATGCCAAGAGTTCTGAGATATTCAGTAGATGAAATTACAAATAGCCTAATGAACATGATTTTTGTTAACGATCTTTTAGTTAGGTTTATGTACTGCACATGGATATGAAAATGCAACAGTCTTACCCCTCCCGTTACAACGGAGCATATTTTTAAAACAAAAAAAAATGTAACAACAATATCATCCACTCCTTTAACACAATGGAACCAGACTGAATGAATTAATGTGCTAAGAAAATGCAAATTCTTCAGGTAACGATATTTTTTTCTATTTAAGATTCTTTTATTTTAAACTGCATCGTTACTTCATTAACAGATTTATGTAAATAATTTTTTCCCCATAAAATAAGAGAAGTTCTGTAGAAATTTCCCTTTTAAAACTGACAAAGTAAACTTAAAGGAAAAAAATATTAAGATGAAGGATGTGTCACAGCCTAAGGTTTGATTTCATGCAGAATGCACAGAGGTGTGTTAATTAAAATAATGCCAGCTGGGAGTTGGTAGTATGTGTATCAGATGATGTCACATGCAAGAAAGGAGCAGTCATGGAAATGAAACAAACAAAAAGACAGAAGCACAGAAAAAAATTTATTGGCCAGAACAAACTATATGTAATATACATATTGTCTATGTTACAGTTTTGCAAAATTAGTGAGCATGCTCTCCAAAACTACATTAAGGCAGAGGCATTATATTCATTGCCCCGACATCGCGGCAGATTTCAGAAAATCCAGTTAGTTTTCCCTTACACATGCAATGGATGCTAATGGATGTCATACGTATTTCAGCTTGGGTTCAATGACATGTTCTGCTCCATTTGTGAGTCTACAGCTCAGAGAATCTCTTACTTCCAGTTCAAGGATTCGGAACTCCAGCAGCTCATTCTGGTCTTTGGCATCCTGCATCTCATTCTTCAGCAGATCTTCTTCTTGTTCTATCTTGTAGATCTAAGAGAAAGGTATCATGCGGCTATGAGCCAAGGGAGAAGTAGAATACATCCTTGCAAACATCTTTATAGCATGCAAAAGAAATGAAAGCCACTGGGGGGAAAGCCTCTTAATGAAACGCAAGAGTGAATTCTATCATAAAGGTAAAGGGACCCCTGACCATTAGGTCCAGTTGTGACCGACTCTGAGGTGGTGGCGCTCATCTCGCTTTACTGGCCGAAGGAACTTCCGGGTCATGTGGCCAGCATGACTAAGCCGCTTCTGGCGAACCAGAGCAGCGCATGGAAATGCCGTTTACCTTCCCGCCGGAACGGTACCTATTTATCTACTTGCACTTTGATGTGCTTTCGAACTGCTAGGTTGGCGGGAGCAGGGACCGAGCAATGCGAGCTCACCCCGTTGCGGGGATTCGAATCGCCGACCTTCTGATTGGCAAGTCCTAGGCTCTGTGGTTTAACCCACAGCGCCACCCGCGTCCCGAATTCTATCATACGCAGTTCTAAAAAGTCACTAGTGTGGGCTTGCAAATTTGGATCTTCCAGATGCCGGCCCCACTTAGGCTGAGCAAGACAATAGCTCTTTAGAGAAATGAACACCTTGTGACAGGAGGATTCCATGCTAGTTCAGGAGCACTTGGCAAATAGATTCACAGAATGGTTAGAGTTCATCTAGTCCAACCTCATGCAATGCAGGGATCTCAACTAAAGCATCCCTGACAGCTGGCCATCCAACCTCTGATCAAAAACCTCCAAGGAAAAGTATTCTCAGTTTCACCACCTTGCGAGGGAGTCTGTTCCCCTGCCAAACAGCTCTTACTCCCAGAAAGTTCTTCCTGACATTTAGTTGGGAAAACATGGGTCATTGTGGTCATGGATTCTGCAGTCACTAAACATGTTGAAATAAAAACTACTGGAGGTAAGGCTCTCCATAAAGGTCAAATTTGGTGCAAAACACATGCTGATTCCTTTCACCACAGAATGTACCAACAATAGCAGGGGTCAGCAAACTTACTGTGCCTTGGGCCAGTGTCTCCAGCGCCAGTCGCGCGGCAGGGCGGGGAAGCGCGTGCCCATATGCGTGCGCACATGCTATTTCCGGCGCACTTCCGGGTCGGAGGAGCACCAGAAATAGCTTGTGCGCATGTGCACAGAGCTCCTCCGACCCGGATGTGCACCGGAAATAACATTTGCACATGTGCACCAGCTATTCCTGGTGCTCCTCCAACCCGGAAGTGGGCAGCCGCGCAGTGCAGCGCTGGTAACAGCGGGCAGAGGGGGTCACCATGGGCCGGATAAGCGAGTCCCTCGGGCCTTATCTGGCCCGCGGGCCTTAGTTTGGGGATCCCGAACAATAGTCATTAGGGGCTTGTTTCGTCTCTAGGCACATTTCAATACCCTCATGTGCAGATGGAGGCAGCCACCTCCCCCCCCAGCACAATTCCACAGGGAGGGGGTGCACATTACAATGGAACGGCCACTTCCTGGAAGCCCCTTTAAAGGTATTTGTTTATCATGTTTAAAGCAGCTGAAAATGTTAAAAATGCTAAAAGGAATAAAGAGGCAGTCTTAGGACAACCTTGTAAGCCTTTCTGTAAAATGTGTGCATTTTAAAGATTTTTGCTCCTTAAAAAAGTCAGCCCATGAATGCAGCAAGATTTGTTTTAGAATCGGAATGGGATCCAGGAAACTTCAGGATGATGAGCTTAACATCAGTCCTGGGTAAATTGGTGGAAAGCGTGCTTAAAAATAAAATTATAAAGAATATAGAAGAACAAGGCCAAAGTGGTATTTGCAAAGGTAAGTCCTGTCTCAGTAAAGTTTTAGAGTTCTTCAAGGGTGATCAAGTGGATATTCCATATTTGTACTTTCAAAAAGCTTTTGACAAAGTCCCTCACCAAAGATTCCCAAGTAAACTTAGCAGTTATGAGATAAGAGCAAAGGTCATCTTATGGATGAGGTATTTGGAAGCAGGTATTGGGACTAATCGGACAGTTCTTACAACGTTCTTACAATGGTAGGATGCAGGAAGTGAAGTTCCTGAGGATCTGTATTGGGACGGATGCTTTTAATTCACAAATAGTCTGCAGTTAGGAGTGAGCCATTAAAAAGCACGTGGTTGGAATAGAGGAAACTAGTTAATGGTCAGGATGGGTATATGCAAACTCTATGGTGAGAAACAGTAAGTCACTGAATATGAGCTGCCAAGTGATCTACCAGAGAGGGCTATTGTCTTCATATCCTGTTTGCCTACTTCCAACAAGAACTGAACCTGATCAGGAGAGCTTTAAAACAAATCCTGAGCAGGAGGGAGACAATACTAGAGACAACAGGGGGACACCTGGTACTGGGGATAACTGCTTCACTGATGCACAGGAAACTTGAGACGGTACTCCAAAAACCTGCTAAAGGACTAGAAACTATAAGACGGAAGCATCTGTAGATAATGACTCATGGCTTCATTTGTCTCTGTACTAATGCACAGAGTATGGGAAATGTGCAAGGCAAATTGAAATTCTTAATGCAGGATGGCAAAGATGACCTAATAGGCTTCACTGAAACCTGGTGGGATAAGGTTCATGACTAGAATGTAGAAATTGAGGAGTATAACCTATTCAAATGGAACAGACCAAACAGGAAGAGAGGAGTAACACAGACCTCCAAGCCAGACTGAAGACTTGGGTGATGCCTTCCTGCAGCAGATTACCAAACATTCAAAAAGGAATTAATAGAATCCTAGGAGTTGGAAGGGACCCAAGGGTCATCTAGTCCAACCCCCTACAATACAGGAATCTCAGCTAAAACATCCATGACAGATGGCCATCCAACCTCTGCTTAAAAACCTCAAGCAGGAGAGATCTAGCAGCCCAGGACCTCCATACATACTTCCCAGGCTTGCACCCCAAAGAAGCCAATTTGGTGCTGCTAACACTGCAAAAACAACACACGAGGCAGCTGTTACGAGTTACCAGTCTCTGCAGCCACAGCAAGCAGTGTGATTCTCCAGAAGTTTGACTTCACCCCCAGAGGCGCACTCCAATGTCTCTTGGGACAGACAGATGCCGCCGCCAACAACAGTAATCATGGGAGACTTCAACTACCCCTATCTGTTGGAACTCACTCTGCCAAGAAAGTAAGGTCCAACAAATTCCTCCATGCTTTCCTGACACTTTCTTTTCCCAGGAGGTGGAAGAAGATTATGGACCTGGTCCTCACCAACGGGCAGGAACTGATTGACCAAGTGGAAGTATTGGGAATTTTGGGAGGAAGTGATCATGTCATCTTGGGTTTCATGATATAGAGGGGCAAGGGAAACCTGAGTGTAGTCGGGCATGCATCTGGACTTTAAGAAGGTTCGTTTCAAAAAGCTTGAGGAACTACTGGGTGAGATCCCATGGTCAGAAATACTGAAAGAGAAGGGAGTCCAAAATGGATGGGAGTTTCTTAAAAATGAAATACTGAAGACACAAAGGCAGGCAATTCCAACAAGAAAGAAAAGTGGGAGGCATCTAAATAAACTGGTGTGGCTGCATAAGGAGCTTACAGATGAGATGAGGTGAGGTGAGGTGAGGTGAGATGTAAGAAGGGCATGTATAAGAAATGGAAGAAAGGGGAAATCATAAAGGAGGAGTATATATGAGTACCCAACAGTTACAGGGAGAAGGTCAGGTGGGCCAAAGCTCAGAATGAACTCAGGATTGCAAGAGAGGTTAAAAATAATAAAAAAAGGTTTCTTCAGTTATGTCTGAAGCAAGAGGAAGAACAAGAAAGTGGTAGATCCTCTGCATGGAGAAGACAGAGAAATGCTATTGGGTGACAGAGAGAAGGCAGAACTATTCAACACCTACTTTGCCTAAAAGGAAAGCAATGCCCAACCTGGTGATAACAGAATAAATGATGCAAGGAGGGAGCTGCAGCCCAATATAGAAAAAGAGGTGGTAAGGGAACACCAGGCTACTTTAAACGAATTCAAATCTCCAGGGCCTGGTGAGCTGCATCAAAGGGTACTAAAGGAGCTTGTGAATGTAAACTCAGAGCCTCTGTCTATAATCTTTAAGAATTCTTGGAGAATAGGTGAGGTCCCTGCAGAACGGAGGCAGGCAAATGTTGTCCCCATCTTCAAAAGGGGGGCGGGAGAAGACCCAGGTAACCACTGACCTATGAACTTGACGTCAATACCTGGAAAGGTCCTAGAACAGATAATTCAAACAGTTGGTCTGTGAGCACTAAGAAAAAAATGCTGTGATTACCAAAACCCAACATGGGTTTCTCAAAAATAAGTCATGCTAGATTAATCTCATTTCTTGTTTGATGGAGTTACAAGCTTGGTGGATTAGGGGAATGCCATGGTCATAGTGTATCTTGATTTCAGTAAGGATTTGGACAAAGTCCCCTATGCTATTCTTGTGAGGAAGCTTGTAAAATGTTAGTTGAACAAGGTAACTGTTAGGTGGATTTGCAGCTGGTTGACTGACTGAACCCAAAGAGTTTTATCATTAAAACAACCCAGTTATCCTCTCCCTTACTGCCTACTACATGCTATATATAATTTTTTCTGAAGGCTCTTAATAGTTTCATTTTGGCTAGTGAAACCCAGCTTCTTTGAGGAAAGGGCAAGACAGGAATTTAATAAACAAAAACAGTGTTTGTATTAATCACACACTTTTAGAAAACAAAATTATCAATGTAAAAACTTGAGTTACTCAGCACAAAGGATGTTATTGTAATCAGTTCTGGAAATATTGAGGCCACCATTTATTTCACCCACCTTTTCTAGCAGTTCTTGGTTTGTCCTGATAAGCCCCTGTTTTTCTTCTATCCATTTAGAGTCCTGCAAGGAATTTTTAGAATTATAATGTATTTTACTTTTGTTTAAAAATCATATACACTGCAACTTGTCAATGACCAAGACATTTACAAAATAATAAAAAGCATGCAAAACAACAAACATATAAAAGTAGAATTCAAAATCAAGAGATTTGAATTTATCTGGGTGAATAGACGTTATTGCACGGGATCAAAGCAGCAAAATTGGCTTCAAGTGTACCACTCTAGGGGAGCTTACTGCACTGCCCAGGTTGCCAGAAAAGCCCTGCTCTTCAGTTTGCCCACTGAAACAAACCTCTACCCTAATGGGAAGTGGCGTTTGTAGAAAGGCTGTGGTCAATGACATTATAGTCTGGGCAAGGAGGTATGGGAGGAGATGCTCTTTTAAGTCCTTGGGTCCCAAGCCAATTAGGTATTTAAAGTTAAGTAGCAGCTACTAGCTTTGAACTGGGCCTAGAAATGAATATGCAATCAGTGAAGAGATTTAATACACCATGTGAGCAATGCCCATCAAAACTCTGACTGCTGCATTCTGCATTAACTGAAGCTTGAGCCTTTTTCAGAGAAAACCCTGTGTATAAACACATTGGAGTAACCCAGATAGGATGTTGCCAGAGCATGGATAATAATGGCCAGACTATCTGCCTATGAAAGGTGGTCACTGACACTTCAGCCCAAACTGGCGAAAGGTACTACTGTGTGCTACAGAGGTCACCTGGGCTTAGATTGAGGGCCAAGGTGGGGATATCGTTCTTAAGCGATAGTGCAACTTCATCCAGAACTGACTATCATCTCCCTGAACTGGAGAACCATCTACTCACAGGACAGTTCACTGGCTCTCATCCAGGCCATTACTGACATCAAACACTAGTTCAGCTCTTCCAGTCTCATACGATACTGGCTTTAAATGACAGTCATAAGTAACACCTTCACACAGAGGTACAGATTCTCAGCTAAATTGCAGCTGCAGTCGTTCAGAGCAGGGCAGGCAAGAACATGCTCACATACTTAAAAGTGCTACCAAATACTTGATATATGAGTCAATCACCCATCTCCTACTACCCTTCTGGGGGGAAAACCCACCTCACCCCCCCTGCCCCCCCATATATAAGGGTCTGGTGACTTCTGTTTCAGTGTATCTGAAGGAGCGTGCATGCACATGAAAGCTTATCCCCAGAACAAGCTTAGTTGGTCTCTAAGGTGCTACTGGACAATTTTTTAATTTACAGTGCTACCTCGGGTTAAGTACTTAATTCGTTCTGGAGGTCCGTTCTTAACCTGAAACTGTTCTTAACCTGAAGCACCACTTTAGCTAATGGGGCCTCCTGCTGCTGCCGCGCCACCGGAGCACAATTTCTGTTCTCATCCTGAAGCAAAGTTCTTAACCTGAGGCACTATTTCTGGGTTAGCGGAGTCTGTAACCTGAAGCATATGTAACCTGAGGTACCACTGTATTTCATATATGCTGTTAGACTACCTAGTCAAGTCTCAGCTTATGCAAGCTGCGTAACAGTTTGTGTCGGCCATTGACAATATGAGGGTGACAAGACCGGTCTATCTTATTTTGTAGAGCTAACAGAGATCATGTATGCAAGGTACTTAGGAAAAGCACTAAGTGATTTCATGATAGGGAGGAACATTCCTATTTTTAAAGAGATGGAGACAATCTGAAGTATTTTAAATCTCTTCGTGAATAAAGACAACTGCTTGCCAATTCAGGCGAAAAGCAGCCACTTCGTTGATGATAAAATAATACTACTAGCTCTGCTGCAAAACAACCATTTTACTAAACATAAATAAATTACATCATGCACGAGAAAACTTCATGATTTGCAAAACAATATTTATTTTGAAGAACTGCTTATTAACAGTTTCACTTTAGTACTGAACTAAGTAGTAAACACACCATGCCCCAAAGAAGAAAAAGTGTTTTGTGTTTTCCTAGAACTTCAAGAGACATTCACAATTGTGGAACATTCCGTAGCTTAATACAGGAGTACATAAAGAAAAGGCTAGCAGTAAACTAGAGCTCAGAGTGGCCCCTAAGCCCCACAGTGAGAATGATTTGCTAGCAATGGAAATGTGTAGCAGCAAACTGAATGCTGGTGCAGTCACTTCTCCCATGTTTCAGGAGAGACACTCCCTTTTTATTTTTAAAAGTGGAGCTTGTGTACATTTGGTTTCCCCCCCTTCTCTGTTGACAAAATAAAATGATATTTTTTATTTTATTTTTTAAAAAGCTGTACTGTTCTGGGAATTGTGGAGTGGTGCTTCTCAGTGACATTAGAGATATCCACCGAGTTATACACAGCTGACCCCTGCCGTAAATTAGCAAAACTGGGTCCCACCCACCACCCAGACTGCAGCCCTGGAGAGACATTTGGACTGAATACCTTGAGGGTGTTTGCAAGGAAGCTCCTCCACTCAAAAACGTTAAAATGGCCCTCATGCAAAGGCAGCCATTTCCTATATGTTAACGGTTCGATTTTTTAAAAAAAATTATATGGCATGTACCATTTGACTGCAAACATAGCACCCCTATGCTTATAAAGGTAAGAAGAGCAAGGAATCAGAACCAAAACCATCTGAGTTTCTGTTAGGAAATATGCAAGTTTCAGTCTTGCCTCCCCAAATGCAACAGAGCTGAGCCAGGATCAGTAAGACTGCTGGAGCCTGACATTGTCTCTTCTAACCCGTGTTCTACTGCTATAGCAGCAGGAGGACTTGTTCTGAATGTCAGCAGAAGAATGTAAGCCACCAGAATGTGTGACAGGTGCACAGCAGTGGCCAAGGCCTCTCTAGGAACACTGCCCTTCCCCAAGAGTCAAGGCACTTGACCCCCACTTCTCAATTCTTTCCAGAGATAGAAGGCAGCGGAGAAGTCCTAATCCAAGCCAGGAAAGATGCTGGACTAGAGAGGACCCAGGTGCTGCCATGATTGCAGGCTATACTCTGGGTACTTCGGCATCAAAAATAATGACCCTTTTCATGACAGCAAATCAACCTGGAAGTGCTGTACATCTGCAGTAGTGCCTAATACCTCCTTAGGCTCACTGGCCTTCTCAGCATAGCTCTGACCCACATGCCCCCCCTGTCTCTAGCAAAGGGTACAACATGAGGGGGGCATGGGAGGGGTGCTGAGCACTAGTAGGCCTTTGTGGGTCCACAAACTCCCAAATGGGGCTGAATAAAATGATGGACCCCACAAATCTAGTGTGCAGTCTTCGTAAAATTATGTATTTCCCCCATCACTAAATAAAAACTGTGCGTGCTACATTTTGAGGCTCCTTATGCAAAATGAAGAGCTACAGTTTTTACTTGAGTTATAGAAAAACTAACTTCCTAAGGAATCTTCTATATCTGTGATCTGTTGTTGCTAAGAACTTGTGAATTGTCTTAAGCTTGTATGTCATAACCTTTCTATATGATACAGAATCTTCCTGTGTTGTTTGATAAAGGAATACAGTATGCTGTTTGCAAACATGGGGTCATTTGCCTGCTTACAAAGACAACACAAAACAAACACAAATGTTTTGAGCAAGTGCCTAAACTACTACATCATGGAGATGGAAAATACATAGCTGACATCATCAGTCGAAGTTCTCTTCTGTAAGGGTCTTGGTGGGAATCTTCAAGATGCTATTGGACTGTATTGGGAAGGATATCAACCTTAATGTGTTTTTATTATTTCACTACTTTTAAGGCCTTCTCCCCAGTACATATAATTCCATTCAATACAATTGTTTTTCCCCATTTCGTCTATTGTACATCAAACACAGCAATGTACCAGGAAGCAATGAAGATGATAAGAGCAGCGCTGCATGCAGAAGAGAGAATGAACTGACGGAAAGTATGAAGAGAGTCTTTTACCTGTCCTCTCTCAAGCAGAGCTTTCTCCAAGTCTTCAATTTTTGCTTGGCACCTGAGAAGATCAGCTTGTAGTTGTTCCCGTGTCTGAAGAGAGAGTTTGAAGAATACTTAACTGATATCATGGTAACAACTGGGATATAGGAGGTTCTACTATATTCTGCATTTGCGCACAATTAATCATGGCAAAACTCAGCATTTCCAGTAGGATTTATGTAACAAAATCAGTAACTGCTTTGAAAGTGGTAGTGGGAGCCAACTACGTTGACACTCCGTAAATACTATGTTGGGTTTGGCAGTAAACCCAAGTTAGTCAGGGTGTTTTAGATGAGATTCTTGCATTGCAGGGGGTTGGACTAGATGACCCTTGGGGTCCCTTCCAACTCTACAATTCGATGATGGAAAAAGAATTATGGAGAATAAAATTTGTCCAGTTTGATTTAAAGGGAACGTCAATAAACTGCGTTATCAAGCTGATGGACACTCTGCCTTAAAACATGCTTCAAAGTAAAATGGGAAAGGGTTCAAATTACCAAGGAATAGTGTTGCTGCCCAAATCAGATTAACCTGATTTCTGGTGATGGGCTTTGTGTTCCACCTAGGAGGAATCCAGCATTTCAGCACCAGGGCTTACTGGAACATTTCTAAGCTCCATTAGGTCAAGAAGTGCATCACCTTAAAATATTGATTCTTCTTATTATTAGATGATAGTATAAAGCAATTTTAGGGACATTTTGCCTTAAATTGAAAACAAACAAACAAACAAACAATTATTTATACCCCACCCATATGGCTGGGTATCCCTAGCCACTCTGAGCGGCTTCCATCAGAATATTAAAAACAGATTAAAACTTCAAACATTACAAACTTCCTGGATAAAAATATTACAAACATACATATCAAGTTGCTCAGTGACTTTTCAGATCCACTTCACAGCTTGAAATTGGCAATTCCAGAATGCAACAAATTTGAGATCCAGTCTGTAATTTTATTGGATCCAACTCTGAAGTCAGGATCCACACAAAAAAGATGTTTCCAAAGCAAATGCAAATGCCCTTACCAACTAGGAGTGACTATATACCAAAGGTAAAACTTTAAAAGAAAGTAAAGAGTGCTTTTTAAAAAATCAGGTAGCATGCATTTAGACAGAGCAAAGGAGTTAAACAGGCAGAGCCCGGGCATTTCAAAACTGAACATATCTCAAATTAACTGAAAGAACCTGTATTTTATTTTTTGCAAAGCCACATTAAAAAAAATTACCCTTGCTTCTCTTTCTGCATCCTGGGTTCCCCCAACCTGTTCCTGGAGCAATGCATATGCCCTTTGCAAAGCTTGATATTCTCTGGTTAGCTGGCAGAACCGCAAGTCAGCTTCTTCTTTAGGGGTGCTCTTTAAAGAAATGTAAAAAAAAAAAATTACCGTCATCATTTTAAAAGAGAAAGAACTCTGTAAATAAATAAATTGTAGCAGACATGCCATTCTAGCTAAGTCTTTTTACACTTTTTTGCCATGTCCTGAAATTGCAAACATCAATATACTTTTGGTGATGACTGAAACACAAACGTAGCTATAGTTTCAGTATGATACAATATGATACGATAATCTTTATTGTCATTGTCCCATACAGAACAACGAAATTGAAAAAAATCTACCCCAGACATTCAAAAACCAACAAGCCTGCTATCCCAGCTATCCCAGCCTGGTTAGCCCCCTAACCAGTACATTAAATATTGTAAGAGGTCAACATAATGGAGAAGTCCCAGCCTTTTTAGAAATCTGATTCATAAAAGGGACAAGGCCTTGCTGTGAACACGAAAATGTTGTTTATGTGTTTGTTAGATTTATATCCCACTCTTGCTAAAACGATAGTGTCTCTGGCCCTCCCCTTTATCCTACAGGGCAGAATTGGCTGCAAAAGGGTGATGCCCAAAGCGAGTTTCATGGCTGGGTGGGGACTGGAACATGGTCTCCCCAATCCAACTTTGACACCAGCCATCACTACCACACCAGATCTCTCCCCTACACTTGTGCTTCCAATCTCTTTCATTATTACATTGGTAATAGCCATCTTTATTTCCTATAATAGGGGCACGGGTGGCGCTGTGGGTTAAACGGCTTAGTCATGCTGGCCACAGGACCCGGAAGCTGTACGCCGGCTCCCTCAGCCAGTAAAGCGAGATGAGCACCACAACCCCAGAGTCGTTTGTGACTGAACTTAACTGTCAGGGGTCCTTTACCTTTACCTTTTTTTAACCTTTATTTCCTATAATGTGTCCTCCCTGTCTCTTCTTCTGACGTAATGATTCTTAATGATAATGGAAAGAATGCCCACACTCTCACCAACAGTTGCATTGATAAAAGCTGTGGCACAGGTTGTGAGAGGGACCAGAGCTTACTGTGGGAAAGCCCATGCCTCCCAAGTATCTACACACCATCCAATAACAAAATATTAAAATACTTTAATAGAGGAAAATCAGCAGCAGAATAAAGTCAGATTTAAAACCAGCAATGGAAAACTACAGCAAGCACAAGAGATTTAATGTATTTTTAATCTCCTGTTGGAAGCCGCCCTGAGTGGCTGGGGAGACCCAGCCAGATGGACAGGGTATAAAGAATAAATCATCATCATCATCAAAGCACTAGAAATATAAAAATGGAGGGTAGCTGGTGGTTACCATCCAAACCTCATTTGTTGGGGCAACTGGAAAAGTGCCTCAGTACATATTGGAAAAGCCAATCCTTCAAGTAACCTGGGCTCATGCTGTTTAGGGTCTGAAGCAAGGATGGGTTGCAACTATCATCATCCCTGACCATTGACCATGCTGGCTAGAGCTTATGAGAGTTGTGGTTGAATAGTACTCAGAAAGCAGTTCCCCATCCCTGCTTTAAAGATGAATACCAGCTCTTTAAACTGGATCCTGAAATTGACTGGAAGCAGATGGCCCCCTAGTATGCACCAACTAAAGTTTCCAGACCATTTTCAAAGGCAGCCCCAAAAGCAACAGTAATCCAAATAAGAGTCTATCAGAGCAAAGCTATCCCAGTCCAGATAAGACAACAGCTGGTATATCAGCCGTAGAGGATAAAAGTGCTCTGAGCTTCTGGCCTCGTGACAAGTGCTGGATCCAAGAGCATCCCTAAAACATGGTCACAACCCCTTAGGGCAGGTGGGGAATCACTGGCCCTCAGCACTTCTGGACCCCCCAAAGCATATTTGGAACTGGCCATCAGTCTCTCCTCCTCAGGCCTCTCGGCCTTACATCCCCCCATTCTGGCTGCAGAGAGAGGAGAAGGGAGGACAGGAAGAGGGACTGATCGCTGTGTTCCTTCTCCAGCAGTTTGCCGGTACTTCCCATGAAGACTTTCCTGTGGTCTCCGTTTATATGAAGTGTACTGCCTTCAAGTACCATGGCAACACTGGGAACGTGCCCTTAGGACCGCGTTCTTCCAATTGCTCTGAGTCTGGGAGAGACATATGCATGTGACAGGAGTGAGCCAGCAGTAAACCCCACTGGAGTTGGAGTTAACTCTTTATTAGCAAAAACACAATCTGCACATGAACGTCAGGGCTCATAAGCACAGCAACTCATCTCTGGCAGGTCTTGCCCCCAGTTGCTGAAACTGAAGGTCCTCATCTCCCCACAGCTGCCTAAGTCCTCTCCTCTCCAGGGTTTTCCCCACGCAATCTTGAGATTGCACCTATGTGAAGCTAACTTTGCCTCTGCCCTCTTCATGCCTCTTCACTGGCTGGACTCATTTCTGCCTTTTGGCCTCCCTCCTCTCCTGCTTCAGCTTCTGATTTGGGACTTCTTCTCACAGAACCCCCCGCTCACCCAGCCCTGTTATCTCTGCAGCTTCCGACGCCTCTTCTCCCCCTTGTCCCACCAAGCTCGGAGCCTTCTCCCCAGCTAGTGCCTCCCACCATTCCTCTACGTCCAACCAGTCCATGACAGTATGCCATATCAAAGTCACAGGTGCTTACATCTTCCAAGTCTTCTTCTGGTGTAGCTGGAGTCCTGTCTGTATTATAGGAAGTTACTGATGATGTTTCTGAATCCACTGATTCTTCGTCAAATCCAAAAAATGTCTCCACAACATGCCTCTGAAATAAGACCAATGCACTTTGTTATAGACAAGCAAGTTATTCAAAGAGCTGTATCAAAGGGCCTTTATTTCTGTCTTTAAGGAAGGTGACAACAATCGGAGGCCAAAGGAGACCCACCTGGTCCTCAGCATAGCACCAAAATAACTATTCACAAACTATGCACCTCAGCCACAGTCTCTCAAGCAAAGGCATAGGGAAGTATTTTCCATGTCCTCTTCCACAATGTGATCAGCAACAATCCAAACCCAAGATCCACTAGGATGAGAGAGTTTGAATTTGAGACAACTTGGGCTTTCCCTGCTGCTATGGGGTTCAACCAGGTCTACGCTTGTGCCAGTGTAAGTCCCAATAACTTACACCTATTCCAAGCCCTGCCCTTGTGACCTAGGGCCCAAGCCTCACAACTCAGTCCATGCCAGAGGCTCCTGAACAGAGTTTGGAATAGAGATAACTTGCACCAGCCTAAGTTAGGTTGGCTTCCTATAGTTAGGACTACCCACAAGGCAAGGGTGAACAACCTGGCACAACTTCCATGAACCCTACCCACTGGTCTTGCTGGCTGACGCTACTGGGAGTTGCAGTCCAAGAATGTCTGATGGGCACCGTTATTGGCCAACCCCAACATTAAGGAGTCAAAGACTCTAAAACTCTTGATAAATATTACACACACACACACACACACACACACACAAATAATATAATTAGCAACCTAATTAATTAATTAATTCTTTGCCTATAAAATACTAAAAATAAAAATCAGTACAATCCAGCAACCAACAGTTGTGGAATGCCCACACACAAAGATATGTTTTCAGTAAGCACTTGAAACGCACTACAGGGTCTCCTAGGCTGGATCTAGACACATCTAAAAAGCGTTTCAGTTAAACACGTTGTAAACTTCATAAAGGGAAATCATGTTGACAGAAGACAGGACTCCACGGCACCATCTGGTGTAACAGTGTTATAACGCATATAAAATGGTTTTTCTTTACTAATGTAGCTGAGTCCCTAGAGTGCCGGGAACCATTACAGAGAAGGCCCACTTCAAAACTGCCACTAGATTGTAGTCTGCAGGCTGCGACATGGCCAGCAGAGTCTCCTTTGATGTTCGCAGTGAACGCATGGAAATCTACTTGATAACCTGATCCAAAGTGGTGCAAGACCTTATATGTTAACAAGATCTTGATAGCTAATAGGCAGCCAGTGCAGTTCTTTTAGCATTGGTGTAGTATGTGTGCAGTTTGATATCCCTATTAACACCCATATTCTGCAGAAGTAGCAGCTTCTGAACCACAAAAAGTGCATTGCAATAACCCAACCGCAACGCTTCCAATACATGGACCACAGTGACCAAGCTATCCTAGTCCAGAAAAAAAGAGTGCATGTCATGTACTAAGCAAAGCTCTTCATTTATGCTGCACAGCTGCTAACTAATGTGCACTAAGTTAAAATAAAAATAAATTAGAGTGAGCAGCTAAGAGAAAACTGAAACATTCAGAGGAGAAGGGGTTAAATCAGTGGGTCTGCAATTCTAATGAAAGGGGTCCTAATTTGAGCTGTGATACCATTTTCCCCAAGCCATGTCCACCTGCCACACACCTCATGCCACCTAGGGCAAAACAGCTGCAAAAGAACAACAGGAAGCCTTAAGATGAACTCCTGTAGATGGAGTCATTGCTGCTAGTTGGCCAGTCTTTGTTATCAAGGCATTTTATTTTTATTCAAATGTTTAGACACCACACTTCCATAGGAATATAACATGGCAGTTCTACAATAGGCTAATAATTTACATCAGGTCAGGGATGTTCCTGGACTGCAGCTCCCCATCATCAGCCCTGACCGCTGGCCATGCTAGTTGGGCCTGGTGAAGTCCAGCACCATCTGGTGGGCCTCAGGCTCCCAACCCCCAGCTGAAATTCTCAAAAGAAGCATAGCTGGGGCTTTGGATTAGCCACAGCACTAGATATCCTATGCACATCACGAAAATGAGAAACCAGTTATAATATGATTAAATGCCTGAAATGAAGGACAGAGGTTCATGTAATTAGGAAATAAGGGCACAATGCTAGGGCAAAACACAGATAACCCTCTCCCCTCCGCCCTGGTTCCCCATCCAGGGACGACCCACCCAGGAGGCAAGGTAAGGCAGTCACCTCAGGTGGCGGATCTGGCCTACAAGGAGCGCAGCAGTTGCTGCAGCCACCTCTTCTGCACCCACTGCAGGGGCAGCAAGTGGGGAGCTGTTTTGCCTGAAGCAGCAAAACACCCTGGGCCAGCCCTGCTCCCATGCTATGAGAGCAGTTCTTACGTGTTAGAAAGGAAGCTTCATTCATGGCTTGCATCTGTTGTCAACAAAATCTGCCCTTTTCCCTTATGGGGCATCCAAGAGCCCATATAGAGTCTCTAAGTGGGTTCCCTAGCGGTAGCAGAAAATAACAGGCCAACCAGAGAATATTGATAAACAAGGCAGCTAATAAGTCTGATCTTTATTGAACTGTTGCAACAGGATCCTCACTCACCACACGCAGGATGGAGGAGCAACACACAACAATGGTGCGCAAGGCCTTATATAGTCTTTTTAAATAGCCACCTTGCAGCCCAAGACCACCCCCCAATACATCATACATATATCACAGAAGGGGCGTCTACAAAAGAATCCTGTCTGGTAGGAAACCTGTTGATGGGTTTACCTGGCTGTTAATGGGTTTACCTGGCGAGACTGGCTGTCCTTTTGTGATGATAAATACTTAATTCCTGAGTCCAGGTCACAGGCTCCCCTATTCATATCTTAAATGTGCCCTTAAGGCAGGATTTGTGAGCAAAGAGACAATGGGGAGGGGGTTTTCCCCCCATTCCCTCCCATCTTGCAGAGAAACATTTGAGATCAACAAAATGGTTTCAAGACTGTCTTCCTGTACTGTTTCAGACATGATTTATATATTTATGTATGTGTTTGCTTGGTACATTTATTTTATATCTTAGACATTATAATTCTCATAATACATCAGTACATGTACCGACCACCAAAGCAGAGAGTTCAAGAATAGCATCCAGGGTCCGTGACAAATGAAAGCTGCGAAGATGTCCCAACAAGCAGTCACGCCTCTCCCACCAGCTTTTAAAGGCAAGATGTGGCACACTCCCTTGCAATACTTTGTCCCTACAAACTAATGAATGTGGAGGTGCACACTTCCCTGAGGGACGTGGGTCTGTTCCCAACAGCAGAGGCAGCCCTGAGTTCTTAGAAGTGGGGTGGAGGTCAGCAGCTCTGACTTCTCCTTCTCTTCCAGCTCCCCTGAGGGCTAGGCAACGGCCTCCCTCACTGCTAGGCCATCACTCAGCTTCATGGAAGGGGCAGGACAGGAAGTCATCAGGACTGCCTCCAAAGGTAAAAGGGGCGTGGTGCCTGTCCTCCCTCCAATGCCTCTCCTTGCAATTTGCACCCTCCTCGTCTTCCTCATCTGACAGCAATTGCCGCCCAGCCCTGAGGCAGGCAGCATTATGGGGCTCATGACACCACTCTGCCACAATTCCAAGAAATGCAAAAATGAAGATTTCTTGCCCACAATTGCACATCAGCTTGAGCTTTGGCGTTCAAATAAAAGGTAAAGGTACCCCTGCCCGTACGGGCCAGTCTTGACAGACTCTGGGGTTGTGCGCCCATCTCACTCTATAGGCCGGGGGCCAGCGCTGTCCGCAGACACTTCCGGGTCACGTGGCCAGCGTGACAAGCTGCATCTGGCGAGCCAGCGCAGCACACGGAACGCCGTTTACCTTCCCGCTGGTAAGCGGTCCCTGTTTATCTACTTGCACCCGGGGGTGCTTTCAAACTGCTAGGTTGGCAGGCGCTGGGACCGAACGACGGGAGCGCACCCCGCCGCGGGGATTCGAACCGCCGACCATGCGATCGGCAAGTCCTAGACTCTGTGGTTTAACCCACAGCGCCACCCACATTCAAATACCAGGTAGTAAAAATCATCACCTTAAGCCAGGGCCGTCTTAAGAATATCCGGTGCCATGATGCAAAGCTCCCTCCGGTGCCCCCCCCCATTTCCCAGAGATTTTTTAGGGAGGACAGCGCTGCCAGTGGGGCTGGAGGAGGCGGGCAGCGGCTGGAGGGTGGCTCCTCTGGCGAGGAAGAGGCAGAGGCTGGAGGAGGCGCCTCCCGGCTCAGCTGGCCGCTTCGTGCCATGGTGGCCACGGCAGACGGAGGCTCCGGGCGTGGCGCTGCTTCGGCACAGCATGGCAAAGGCGAGCGAGGGTGGTGAGCTGATGCCAGGAGGCACCGCATTCAGCCTCCGCCTCTTCCCTGGCGCCCTCTAGAACTTGGCACCCTACGGCACTAGCTGCTATGACCAACAGAAATAACAGAACTAGAGCTTCAAAATACTTCTAACAGCCTTGCTGTGTTTTGTTGCACATAGCACCATATTTATAACTCAGAATTAAAACTCTGCTTCCTACAAAGAGTTTTCACAATTGTGTCTTGTGGTTCTTTGGTTAAACAGCTCTTTAGTGTTGATAGCCCAACAAGAAACAGATAATTATAGGAATTCTTTTGTGGGGGGGGATTAGCCCTTTAAATAGCACCATCTCCCATCGGCACCTAATCCCTAATCTAGACTGCTGTCTAGAAATGCCATGAAGTGCTGTTGTGCCTGGAGGACACTATCTGTATGTGTGAATGTGTAAGACCACTTTAAAAAGTGATTTGGAGGAGGAGATCAGGCACACAAGAATAGAAATCATAAATGGGAGTGTGAAGACTAGGAGTTAGAAATGTGTCAGAATGAAGAGGGTTTTTTATATTTACATAATTTATATTTCACACTTTCAACATAACTGTATGGGCAGCTAACAAAGTAGTTATTATTTTTATTCGTGTGGAAGCAAAGACCTGGCAATGTAGAAAAGGATGGCAGCTGTGCAACAAAGTGAAGAGGCAGAAGAAAGCACAAAAGGGCTTGAGACAAGAGGGGTAGGAACTCCAAGCCCCA